CTGCAATGCAATCAGTTTTTCTGGATGAAGCATGATAGAACAGGAAGGAAAAGATTTCCCTCCCTCTGGCTCAGTGAGCTGTACTTGGAAAGCATAGCTATTGCCTGTCCAGGACCTTGACCTTAACTAGGGAGCAACTCCCCTTATTTATGGCCAAGTGACTTGGAAAATAGCAACACTCTAATCAACTCAAACATATGGCAGGGGAGAGTGACCGAGTGCAAAGGCAAGAGGCTAGATCACAGGGAAATGAGAGCAAGGGAATGAGTTGTGTGAGCTTGGTTTGGAGATGTTTTGGAGAAGAGGAGCTTCAAGAAAGGAAGGACTTTAAATGGCTGTGATGGAAGGTGTTAGTTATTGAGATGGGAAGATTATGTATCTATATTATTGGGGATTGAACCCTGGACACTTTACTACTTAACTATATCCCAGATCCCTGCCACCACCACCCCCCCGCCCCCGTCCTCAACTTTGAGACTGAGTCTTGCTAAATTGCTAAGGCTGATCCTCCTGCCTTATCCTCCCAAGTCTCTGGGATGACCACCAAGTCTCTGTGGACCACCATGCCCAGCATATATATTTTAAAAATTTTATCCATATTGCATTCCCACTTTACATTCTCTTTAAAACTTGAGATAAACATTTCAATTGTCCTCAATTACACTTTTAATTTAGAGGGTCTGAAGCACAAGGTGAACTGGTTTCACAGTATAGTACAGTTGAAAAAAACATTACTTCAGTGAAGGTCTGAGGATTGCTTGTTGGCTTCAATTTGGAGTCAATTTATATAAGTGAACCAATATTTATTTAGATTACTCCACACTGTGGTAAGTTCTGTGAAAGATCAAAAAGGACACATGCTCTGTATCCTCATTGAACTTACTATCTGGCCAGACATATGGCACATCAGTCCCCTGGCAACATGAGGGAGAACTTTAGTTAAGGGGCTTTGGGCTAGGCTAGAGAGAGAAGCCTTCGGGGATTGCTATAAGGAATGGTTAGGTCTGAGAGAGTAAGCGGATGGGATTCCAAGGCAGGCAGGACTACAGCTGCAATGGGGCAGAAGGGGCCACAGGTGTAGCTTACACGAAGCAACAACAGTAATGACTTGAAGGATTTCTGCAATGCCTTGCTCTTAAAGCCCTTCACGTGAATTAGCTCAGTAGGCCTGAGAAATAGACCAGTGTATTATTAGCATTTACAGCTGAAGGAAATGAAGACCTGAGATTCAGAGAGGCTGTGCATTATCTGAGGTCATGCAAGGGACAAAGCAGGATTCCACTGTCTCCTTGGTCTATCATCACCATGCTGCAGGAAGGAAGGACTGCTGTAGCAGGACTGGAGAGGATTTAGGGTTCCCTGGTGTCCCAAAGATACTAATAAGGGGTCTGGGGCTATGACTCAGTGGCAGAACGCTTGTCTAGCATGTGTGAGGCACTGGGTTCAATTGTTAGCACCATATACAAATAAACAAATAAAATAAAGGCTTTCTATCCATCTACAACTACAAAAACAATTAATTAAAAAAACCATACTAATGAGGATGTTAGTTCAGTTTCTTTAAGAGAGACCAAAGTCATCCTGACTTAAATGACAGGTTTGCTTTACTTCTAAGGTTAGGCCTGTAGGTCGTCCAAGGGAGTCAAACACACACACAACTTTAACCCTCAAGGTCACTGTGCCTCTCACATCTATGTGTCCCCTGCTGTGTGCTACAGAGAGCTGATCTGCGTGGGAATATCAATCAGTAAGAGACTGAGCAGGTGGGGAGAGTGACATGAGAATATTTATACCCCCAGATTCCCTGCCGGGTTGTCACAGATGACTGGGTCCCTTGACCAAAGACCATAGGTCCTGTTAAGTGGCTTTCCTACACAGCCTAAATGTTCACTCTTTCACCCCTCAGGCTGAGATTGGTGGTGACCCCTGCCCAATGCTGGCTCTGGGTGACTGCATGTTCCTTGTGGCTTTCCTCTACCTGCCCCCATCTGTAAACGGCCCCCTTATTAAAATGTCCCAGTTGTGTTCTCTCTTTCCTGCTGGCACCCAGGCTGACACTGGCAACCAGGGACCTAAGTTTCTCCTTTCTTGTTTTGCCAGGTTATCTTCAGATGCTGTATAGCTATATTCTAGATCAAAGAGGAAAAAAAACTATACAACCACCAAACAAATGGAGGATGCTATTAGTTTCTTTTTGCTTCTGTGAAAAATTACCATAAACTAGAAGACTTAAAACCTCACAAATGTATCTTATGGTTCTGCAGAAGTCTGACACAGGTGTCACCGGGCTGAAATCAAGGCATGGTTAAGCTCCTCTCTGGAATGTCCAGGGGAGAATTCCTTTCCCTGGTTTTCCAGCTTCTAAGGGCCCTTTCATCCCTCTTCAAAGCCTGCAGTGAGGCCAAGTCTTCCTCATGCCACCCTCTCACCTGCCTCCTTTTCTACTTTTAAAGACCCTTTGTGATTACATGGGGCCTACCTGTGCAACCTGGGTGACTCTCTTCATCTCGGTGTGTGGCTTATTAGTACCTTACTTTCATCTGTGACTTTAATTTCTCTTTGCCATGTAACTTCACACACTCACAGATATGGACATCTTTAGGAGGCCATTGTTCTGCCTCCCACAGAGGGCAAATTGCTTCCTTTTGAAGTTGTGACCTGGCAGTGGCACACAACACCTACTCTTACATCCTCTTGGTCAGAATTTAGTCACATGGTTATATTGAATTGAAAGGGAGGTTAAAATATGGTCTCTCTAACTAGACAACTATGTGTGCAGTTAAAACACGGAGGAGTTCTGTTACTAAGAGGTCATGGGGGGAGATGGGTATTGGAAATTGTATTTCTTACAACAATTTCCAGCCTGTGCCCCAAGAGCCTCACTTGTCTTGCCAGGCAGGACCTGCTGTTGGAGTTCCTTCACTTCATTTTGTCAGCTTGGTGCCTTTGCCTAATTGTTCTCACCTCTGAGCTTCCCTTTACCCGGAATTGGTTTCTAATGTAGGAGGAGAGAATTATCTCCTTAATGGACCACACCAGCTATCTCCTGGTCAACTTGTTCCCTCATATTCACATTGATTTTTTGATATGACACCTGGGTTCCAAATGCTTTTACCCTGCCCTTTGTTAACAGGGTTTCCAGATAGATCACTGGCCCACCCGGAATCTGTGATCTCACTAGTCTACTGGCCATCTTCTAATTCTGCCTCCCACATCTAGCATCTTAGCTCCTTCCTGACTGCTCCCATTATTGTACCAGTCTCAGTGGTCCTTGCCTGGCCACTACTAAGTTCCAGACTTGGCTCACTCTTGCCCTCACACATCCCCTGCTCTGAGATGCTCCAGGTTCAGTCTAGACTTCTCATGAATTGGTCTCTGCATATAAATATTTCATAGAAGAGTAAAAATGACCTTGTAATCATACTGTTAGTTGACTATTGTGTAGATAGGTACTAGTCAGGTTTCTTTGGCAGAATGCCTGAGATAATTGACTTAAAAGAAGAAAAGGCTTATTTTGTCCCACAATTTTCAGAGTTTTCAGTCCATGTTTGTTGGGCCCTGTGACTTTGGGCCTGTGGTGGCACATCATGGTGAGAGTGCGTGGTGAAGGAGGCCTGTTCACTTCATGATGACTAGGAAGCAAAAAGAGAAACAGGAAAGTGACAGGGCCCTAATGTCCGTTTCAAGGACATGCCCCACCCAAGTGACCTAACTTCATCTCATTAATCCTCACTTCTTAAAGATTCCATGACCTCCTAATAGCATCGTGGGTTGGGGACCAAGCCTTTAACACATAAGGCTTTGGGGGGACATTCCAGATCCAAACTATAGCAAGATGCTTTACATCTTTATTAATTTTGAATATTTAATGTAAGGAGTCCTGCAGTGATTTATCCACAAAGCATCATCCCCTATACTTAAGATAATGTTCTTCATACACAGGTTTAACTATGAAATATTAGGTCTCAGTGTTAGATCTTGATACACATTGTCAAATTGCTTTGCAATGTATAAAGTGATACTGTTTCACAGAATCTTACCTTGATCACATCCTGAATAATGAATGGGTATAGCAATTAATAGAAGATAGAATGAGTTTCCCAACATTACTGAGGAATAAGATTTTTCACATATGTACTTTTTTTTTAGACAACTGAAGCTTATTATTTTAAACAGCAGACTTTAGAAAGCACAACTAGGTATAATTGCAGTTTTTCCAAAGTACATTCCTGCGTCCTTACCTCTTTCAACTACAATGTCCCCAGGGTGAGGGGGTTCTGCTGAGATGAGGGGTTTATCTTGCCTTTGCACTTGGTTCCACAATGAATGTCTTTTCCTGATGCCTGGGGATTTTCCTGCCTTTCCAGAACTCTATGGCTAGTTAAGTCTTCCCAGCCAGCAAGCACAATCTCTTCTCTTTTTAGCTATTCCCACATCCCCTGACCTATTCCTTCTGTAGTCTCTGATTGCTGAAAATGGAAGAACAATTGAATATTGCTTTTGGGAATAAATAACAACAACCTCAAAAAACCTGTGCTTGCAACATTAACTGTCTGTGTACCAAGTTGAAAGTCAGTATCTTATGGAAAGCTGGAGTGTGTTACATCCAGCCTTAACATTAGAATAAAGAACTTAGATTTTGGGTGTTACATTTTTGACTCTCTGAGTCATTTTGTACACTGATCATGGGTGGAGGTTTGCAAAAGCCTCAATGCTGGATAGGTGGAGCATTACGATTGTATACTTCAAGAGAAATTTCTGGGGTGGTACTTCCTGTAGAAAAATTTCCTTCTATTCTTTAGAATCTGCAGGGAAATAGATTCTGCATTTTCCTTAATAACCTACCTTTTAATGAATTTCATACTTATGTGCAATATTAAAGGTCTTTGTTGAATTTATAAATCCTATTTTTATTAAGATAGAAATGGCTCCAGCAGCTCTTCCTCTTTCATATATCAGTGTTGATGTATATTATTTTTTATTCAAAAATGTGGGGCCAAATTCTTTTCCAACTATCCCTCTGAAGGATAGCATTCACAAACAGTTTGCTGTTATAAATCACACATGCAAAAAAGTTAATGTTAAATGTCTTTTTTGAAATGAAACATCTGATATTTTATACTAAACAATAAGAACATGATTGCTAGTCTTTTAAAAACAAGAAGATTTTTTTACAACAAAATACCCACAAATTGTGAAAAGTAGTTCAATATTTATCTTTTTGAATATTGTTCCAATGTCATTTGGGGGAAACAGAATCCTTTGGGTGAGAGAATGAGTCTGTAGGAAAGTGGCTGTAACTGCAAATTACATTTAGAATTGTGTGCATTTTATTCAAAAGAGAATAATAGTTTTACAAATAAAGCAAATACAAATAAATAAAAAAGGACAATCTAGAATACACGTCTGCATTCCTTCCTAGTATCTTTATTTAATGTTTAAATTCATTTGACTGAAATGATTTTTGTTTTAATTTTTTTTTTTTTTTTTTTTTTTTTTGGCACTGGGGATTGAACCCAGGGGCATTTAACTACTGAAACACATCCCAGCCCTTTCTATTTTTTATTTTGAGACAGGATCTTGCTAAGTTGCTTAGGGCCATTGTAAGTTGCTGAGGCTGGTTTTGAACTTTCGATCCTCCTATCTCAGCCTCCCGAGTTGCTGGGATTACAGGCATGCACTACCATGCCGAGTTTGAAATGATTTTTAGTAAGTACTTATTTAAATATTTACTTATCTTATGTACCAACTACTTTCGAGTTCTGAAAGAGAAAAGAAAGGAAGAGGAAAGGTCTCTGAAAGCGGATACTATATCTTTTCTTCCATCTTTCTGCTGTGAAGTGGCATCCAAGTGGCCTCTCTCTGGCCCAGTTCCTCCCTCCAGCTACATGGAGCAGATCTCTAGTGAGAAGAGGATATAGGGAAGGGAGGCAGGAGAGGCTGACCTTTGTGTCTCACAAATTCAGTACACTGATGCAAGTTTGTGCACCAGAAGCCAGAAACACAGGCACAGTCTTTTGGGCCTTAACTCTGCCTAACTATAGCAGGTGGCGTATTTATTTTCCTGCTCAACAATTTCATTTTTAATGGCAACAACTTGCTCTTCTAATTGTTTCAGTTGATCAGCTTTTTCTTGTCTACTTAGATTCAAATCTTGGATCTTCTTCTCTAAATCTGAAAGAAGAAAATAAAATAAACGACATATGCCCATTTGGTAGATTCCTCCTAGATATCCATATTATACCAAACAGCGATTTGTGTGTCTCTCTCTTTTTTTAATTTTTAAATTTGTTTTAATTAGTTAAACATGACAGAACAATGACCTTGTTGTGTGTCTCTTCAAGATATTTTTAGTTTATGCTTTGATCCAATGAATAAAACATCTCTTTCCATAGGTCTTCTCAAAGTTTTCACATATATCAGAAAAAAATTCATCTTTTTATCTAAAAATTTTATACCTAAAAGCATTTTTTTTAAAAAAAAGTAAGGCTGTAGCTGGTTAGAATTCATTAGAAATGAGGCCCTAAGCAACTTAGTGAGACCCTGTCTCAAAAAATTTAAAAGGACCAGGAATGTGACTCAGGGGTTAATTGAACTCTTGGGTTTAATCCCTGGTCCAAAAAAAAAAAAATCATTAGAAACAAAAACATACATAACAACTTCCTTGATTAGATTTAGTGAAGTGCTGTATTTCCAAAGATTTGTTCTTATTACTTTAACTTCATTTAGAAACATATGTTCTTTGTTTTAGAGTTTTCCAATTTTCAGAAAACAAACTGACATTTTTATTTTTTCATCTTTCTTCTCTGATGACACTGAAGTCCCTGAACTATAAAGCAAAGTGACTTGCTTAACCTCACACTTATTCCTCTACCAATTCATGGCTTTATGGGTTGATCCTTGTGTCCACCTATCTATGGGTTGATCCTTCTGTCCACCTATCTATGCATTCATTTATTCATTCTTTATTCAATAAGTAGTTGGTAATTCTAGTAAACTTTAATATGGAACCCACAGCAGTGAATAGAAGATCTGTAGAGAGAGACATTTAAAAGCAAGATGTGGCCTTTTGGAAAAGACTCTGACCTTAGGTAGAAGAAGGAAAGAAAATGTCTCACGTTACTTCGTCAGACCACATCAGAATACTGGATTGGTTTGAGGTAATTTTCACATTGGCATGTGTGGAGAAGAAAGAGCCAGATTGCTGAAGACATTTGAAACTGTCCTCTCAACAAAAATTGAGTTAACTGGTGATGTTAACTCATATGGAGAAAAGAAGATTCAGGGCACGTTACTTAGCTCTTTGTAAGCACTTGAAAGCCCACTTTAGGAAGCTAAGCAGGTATGTACTCTCTTGTCCCGAGGAAATAAAATGAAAACCAATGGGGGGAGCTCAATGAAGATGGACAGTCGGATTCTAACATTTTAGCAGTCACAACGATTCCAAGACTGAAGAGTTTCTTTGGAAGGTGATGAGAGGCAGGAAACTTGCAAATAAAGGTCATTTGGAAAGAAAAGGGGATTCAATATTATATTTACACTAAAAAAAAAAGACCCCTGTGTTTCTATCAGCTAAGTTAATAAGGTTGAGCTGTCTACCTCACATTTCCCCATCAGGTCTGTTCTCCATCCTGTTCTGTATCCTGGAAAGCTAACCTCCGTGGATGATGTCACCTGGCTCCCTTGAACTCTGGCTTTCATTCACACTTGGCCAGTGGAATGTGCTGGCAAGTGACCAGAGGGAGGGATAAGCCATTGGTCTCCATCCCTGGCCAGTAGCCGGGTTCTGGCAGCTTTTCTGTCTCTCAGCTCCAGTGCTGAGAGTATCTGGTGGGTATCTCTCCCTAACCCTCCAGTGTTTGCAGGGCTCTGGCAACACTCCTGCTTCCCCTGCCCCTTCAGGCCTAGGGATGCTAATGACTTCTCATTGCTGCTAGTCACTCACTCTTCCACACCCTTGAAATTGAGCTGGCTTTACAAGTTGTTTGACCAGCAGAAATGAGAAGAGATGATGTTGCAGGAGCTCAGGAACCTTGCATCTCCAGTTCTCACTCTCATGGGACTCTGAAACATCTGTGCAGTGAAGCAACCTGGGATTCAGACCAAGGGGAGAGAGCCCCTTACACATCTGCCATGCCTAGTCCCCAGCTGGCCCATCAGTGTAGCTACTTGAGCAATCCAGTTGGGACTGGCAGAGGACCCTCCCTAGCAATCCAGAGCAAGGGGAGAGTTGTTGCTTTCAAGCCATCAAATTTTGGGGTGGTTTGTTATACAGGGAATATGTAACTGAGATGACATTACTTGTAAATACATTATCTAGAATTGTGGCCAAATATGCTTTCTTTTCCTTGGGGAACCTTGACATAAAGTTTTGTGAGGGACCCTGGCGGCAGACTGGGGTCTATCACCACTCTTAAATCTCCCTCCTTCCTTCCTTCCTTCCTTCCTTCCTTCCTTCCTTCCTTCCTTCCTTCCTTCCTTCCTTCCTCCCTCCCTCCTTCCCTCCCTCCCTCCTTCCTTCCTTCCTGGAATTTAACCCAGGGGCACTTAACTCCCATCCTTTTTATTTTTTATTTTAAGTCGATCTCTCTAAGTTGCCAAGGCTGACCTCGAACTTGTGATCCTCCTGCCTCGGCCTCCCAAGCTGCTGAGATTACAGGTGTGCACCATGATGCCTGGCTACTCAACTTTGATGCTGCCAAAGGTTCTCTCTGGGATCCCATGGGCATATCTCCCTAATAGATGTTCTGCCTCTTCTCAAGCGGCAGAGTAGGGCAGATAGCCAAACCAATGTCTTATTTTTCTATCTTGTTGAGTGGTAAAAATAGCCCTAAATGAAAAGAGAAAATGAAGCACAATGCTTATTTTAGACTCTGAGAAGTCTTCTAATCTAAACTTCTCTTCCAATCCAATTGCATTAACTGTCAATTTCAGTTAATGTGGATAAGTGGGAACAATTTGGACTCTAACATAAAATACAGGACAGAAATAGTCTTCCTATGTTTTTGTTCTAATAATATGGACCAAGGTCTGAGAATAATGGAAACTAGTTTTCATGGTACTGGGTATAGCATGTAAGGTAAAAAAAAAATCTCTATGACTTTCTGAGTTTTTCCTAGAATTTCCTTTAAATATAATTTTTTTCTGGAAAATGTTGAAAAATAAAATAAAAATTACCCACAAGACTGCTTTTTAAGACAATTACATAAATTTTAAAAACTAGTGGTTTCTTCTTTACCCTACTGTCTCCCCAGAGATAAGTAATGTTAAGAGTTTGGTGTGTCTTTTTCCTGACTTAGGCACAGACTCACGTTGCAGGTTTTTTTGTTTTGTTTTGTTTTTAATGTCATAGAGTGATGACACCAGTTGTTGTGAGGCCAAAGTCTCATTTTATAATAAAGAAGCATATAAAGCAAGGAGTCTTGTCTGGTTTAGTATTTTAAGAGTTATTCATATTATAAAAGAATATAATTAGTTTTAAGGTTCTGGGAGACAATAAATATGATCACAAGTAAAACTATGCAACTCATCACTTGGCAATTCTTGACTAGAGGTAGTTGAGGACATGACTGCCCAGAGAAGTCATGAACATCAGTCGTGGAAAAGAAGATTCTAATTTACTTTCTGATTGGACATATTTTATGTTTACTATACTTTGTGTGCATCAGAGTTTTCATTTTAATCAAGATTCTTTTTGGATTCTTTTTGGATTGCTGATCTATGCTGGATGACCTAGTGCACTAGAGTCATGAGAGGAAAAATCAGCCACTTAGGTTAGGGGGCTATCAACCTCGCCACTGTTAAAATTTGGGGGAGCTTAATTGTTTTGGGGAAGGTGTCTTATGCCTTCTTGAGCAACATCCCTGACCTCACAAGCAAAACTTTCTTCAGACATCTCACCGCTAGTTGAGAACACTGAGTTATAACCTTTCAAGGTGACCAAAGGGAATCTCAGTTTGTTCTGATTCATGCAAGGCTGATGCCCAACATCCACCCTTGTATGTAAATCCATGTGCAAAACTTGTTACTTTTCTATTCTAGAAACATAAGACCAATTCCTACTTCACCCTGCTTGGCAGATTTACATGTAGTTAAATTGGGTTAATCGATAAATTGAAATTGGCATAAATTCTATGAGGAAGAATATTAGGATGTCATTGCCCTACTGGTGGGGTGGGTACAAATAGATACCTGTTATTCTTTTCATCTTGTCCTCTGTATCCCCAGCCAGTTTCTCGGCGGCATCTTTTAGCTGTTTGACTCTTCCGATTGTTTCCTTTGTCAGTCCTAAAGCCCTCCTCTCATGTTGAAGAAGGGTGTACTGTTTTTTCAGCTCCAGAAACTCCTGTAACAGAGCCACACTCCCATCAGACAGCACCCATAAAGCATCTACATATGCAGGATTCTCCTAATGCCCTTCACACAAGGAGTATCAAGGAAATCATAATCCAGTCAATGTTCCAGAGTCACCCTGATATTTCCATGGGGATTGTATTTGCATTTTTGCTTTTTTTTAGGTTGAAAAATATCCTTAGTGTCAATTAATTAAAAAGAAACTTCTTTGCTATGAAATATCATCAGTCATTATTGCATGTTAAGGCAACTGTGAGACACTATTTGTCCTATATTATTTTAAGGATGGAAAATACAGAAATAATCTAATTGACAAGACTCCTCAACAAGACTCTTGTTCAGATGGTTGAACAGTTAAACATCTTCAAGATGAAGAACAGAGTAATGAGGATTTAGAGGCAGTAAGGATAATTATTTGGTGCAATAAAGGTAACAGGAGGTAGCAAGGAGGTAGGAAAGGAAGAAATGTTAGTATGAAGAACTCTCCTGGAATTAGGATGAAAATCTTTGGGGTGAGAGTCTGGTTGACCATCTAGAAAGTTAAGTAGCTAAAGACCAGAACCAGCCATGGAGTATTGATGTGGGATACAGGTAAACAGGAAGCCCCTTTCTCAACATCTGCTCTACAGAAAATGGTCTCCCAAGTTGGTGGAAATTTTACTCAGCACATTAGGAACTAAAAGCAAAGGAATAAGCAATTTGTAAACACACTAACATTTTTCTTTTGTTTAAGCAACTGTATTAACACAACCAACCAAAGATTTCCTGCAAGAAAATGAGTTGATAGGTTCTTTCAGCAGCCTAAATTAATGGGCCACTCTCCACAACCATCTAATTAACCCAAATCTAATGTTTGTAACTTGATCTGTTCTTTTTGGAGATGACTTTCATTTACTATTTTCTTTCTCTTTCTTTTCATTTTCTTTTTGTACTGGGAATTGAACTCAGGGGCACTTAACCCCTGAATGACATAAACTGAGAATATGAAGGTTCAGGAACATTTTGATTTACAGACTATTTGATAAGACATCGCTGAGAATACTTGTATGGGCAGATAGGGAGAAAATACACCAAGATTTGGTCAGGGGCTTCTGTCTTCTATAGGGAAAGCCCTCCACTGCACAAGATCCTTTGGGAATCAGGATCCCTAAAAATGTGTACCACTGAGTATGGAAGAGCATTAAAGGAAATGCTGAGAAATGAGACAAAAGTCTGGGATTAAGGGATTATCCTTCGAAAAGGCACTGTTTGTCTGCTTTTGGTGGCAGGGGTGGGACTAATGACCTTCTCAGCACCCCCAGCCTGACGACGGGCGGATTCAGCCTGAACTCTTGCCCTGCCCGCTTGTTCTTGGTTCCTTTGCCACTTGGTACGCAGCAGGGAGAATCCATCCTCCTGCTCTGACAGCTGCTTTGCTAAGTCCAGCTGCTTATTCTTCATTTCCTTGGCTTTATTTTCAGCCTGTTGTTGATTTAAAGACCAGAAAGGACAAGTCTCTTTATTAAGCAAACAAGAAAACAAATTATATTAACCCCTTAAAAAACATTAAACTAGGTAGAAAGAAAAACAGAGCCTTCACCTCTTCTGTTGCATTTATTTTAGAAAAGTTACAATGAAACATTTTAGATGTACTAAGGAGTTGGAAAAAATATGACAAATATCCATGGATCCACCAGTCGGTTTAGGAATAAATCCCTGACTTTGAGGCAGAGTCCACTGTCCTGCTCCCAGTCTACATCCTTTCTCCCCCAAAGGCACTCTCTAGCCTCAATCTAATCTTTGCCATTCCACTATTCCCATGGGCTTTATGTCACATCCTACACAGTATTCCTAGCAATATATGTAATCTTTCTAAAATGTTTTAACCATAGGCAAACATATCATACATTTCTGCAACTTGAGTATTTAAATTAAAAATTATGCTTTTGCAGGTTGTCTAAATTCATTAATCTGTCTCTAATTCATTCATCATTTTACACATTTACTGTCGTTTGAGGATATAAAAATATATCCAGCAGGTGCTGGTGGTATCTACTTTTTTCCCCTTACAGACAACAGTGAACATTTTATACTTGTGTCCTATGTCAGTGACTGTATTTGTCACATCTAGAAGTCTTATTTATTTTTCAGAATCTTTTGTTCACGGATCATACCCATGGCTTCTTTGGTTTTCTAAATCTTATTTTGTACTTTATATTCAGTAACAGTAACATCCACAGTACCTTGCATTCTGATTCTGTTATTTATTGTTTCAGATGACTCCTGTTTAAAGCAATTTGTTTCTTTATATGTTTGGGAAGAAATCCTGGAGGCTTGGCTTTAAGGTCATTCTTTCAAAGGGAATTTTTGTTTGCCACTGTCAGGCATGGGGAGGGGGGGCGTTATGAACTCAGGACCATTTATTTTTATTTGTTCTTTTTATCTATACATGACAGTAGAGTGTATTTTGACATGTTATACATCATGGAATATAACTTCCTATTCTTGTGGTTGTATATGATGTGGAATTATACTGGTCATGTATTCATGTATGATCAGGACCATTTTTAATGACAGTCCTAGCTTGGATAATGTAGATTTTAGTCCCAAACTCATATGAGAGCCAACCTGTGTGGTTACTCCTCTATTCAGAGGCAAGTTTCTTTATTGGCTGGTGTGTGTGTGTGTGTGTGTGTGTGTGTGTGTAGTAATTTAATATTTCACTAAGGGTTTTGTCTTTCTGTGTCCCTGCTCTATGCAGGGGTCTTGTTACCTCCTTGCATGAGCTTTGTTTTGTCTATTATGCATGGCAACCATCAAACCCCAAAGCTATAACACACCAAGGATTGACAGATACCCTGAGCCTGCTGTCAGGTTAGTATTTGATTAGCTCTCTGCATTCATTGGCCTCTGAGGATTCTCAGGGCTTTTTTTTTTTTCTTTCCTAATATAGCTGCTATACATTTAAAAATTTTAAGTATCCTATCTAACTTTTTTTTTTTTACTAGGAGGGCTCCTTAGGGTATTGGTCTACCATATTTTTAGTATGAAATCCCTTCCTGTGTCCTTGGGCATATGTGGGAATTTTTTCTGGAGCTGGAATATACACACGTTTTCTGTAAAGGGACAGATCATAAATGTTTTACTCTTTGTGGTTCATAATTCTCTGTTCTAACTATTCAACTCTGAGCCCTTGTGGTGTAAAAGCAGCCATAGACAACATGGCCATGGCTGGATCGTACCAATTCCTATTCTAGAGCATGTGTCTAGAAGGGGAGAACCTAGGGACCTCCCTTTTTTGCTACACTGTGTATGCAACCCCCTCCTATTTCTTTTCTGGTGTGTTACCTCTGTTGCTTTTTGATTCTCTTCTCAGGATGCATGTAGTAGATCTACAAGATACAACTCAATAATGGAGACTGAGTCACTTTCAAGCCTGGAGGAAGGGGATATATATAACAGAGGACGGAACCCTGCAGGCAGAGCTTTCTCACCATGGACTGGGTCCTGCTCTGTCTTCCACCTGCCAGGCTCACCATCACAGCGGGTAAACCATGGCCTACTCCCAACCAACTCTGGATGGAACACATTTATTTAGGTGAGATATCTGTTTGGTTCTTGAACACTCTGATGGAAGATCATACTAGTTACAAAAATCTTGCAACACTTAACTCTTCCTTTCTTTGATTTGTGAGCTTTTACAAGTCTGTTCCTTTTCATGGGTTCTGGCCTCAAACCTACTGTTAATTACCTGTGTGACCTGACACAATCACATAGCCTCCCTGAGTCTTAGTTTCCTCAGTTACAAATTGGTGATAGCACTTGCCTCATTCCCCAGAACTGGTTACAACTAACTGAAATGATGTTGGAGGGCTCAGTAAAACATAAATTAAATGCATAATCATGTCAACATTAATGTAACAGTACTATATCAATGTAGAACTTTAGTTTAATACTTAACCCCACTCAAATCTTCATTTATCTTTGTAATAATCCGATCAGATAAGTAAGGCAAGTGTGACGTTGATTTACGTAAAAACTGTTTCCAACCTTATCATTTATTTCAAGTTAGGTTCAAAAAAGGTGGATAATTACCTGCAGTACATTCTTTTTTATTTTTGTTATCTTGGCAGCCAGCTGAGTAATAGTAGAGTTTGCCTGTCCTTGAGTGATTTGAACTTGTTGCAACTTATTCAATGTTTTGTCAAGGTTTAACAAGACAGCTGCTGCTTTCCTAAGGTAAGATATTAGCATATCAGATTAGATAAATACGCAATTCTTGCTTTACTTCACCTTGAGAGTTCACTCAACTCAGTCAAAAACCTTTACTGAATTCTTTTGAAAGTGAATTTCAATTCCTCTTAAGCAGGGCAAAGTAATGAAGTCTTTATTTTGAGAAATAGGAATATTTAAATGCCAATAAAACACACACACACACACACACACACCTACCTACACCTGGTAAAAACAGATTTCTTTGCACAAAGAAACTACTATCAGTCAGTTCCAGCTCTCTGATTTCTCAACTGCAGGGACGCTGCCCTCTTAGGTCCTTGCTGGAGTGGGGCAGGCAAGTCAAGAGGCCCCGCAGACAGCAAGAGAGGACCAACGACCGACCCTGCATTTCAGGCTGTGTTTATTCAGGGTTATTTAAGCTTTGCTGACATTCCAGCTACCCAGGGGCCCAGTCAGAGGTTAAAATCACAAGCATTCCAAGTGATACAGACTATTTTACAGAAAGGAGCTCACCTTTGTCAACATTCACCAGATACTGAGATCTACAGGCTCAAAACTACCTTGAACAGAATGTACTAAGTGACTGAAATATTTGAAAGAACTTTGAAGACGCATCCTTAGAAGTGTTTGTGTCCAAAGAACAATTATCCAAACTGCAAAATATCCCCTGCCCCATCCAACCATCCCTACTCCCAGTGGGAATTTCTTTTCCTTTCCAAACTTTGGGAATCCTCCCTCCTCCCAACATAAACTCCCCACCTGCATTATCTCACTTCTGTAAAATACCCAGAGCACTGCCTACGTATATGTATATGTTTTTTCCATATTCTTTTTTTATATTTTCAATGTACTACTACTTCAGACATTACTTAAGAAAGTAAAAAAGAGAAAAATTCCAGTAATTCTACCACCTTGAAAGATGCGGGCATATTTGAGTATTTTGTCCTAGAATTTTTTTTTTCTTTTCATGATTGAATTCCTCTTCCCTGTGCAATTCAGTTGCTTAATTTAAAAAGCATTACCATCACACTGACAAAATCTCTTCGTATTATTAAAAAAATTTTTTAATCAACATCATTTTTAATAGCTATGTAATCATATTGTACTTACTTAAGCTTCCTGATTTTAAATATTAAAACCAGAAGGGGCCGGGCACTGTGGTGCATGCTTGTAATCCCGGCGGCTTAAGAGGCTGAAGCAGGAGGATCATGAGTTCAAATCCAGTCTCAGCAACTTAGTGAGGCCCTAAGCAACTTAGCAAGACCCTGTCTCTAAACAAAATATTAAAAGAGTTGGGAATGTGGCTCAGTGGTTAAACACCTCTGGGTTCAATCCCTGGTACCAAACAAACAAATTGGGAAGGAGTTGAACTTGCAGATGTGGAACCCTTCATTTGTTTAAGAGGGTGATGAGGCAGTGAAGGTAGTCCAGGTCTCAGCCCTGATGAACATCCAAAAATGGTGCTGGATGTTCACGTTACCATCCAACTGATGATGTGACCTGACCCACATCACTCCACGCTCATAAAAATATCTTTCTGATGCCTTTTTGCTTGGCAAATTCTAAAGGAGTTAGTTAATCCTGTATACCATAGATTCCATTTTACTCCTGTATTATTCCTGGGGCATAATTTCCATTTATTCTGTCCTCCACCACCATAAATTTTTACTATAGTCTTTTTTTAAAAAAATTGAGAATTCCAAAGTAGTGCTTATTATAACAATCCTAAAATTACAAATGGACAAAGAAGGGAAAAAGACACCATATTTCAACGACCTGTTAAAATATCAGCATTTAATTCGTGGAATTTATTGGTATGCATGGGTATTAAGAGGCTTTGACCACTGGTAGGGTATTTAGAGTTTTAGCAAAACAGAAAGCAAGCATCCCTGCCCACTGCCTCCCAAATGCCCAGCTTCCTGGGGCACCTTCAAAAAGAGCTTAGCCTTTTATCTGGACATGGATCTATCAGAGGGTAATTTCATTGCACTTTATAGCTCCTGAGCAAACATTTTTTCAGATGACCTTTTAGCAGATGGTCTGTTAAAGCAAGATGAGAATATTAATACTGCACTTACTCAGCTGCTTTGGCCTTCACCAAAAGCTTTTGGGCTCCATGTGCTGCTTTTTTAAGCTTGTTCTTTTCTGTCCTGTAGTCCTCACCAAGTTGCATAAGTTTCTGTACTTTGTCAAATTCATGGGTTAGATTTTGTGATGTTATTGGTAGGTGGATGTCAAGCACACGATTTGCAACCTTCTCTATGTCTTCTGGAGGCACGTTTTCCTCTTAAATAAGAAGATGGATTTTAGCATCATGTTCCCTTAGCAAACTCTGTATCTACTACACAGAAACACAATGAACTCAAGTCAAATGCCCTGGCATTTGATAATGTGTCCCTAGAATACAAGGACTAGATTGCATATGTCCCATAGATGCTCTTCATCCTCAACCTTCTCTTGCCCCTGCTGAAATGCTGCTTCTGTAGTGCTGAATACTTACTAAGTAAATGCGTGTCAGAAAAATGGAAAACGAAAGACTTGGAACACTGTGCATATGCTCCAAAATATCTTCCTAAGAATTCTTTATTGTAAGTGCAGATTCAAAAGCAGTACAAATGTTTAAATGCCTGCCATTAAAATTTAAACACAGTGAATAAGAGAGGAGTGAGGTTGGGTATGAAGTCAACACAACTCGATTCTGGTCCTCCATGACCATAAGAAGGCTCACAATTTTTTGCTCATCTATATAATTGGGCAGCTATTCCTGATGCTATTGTTCAAAATTCTGTTTTGGAAGGCAATGTGCCAATACAGAGTGGAGTACCATGTGAATAGCACATTGCAAAGAAACTTTTAAACACACCCATTCCTTGCTTGTCAGAAAAGTGAAACTGGTCTCCTTTAAGAACTAAAGTGGAAGATGGCAGGTAGGGTGTGATGTCACAAGCATTTGTCACTCTCCAACTCCTGACTGACCACCCATTACACACAAGGCACAATGCTGAGTCCTGCAGAGAAAACTAGAGATGGTTTAGACACAGGTCTTATCCTCAAAGATTTATGGACAAGAGGGGATATAGATGTCCAGTGTATGCAAATATTGATCATAGAGCAGAAATGGTGACTATGAGACGAAATGCTGTGGATTCAGAGGAAGGAGAAAAATACTTCAGGAAAGACTTCTAACTGGGCGTTGGGGGATGCAGGTTAAACTAGTAGAGACTGTAGGGTGTGGGGAGGGTAGAGGCATCCTAAGCTGAGTGACTTGCAGAAGCCAAAGCTCAGGGTGGTACAAGAAACAGTGATGTATTGAAGGGCACCTAGGCTGGTTCCATAGTTTGGCTATTGTGAATTGAACTGCTATAAACATTGATGTGGCTGCATCACTGTAGTATGCTGGTTTTAAGTCCTTTGTGTATAGAACAAGGAGTGGGATAATTAGGTCAAATGGTGGTTCCATGCCAAGTTTTCTAAGGAATCTCCACGCTGTTTTCCAAAGTGGCTTCACCAGTTTGCAGTCCCACCAGCAATGTATGAATGAACCTTTTCCCCCACATCCTCACCAACATTTATTGTTACTTGTATTACTGATAATTGCCATTCTGATGAGACTCAGTGCAGTTTTAATTTGCATTTCTCTAATTGCTATTAGATTAGAATAGTGTTGAACCTTTTTGCATGTACTTTTTTTTTCAAATATATTTATTTTTTTGGTGTAGATGGACACAACACAATGCCTTTATTTTTATGTGGTGCTGAGGATCGAACCCGGGTCCCACCCCTGCTAAGCGAGCGCTCTACCACTGAGCCACAATCCCAGCCCCTTTTCGTGTACTTTTTGACCATTTATATTTCTTCTGTGAAGTGTCTGTTCAGTTCCTTTGCTCATTTATTGATTGGTCAGCTCAATTCAACAATAGCCTAGCTACGGAACCAGCCTTCAACAGATGTATGGATAAAGAAAATAGTACATATACACAATCAAAAGAAGAATGAAATTATGACATTTGCTGGCAATTAGATGGAACTGGAGACCATCATGCTAAGTGAAATAAGCCAGTCCCCTGAAAAACAAAGACTGAATGTTCTCTCTGATATGTGGATGTTAACACACAACAAGGGAAGGTGGGGAGGGGAAGAAAAAAGTCATTGGAATAGACAAAGGGAAATGAAGGGAAGGAAGTGGGGAGGGGAATAGGAAGGATAGTAGAATTAATCAGACAGAGTTTTCCTAGCCTTGTATTTGAATACACGACCAGGGTAACTCCACATCATGTATAACCGCAAGAACAGGATCCTAATTAGGATAAGTTACACTCCATGTGTGTACAATATGCCAAAATACACTCTACTGTCATGTATATCTAAAAAGAACAAATAAAATAAAATAAAAAGGAAACAGTATATGACAACCCGGCACAGAGGCGCACACCTTATAATCCCACTGGCTCTGGAGGGTGAGGCAGGAGGATAGAAAGTTCAAAGCCAGCCTCAGCAACTTAGTGAGGCCCTGAGCAACTCAGTGAGACCCTGTCTCAAAATAAAGCCCCAAAGCTCGAAATGTGTCTCATAGTAAATTCTAGGATTTATTACTAAATTAATCTTATACAGAAAGCTATAATTTTTTGGCACAGAGTTAATATTTTGAGATTATTCTTGTTAACAAATTTAGAACCAAGCAGTACATAATCTTTCTGATTTAGGAATGTCATTTCTGATTAATGTAATTTGAAATTGGTTATAATTCTTGAGTATAAATATTTAAAAAAATTTTTTTTTGTTTGTAGGTAGATACAATACCTTTATTTTGTTTATTTATATGTGGTGCTGAGGATTGAACCCAGGGCCTCACATGTGCTAGGCGAGCGCTCTACGGCTGAGCCACAGCCCCAGCCCTTGAGTGTGAATTTTTAAAAGAGGAAGAAACAAAAATTATTCTCATGTTGAAAACATATTACCTAATAAAAAGTTCTTCACTGTTTTGATTAAAAGATTCAGTTTTTCTTCCTCGAATTCACTTTGGTTTTTCATATTTGCCAGTTTCTCATTTAGCTGCAAGACATTGTTTTTGGAGACTTCTGCCAGTTTACTTATATTTTTGATCTGGAATAAGAAAACAAAACAACCATGAGTAATGTATGAAAAAACTAAGCACATTCTGTGATATTTAATTACTTAGCTGTCACTAAAAACTAAATAGAAGTCTAGATACTTAAACTATGAATTCATTTTAAAGGACTCTTTCAATTGGTGATTAGTATCTCTTTCATTATCGTGTTTTCACAGTAGCATGAATTTGCCTTTTATAACATTGTCAGTGATCAAAATGTTATTTGAAAACCTTATCAACCTAGCACTAATACATTTTCTTAATATCAATCTAAAATATGAGTTCTGTTTTAATGAGATGTTTTTGCATCTTCCAATACCAACAACTTGCACAGGACTCACCAGCACTCCCTGCCTGCAGTGGCCACCATGTTTAACAAGTTGAAAATGTTTTCTTTTATATAAGTTAAAATAGTAACTCTTCTAAACATTCCTCCACTTCAAGTAATGCACTTTCTCTGAAAGCTAACTAGAAAGCATTCCTTCTCCTAATAAATGAGCTTGACCTGAGAGTGGGCTACAAAGATAAATTCCAAACACTGTGTGCTTGGTGGAGGAATGATGGAGCTGATAGCAACCAGAAGTGCAAATTCTTAATTGTGATTTGAGAAAGGTCATGGGCTTTTTCTTAGGATTCCAACAAATTAGAGAGAGGGAGGAGAAAAGCAGAAAGCAATAGAACAATATTGCCAACAAGCTGAGCTTTAGTGAATAAATTAATTGTGACAGAAATAGGGCCAATTAGGATCAAACATAATTAGGGAGGAAATACCTTCCTTTATTTCTCTACAAAAGGAACCTCCCTAATTTGAGCCATATAGATTTTGTGAAAAAGCATTTGTGTTTTGGTCATTAGCAAGTGATAAAACAAAAGAGAAGTATTTACATGATGAAATGTGTGTATCTTAATTCTCTAGAATTTTCTTAACTTTAAAATAGGTTTCTATCTATTTGAATGGGTATGGATAGCAGTAAAATGAGGATTCCAGAAATAAATATTCTAGACAGGAAAGTACCAAGTGATACAGATGAAATCTCAGAGTAGATTAGTTGATACCATATTCAGAAAGAGATTGCTAAATTACTTCACTCTTAAAACATCTCTCTGTAATCCATCTTCTGTCACAATTGATTTCTGAGAATTCTCTCACAATAGAAAATAGTACCCTATTCTATCAACATCCCTCTCTCACCCTTATCTAGCTTCCCATTTATGTGCTGATTAACCCAGACTCTCCCAATACAGACTTCAGGGTTTATCTTTTATCACTGATAGTCTAACACTATTATTAACTTAAAGATAAAATCAAGCCACAATCAAGGTTCAATTCAATGGTGTCTTTTTTTTTTTTTTGAAGAAGGACCAATATAATAGTTTAAAATTACATAAAACAATTCTATTTAACTACTGGGACTTAAGACCAGGATTTGCAGTTATGACTGCTGCTGTATTCCCAACTTGTAGATCAATGTCTGGCACATGTTGGCATATTTGTATATAACAGTGAATATTTATGAAAACAATGGGGAACTACATAAAAGTGAAAAACTAGGGCTGGGGATGTGGCTCAAGCGGTAGTGCGCTCGCCTGGCATGCGTGCGGCCCGGGTTCGATCCTCAGCACCACATACAAAGATGTGTCTGCCGAAAAACTAAGAAAATAAATATTTAAAAAAATTCTCTCTCTCTCTTTCTCTATCTCTCTCTCTTAAAAAAAAAGTGAAAAACTATGTAACAATACAAAATTGTGGCCATGTATATAGAATTGTTCATCATTTAGTACATGTAGGATATTCTCCAGCTTGGCTCATCAGATACTTGCTCCAGAACTTGGACTCTGTAAGCAAGTGGACAAGGATGTAAGGGATGTGTATGTGTTTTTCTTGGCTGTGGTTCTCACCCAAATCCCAAGCTTGGCCCTTTATATTTCTCTTAATTCTGAGACCTAGAGGTCCTTACATACATTTCTTTTTTTTTGTTTGTTTGTTTGTTTGGGAGTTGGCTTTTCTTGCTTGGGAATGAGAATGCCGATTAACCCAATATTCAACCCATATTGATTTTAAAAATTCCAGTCCTTAAATTTTGTTTTCTTCTTCATCAAAGGTTCTATGTGCATAGTCAAAATACAAGTTGCATCATTGTTATTTTCAAAACCAAAGAATTCAGTGCATCTCGAAAAAAATCTAAAGGACTAGGGATGCAGCTCAATGGGGAACACTTGCATAGCATGTCTGAGAGCTTGGTTTTATCCCCAACATCAGAAAAGAAGAAAGAGTTCATGACAATGACAACGGCAACAATGATAATGATAATGATGAGCTAGGTGCTTAAATATGATACTTATTATAAATATGAGCAGAAAAATAAACAGAGATGACCATAATAACTTTAAATTAACTTTATCATGTCTACCAACATAGGAAGGAGATCAAAGCCTCAGGGTGTATTCCTATTAAAATATTTTCTAACATTAAACCAATATGGAAATTTATGTACTTAGTAGAATTTTAAATAAACCTTTGAATTTTTGAAAAATTATTCTTTGCTTTGAGAGAGCTATAATTTTTAAAACTTTAAGGCTACATTTCTATGTAGTGTTTTCTATTAAAAAAAAACAAAACAAGTCCACACAAGTCTATGACCCACAGAAATACCCCTTGAGTTTTTTCTTTTCTCCTTTCTTTAACACACACACACACAAACACACACACACACTCACCCCCCACTCTCAATATTCACACTTTAAAATCTACATTCATATCCATATCTATATTTTAATAATAGAATAACTATTGTTTCAGTCACTAGAACATCCAATATGTAGAATCTATCTTCTCTCACTTGGAAGTTAAATGGCACTTCAAAATTTTTCCTTTTTCTTTATTGCTACAATTTTAAAATCAAGCAAGAGAAGAGATTATTTACCTGATTCTTCAACCCTTGAGACTGGTTGTTCAAATTTTGAACCACAGATTCTGCATCCTGGGCTTTTTGGAGGGCATTGCTTGAGAGGGTCAGAGAGTCATGACAGTTGGGACCACCACACCGCCTGTGTCCCTCAGAGTCCCTGCAGAGAGCTCCCCCACAGGGTGAGAGATCACATGACAAGTTCCCAGGTTCTCCACACACCTCACAGGAGAAATGATTTATGTTAAAAGACAACTTGTTAGCAGATTTTCTAACACTACTGAACTCTTTGAAGTAAGGCATTGCTTTATTCATGTGAATTTCTTCAACAGTTATTCAAGCTTGGTAAATGGGGGTGACCTATTGAATGTTTCCTAGGTAACTAGGTAACTGAATAACTACCTAAATTATTTCTCAGTATTGTGCCAATATGTCATTTTTGTATTTATAGTTTAGGGGAAAAATGGTTAGATTTTAGGGTCTCCATGTTAATTTAATTTTTATTCTTTTAAAATGTGTATTAATTTAGCTGGGCACAGTGGTGCATGTATATAATCCTAGCAGTTTGGGAGGGTAAAGTAAGAGGATTCCAAGTTTGAGACCAGACTCAGAAAGTTAGCAAGATCCTGTCCTGAAAATAGAAATATAATAAGGAGTGTGAATGTACCTCACTGGTAAATAGCCTCTCAGTTCAATCCCCAGTACCAAAAAATAAAATAAAATAGATATTAACTTTTACTTACAAAAATCAAGAGGAGTAAATGCCCACAATCGGTATACCATTTCAGAAATAGTAAATAATATAAAACAATAAAGTCAAGCAATAATCTTTAATATGATTAAAAGTTAATCAAAAATAAAAATTAAATATATTTATATATTTTGATAAAATATATATTACATATTATTTATATATTATATATTTGAATTGCTCACACTTTTATTAATCTAAATTTAAAAGTAAGTAAAAAATAAACTATAAAATAGGGAGGACTGGGGCTGTGGCTCAGTGGTAAAGCACTTGCTTAACACACGTGAAGCACTGGGTTCGATCCTCAGCACCACATAAAAATAAACAAATAAAATAAAGGTATTGTATCCATCTACAACTAACAAATATTTTTTAAAAAAGACAGTGAGATACAATTAAAAAGTTTGTATACCACATAGAATCCACCACACTTTTACGTACCGTTATGAGTATTTACCTTCTCATTCAATATCTGGATATCTGGTATCTTAATCTGCTTTAACTTTTCCAATGGCAAGTTTTCTTTTGAGGTCAGTGTATCTAAAATGGTAAGCAAGCTGGTCCTGGTGTTTACAGAGTTATTTATGATGGAACCAGTTTCATTAGTTTTCTTTTCAGCAGATGATGATATGCGGTAATACTTCTTGATATTTTCTAAGGAATCTACATCAACACAAATTGAGGTAAGTTAAATTTTGTGAAAAATAATTGCATCATCTCTCACTATGATCATTCTACAGTTTGGCTACTATCTTGGTCGAAACTTTCACTACAAAATTTCAAGATCCTCTTGCTTGATTTTGCCTTTAATGGGGAAGAAGAGACATAGTATAATAGATCTAGACATGAGATACACAACTTTGACATTAAAGTCCACTGGGATGGATTTGTCCTGGTTCCACTCTCTACTTTCTGGATACATCTTAGAGCTAATCAGTTAATCTCTTAGATTTTGTTTCTTTATTTGCAAATTCTTAATACTTTGTGAGGACTGAGATAATATGAAAAATTCTGTAAAATATGTCACAAATATAAAGTGTTGACTATAAACACCTATATAAACTCTAATATGATAAAACAATTAAGTTTACTTGACTGTAAAGAGCAGGAGTTGACAAACTATTCAGCAAAAGTCAGAGAATTAATGTTTTAGGATTTTCTGGCCATGATGTTTTTGTCACAATTACTCAACTCTGACATTGTATGTGGAAAGCTACAACAGGTAAGGTTGTGTGTGTGTTTTTTTTTAATTTTTTTCAGTTGTAGTTGGACACATACCTTTATTTTATTTATTTTTATGTGGTGCTGAGGATCGAACCCAGGGCCTCCCATGTGCTAGGCGAGTGCTCTACCACTGAGCCAGAACCCCAGCCCCTAAGGTTGTGTTTTAATGAAATTTTATTTGCAAAAAGAGCCCATCAGCAGGAATTGTCCTAGGGCTGCACTTCACAGACTCCTGATGTTGAGGCTGACGATGTTAGCTAAGAATAGCTAGTTGAGAGTTTTCTTCTCTTGTTCTTTCTTCCTTTCCTGGTTGAATCCAGGGATGCTTTACCATTGATCTATATCCCCACCCCTTTTTAAATTTTTTAAAATATTTATTTTGTAGTTGTAGTTGGACACAATGCCTTTATTTCACTTATTTATTTTTATGTGGTGCTGAGGATTGAACCCAGGGTCTTGCATGTGCAAGGCGAGCGCTCTACTGCTGAGTCACAGCCCCCCTTTTTAAATCTTTATTTTGAGAAAGGATCTTGCTAAGTTGCTTAGGGCCTCATTAAGTTGCTGAGGCTGACCTTGAACTTGTAATCTTCCTGCCTCAGTCTCCCAAATTGCTAGGATTACAGGCATCTGGTTGCCAGTTGAGTGTTTTCTATATGCGTATGCTTTGATTTTCTTCCTCAGTCTTCAGCAAACACAGTGAAGAATACATCAGTGTGATCATTATCATTTTACAAATGAGAAAACAGAGGCTCTGGTGAGGTACGTTATTTGCCAAGACCTCACTGGTAAGATAGCAAGCCAGGATTTGAACCCAGTGGTTTGACTCGAGAGCCTGCATTCTTAACACTTCTATTTTCTGTATTTGTGATAAAACATGAATTCATGAATGTAATATGGTATATTTTAATGGATATTAACATACATTAGACTTTTAAACTATACCTCTACATTTTGGGAACTGGGGGCCAGGCTCCTGATCTTTACCTCCTACATAAGCATATCCAAGCATAAAACAACCACACCTTATCTTTTCAAACTTTCTTACCATTGTCATGCTCTTAATATATCACATTTCTCATTTATCATGAAAAAACTAAAAACACATTCCTATTTCTTGGAATGATTTTTAGTTTTTATTTATATGACAGATTTATCTCTGTCCTGTGACGCTCTGTTCAATGGCCACCTACTCCCTGAAGCCTTTCCTAATAAGCCCAGAAAGAATTCTTTGCTACTCTGCTTCCAAAGCAGTTGCTAGTGTTAACATGGTTGTTTCTATTCCTGTCTCCCTCAGCAGACAGGAATAACTCAAGGGCAGGTACCTGCTGATTCATTGCCTTATTTCTACTGACCAGCATAGTGTCAAGAATACAGAAAAATCTGTGTAACTACTGTTGGACTGCAAATTTGAGAGGATTAGCATGCGGTCAAACTTTATGCAGAAACTTCTTACCTTCAGTGCTTGCATTAAGAATGCTAGATTGCAAATTATTTCAGATTAGGAATCAGTAAATTGTGTTGAGCATCATTAATAGATCTGTGGTAGAACTCATTTCACTAAATGTAGGCATTCTTCAGGGAAATTAGGCATTCCTAATTGTATTTTTTGCCCTCTCTTTTGGGGTTGAAATTAGATGAAAAACATGTATTTTCTCCCATTTCTTCTTAATTAGACAGGGTAGGTAATTCAGTATTGCTTCCCTTGGTAGTAATAGGTTGTCCATCACCAAATACAATAGGGATGTCATCTTAAACAGGAGATGAACTACACGGTTTTGTTTAGAGTTCCATTTATTCTGTAAGTTGATTTTGCTTTGGCACGGCTCACATTCAGTTTTAAGAACTATGCAATGTGATTTCTAGTATGTTGCTTGACTAATTCTTACAAAGTTCGTATGAGAAATGTTGTGTTTAGTCCTTTTTGCTGCATATTCCTTTGTATTTGTGGTTGCTGGAAATGCAGTAGTTTACACCCAGGAAGGCACAGAAACCTCTCTCTCATTTGCTTACAGCCGTCTTAGAATTTCTAAGTTGCTGATTACTCAAGACACCTTATAGGGTTTAGCATTAGATTTCTTTGGGTTTTAGTATTTGTTTAGAATCAGATATTGTTACCTTTATTTGTTATTTTGAGCAAATGTTAACCAGGCTCTGTAATGTTTAAAAAGCTGACCTCTTCATATACAAACAAAACATTTAATGGGTGTGTTTGCATGTTCTAAAGCATTCAGGCGCCATGGTTAAGTATGGGATGACTCACTAATGGAATGAACGATGGATTTCATCAAACTTCATGCAGAAACAGTCAAAGACCATTTTTCTTCTTACCTTCAGTGCTTGCATTAAGAATGCTAGATTGCAAATCAATTTTCTCCTGAACGTTTTCAAGCAAGTGGTCTGTTTCATTCCTCATCCTTACTATGGTTTCTGTCAGATCTTGGAATTTGTACACCGTTTTCAATTGTTCATTTAGATGCATGATTTGTTTTCTGTTGGAGAAATGAGGGTTAATGTGTTTACTGAGGGTAAGGTATTATGTGTGATATATTACTGAAAAAACATGCCACATAAATTGCTTTTATTATCTTGGGTGTACTCAATTAGAAGGGACCCCCCTCCATAAACACAGTTTTTCATTTGACTCTATAATTCTGTTTATGGTTCATTTGTTTTCTCTTAATTAAGCTTCCTGAAATATTTCATTTAAACTAATACCTGTATACCAATTCTGGCAGAATAAGGGTTTATAATCTTTCCATGTCAACTATTTATGCTCTCTCTTTCTTTGCTTTGCATTTTAAAACATGTATTTAGACATGGTTCATTTAAATCAATTTAAAAGAGCCCATCTACCTCTGGTTTGCAACACATGATAACAAAGAACAAGTCACCCAGCCTAAAGTAAAAATCAGTTCTTAATTTAGAGTAAATCTATGTTCAACAAATTTTGTTTCAGTGCTCCTTCTGTGCAGGGTTTTAACTTTAATTTTCATGAGTGACATGGTGAGCGTGTTCTGGGTCTATTTTTTCGTATCATCTTCTCTTTGATCATGCATACCTTTGTAAAACCTCAATTTGCTGGGTCCAATATATACAGCTGGTTCAAGTAGATTATGAGTATATCCTTTGTGATGCAGAAACTGGGTGAAAATCTTGGAGGGTACACTTAAGGGAACATGAATTATGGGATTAATTTATCTTGGCACAAGTACAGAACATTAGCTAATGCTTTCCTAGCTTTTTCTTCTCTTTCTTTTCTATAGACTTTTCCTTCAGGCTTCAGTTGTCACAACTATGATTCTTCAGGCTAATAGTGATAACAATAAAAATAGTAATTATTGTTATTCCTTAAATACTATGTGCCAAACTCTATACTAAGTGTCCCATCTTGAGTAATTCTCCCAAGAATCCTATGAAACAAACACTTTATCTCTCTTTTGTTCACGAAGAAGCTGTAGCTTGGAGAAGTTAAGTTGCCTTCCTGAAGCTACACATATCTAGTGGATGCAAACCAGGGAGACTTGACTTCCCAGTTCAAGCTTTTGACATCCCAGGTTCTCTGTCTTCCTGCTCCCCTTTGATTTATAATTTATCCAGCAAATGTTCATTATGTAATTACACTTGGCTTAAAAAGACAAACACAGGAGAAGGCAATCCCTGCCTGGGAGTCCCCTGGTGAGGCAATGGCAAAGGAGCACAATGAAGTGGGAGGATGGAATAGGAAACACAAGTCTTTCTCTGAGAAGACCGGTAGCCACCACCGTCTTCTCGTCACTGTAGGCATGGCCCCGGGATCCCCCTTCTGCTGTCTTCTCTCTAGCTCTACTTAGGGCTCTTTCAGTCTTTTTGTAGACTGGCTCATTCTTCTTTCTTGTTGGTACACTGACATTTTCCTGACATCTATAACCACAAACCACTGGTCTTGGCCTATGCTCATCATCAGGCATGTTTTCCTTGGGCCACTTAGTGCATTTTACAAGTGCTATTGGGTTAGCTTTAGAATGCTTTAAAATGAAAACATGTCATGAAAATCTAAATGTCTGTGTCTCATAAAAAGCAGGGGGATCTGGTAACACAGGGCCAAAATCTTGCAGGGCAAAAGTCATTAGAGGGTAGAGATGTGTCTGTTCTCATTGGCCAGCTTGACTTGGCCATGTGATTTCCCTGGGCCCTATCACTGTGTTTATGAGGTGGTGGCCCTTTCTCAGAACTATACAAGTAGGCTGTATCTCCTTCCTTGTGTAACTTTTAAGCAATTGTCATATATATCTGAGATATTCACATATCAATGATGAATGACCTTAGAGTTGCACTTGAGTTACGTAGGACATAATACTCTATAGCTTCAACTATTTCTTAATTCAGGAACTTTTAATGGGGAGTGAAGACATTGTATTATATAACCTCACTTTTTGAGATTTCTTAGTAGACTATGAGCTTCTTTGAGGATAGTAACTATACCCAGTTCATCCAGGTTTTGCCCAGAGAAAGTTGGCACACTCTGCCTCAGGAGTCGAGGTGCCCGTCCTAACTGTGCAACTCTGCCATTCCAGAGGGAGAGCAGCCACAGAGGGTACGTGAATACATGAGGTTGGTTATGTTTCAGTGAACTTAATTCACAGAAGCAGGGCTGGCTTGGATTTGACCTGTGGGCTGTAGTTTGCTGATTTCTGGCCCAGAGAAACCAATGTAATCTTGAGAAATGGTTGATGAATGGGGGAAAAAAAAAGGAATCAACAATATGTAATAAAAACAATCTTGCATTTTGAAGGAATACCATATTTGTTATAAGACTGCACACTAATGTATGGGCTTCTAAACAACTGAAAAATTTGGGAAAATTTAGCAAGTTTTCCATGAGTGCTTTGATAAAAAATAGTATTTTTTGTATTAGAAACAACTATACTTCCAGTTTGTCTTTTCAGCTCTGCTGGGTTTGAACTTCCCAATTAATCTCCTTTCTCTGTGGGTGGAATCATGCCCCCAAGTGTGCTGGGCAAGCGCTCTACTACTGAGCTAGGTTCCCACCCCTCAATTAACCTCGTATTGACTGTCTTTTTGTTATAATCAATGGCATCTGGAAAAAATCACATACAATTCTAACAAGGCAAGAAAGACAGACCAGCAGGGTTACTAGCCTGGTTATTAACTGAACACTTATCTATTCCCTGATATCAATGAAGACAGAGGCAGGAGCTGAGGTAAGTCAGGAGCTGGGCTATCTTTCCCTCAAGCACAGAGCTTACCTAACAGAGTCATGATAATCCTTGACTTTTAAGAATTCCTCAGATGAGAGAACAGGATGTTTCAAAATCCTCTCTATTTCAGACATGTTCTCTCTGAGGCCTTTGAAGTCGACCTCACAGACCGGCAGGGTCTCTCTTTTATCTTCCATGTTAGCAGCCAGCCTAATTAACCCTTGCACTGCTTTGGAGAGGGAAGAAATGGCTTGGTCCCATTGATCAAAACACAAGTGACATCGAAGACAAGTAGGGAATTCCTGACCATGACCCCGGGCACAGTGGTCACATCGCTGGCCGCTGACACCCTCCCGGCAGTGGCACATGCCTGTGTCTGGGTCACAGATAGGCTTCTGGGTTCCTTCCATGTTGCAGTCACATGCTAAAAAGGAAGAGAAAAGAAGCAAAGAACGTCACTTTGTTTTTTTGCTTATGACTAGCTCAAGAACACAGCTCTCTCTTCTTTCCTGAAAATCTTTCCAACGTATGTTTCTAAGGTGGCTATTTAAAAACTATACAATTTCAGAGATCTGTGCAATGGTCATGCCTCTGTATAAACATGCCTCTGTATATTTCAATAGCAAATCAGTTCATGGTTTCTATATGGAAAATTTGGGAAACTGTTTTATATATTGTGTGTGTGCCTATGTATGTTCTTTATCTGTTTGAGGGAGACATGTGGATTTGATGGTGGGTAGCACTTCAGACATGCTACTGACTCAAAGAAGTCCCAGGTGTGCTGGGTGTGCTGACCCACGATGTCTTCCATTACATAAGGGGGGGCTATTTCATTCTCAAAAAGTGGGGGAATTAAATGCATATTATCTTAATTTTGAAAAATTATCTGATGCCCCATAGCACTTTGAGTAGGTTCCTGATCAAATCAGAGGATGGACGATGTGGGAAGCTATTGTCATCATTGCAATCTCTCAAAGATTAGGGAATCACTGGTCCATGTCTTTCAACTAATTGCAAGAAACAAATGATTTAAAAGGCATTTGACAGTTTGAATATAAATAAGGCCAATTACAAATACAAACTGATTAACACCCTAACCTCCTCAACTAGATATTATCCAGCACATATTATCAGATTTGGTCCAGGGGCTTCAGCAGGAAGCCCTGGGGGTAGTGTTATCTCACTTCCCCAGCTGGAAGGCAAGGTTCCCTCATCATTACCTGGTCTCCTCCAGGAGCTTTAGTGGAGTCTGTGGCCTGTGGGGAACATTTGTAAAGTTTCTCTATTGCTTCACAATAAAAGGTAAAAGCATTTTTATGAAATAAGATTATTGGAATATTAGATGGTTATGGAAAAAGAGGTCCTCTAAGACAAAATTTCCAAAGGTTAAAATTTCTCCCTGTTTTTTGTTTTTCTTTTCTTTTAGGGGTGATAGTGCTGGAGATTTTACCCAGCACTATCAGCAGCAAGCACTCTACACTGAGCTACACTGCCAGCTCCTCCTCCTGGTTTTGAAATGATCAATTCTGCTTAGAAAACTAAGTAAAGTGTAGCATGGAGAGAACTCACTGAGTACACATATTTGAAGGGGGCAAGGGAAGGATGGCAATATTTTTAGCCACAAAAGACCATTTATACAGAAATGGAGAGGAGGAAAGAGTTATCATGCTTGGCGATATAGGGGTGACCATGATGGTAAGACCATCACATTTGGCATTTCTTTGGATTGATCTCCTTTGGAAGCTGATTTTAAAAGGAGATTAAAAAATCCTGTTCCCTAGAACCAACCTAGACTCTAAATGTGCACTAATGTGGCACCCACTAACTGAATGTGGCTATTTTAAATGAAATAAATAAAGAATTCTGATCCTCTGTTTCAGTACATGCTAGTTACCTGTAGCTGGTAACTGGGCAGCATGGAGGCTGAACATTTCCCTCACTGCAGAAAGTTCTATTGGACAGAGCTGCTTGAAATGCTGCTATTTAGGGCTCACATACGTCGTAATGAAGGCCACTGGAAGAAACTCCAAGAGGATAGTGGTGTCACATTGTTTGTGACACCTAAAACACCCAGCAGGCGTTCTATGAATGTTTATTAACTAAGTAACTATGGGATAGACCCAGGGTCATGGATCACTTTGAGGAAATATTTATCTCTCTGGCTTCCTATGCCTATCTCCCAGCCTCTCCCTCAGTCCAGAGTGGTTAATTTTCCCCCAAACACTTGTAAACATCAGAAAATTGACTATAAATCATCGTCCTAGAGGTCTGTTCCACTGTAGTGAATTCAAGGAATTATTATTATTATTTAGTTGTAGTCTCACTATATTGCCCAGGGTGGCTCCAAACTCCTGAATTCAGAGATCCTCCTGCTTCAGCCTCCCAAGTAGCTGGGACTAAAGTCATGCACTACCATGCCTGACACAATTTTGAGGGATTTGAATATAGGCTAGTTTTTAATACAGGCTAAAAGTTTTAGCATAGGAGAAAACTTTTTTGTAGGGCAACAAAAAGATTATTTTCAAAACTCAGATAAAACTTTGTGAATTTTCAAATGAAGTCCACATCTAAAATCAACAACCAAATGAAGGAATTTGAAACTCAGTGGGTTCATCATGTGCCCACGGCAGGGCCAGCTGAGTGTACTCACATGCTTAAAGAGCTTCAATACTTACGAAGGCATTGCCCGAATGGGTCACCATAATAATTTTCCTGGCACTCATTACAGCGTTTCCCACCATAGCCCAGTTTGCATAGACATTGGCCTGTAAGCTGTGAGAACAGTCAGAGGTGAGGAAGGGACGAGCTCTGTGGTGTGAAATATAATGCATTTGCTCAGGGAACATTTTTCCCTCCAGTGACTTAGAACATACAGCTGTGCAAAAGCGGAGAAGGATGATTCCCACGGCCAGCAAGCACCCTGGATAATACTGAGACTCAGGAGCTAATGTGTTTTGGCCCTAGGCTGTTGGATATACCGCCTGTGTCCAGCTGTTCAGGGACAGGTGGCCCCAAGTGGGGAAACATACACAGATGTAAATGAAAACAAAACACATATTGGGAAATGGGCCACATTCTTTCCCTCTACAGTTATGGGAGTTTCCCCCAGAAGAGAGAGATGGGGAGAGAAGCCAAAGACCTGGTCTAACATTCATCAATTAATTTGGCAAGTAATGTTTCCATTAAGGAATGTAGATTGTATTAACTGAGCTAGGGTTCTGCTAAAATAAAAAAAAAAGGATTGTTTTGTACTTTATATTAATCATTTAATGACTGTCGTTTAACTGTGAGGGAGAAGACTAAACTTTCTTGAATCCTCCCAACTGGATTATTGACTAGTTGTTCTAAAAACTGAGGAGGTTAGAAAATAATAGGTGAGAATACAAACATAAAACACTATTGTAGTAGTCCTATGCTTGACCAAATCTGCTTAAATGTCAACTCTGTCAGAAGGCTTCCAGTAAATTAGCAGCTAGATTCATAAAGTGACTGGGTCTACCAAGCTTCTACTCATCTTTAGATTCCCATTAGCTTCTGCTAAAAAAAAAAAAGAAAAGAGGGAATGATAGGGAGCTTGCTGCTCTTGAGGCCTGTTGTACTGCTAGTTGGTCTGGATTGTTGGGCACTGATTTCTCTACTGATGCAAAATCTGCCTCCTTGTAACTGGTTCCTACCGTTATGAGTCCTGACTTGTGGAATTGTATAAAACAGGGAGGCTCCGTCTTTCTTAACAAAAGATGGCCATCTCAACTGGCTTTTGCATCTCTTCTCTAAGCTGCCTGCCTCCAATTCCTTCAAACCTTCATCACAGACTAGCATGGTTCTATCCCTTATTCTAGTTGCCTTTTTTTGGACATAACCTCTATGTTATGTTTAAAATATGATGCTGAGCAGAAAGACAAATCCTGACCACTCTCATTCATATGCATGTGGAAGCTTAAAAAGTTGATCTCATAGATGTAGAGAGTGAAATGGAGGAGGCGGGAAGGATAGAGAGAGGGGAGAATAGAGGAGGGCGGGTTGATGGGTGCAAAAATACAGTTAGGAGGATTAAGTTCTAGGCTTCTATAATATAACAGGGTGATCTAGTTAATAATTTATTACATATTTCAAAATAGCTAAAAGAGAGGATTTTGAATGTTCCCAACACAAAGAAGTGATAAGAATTGAGGTGATGGATATGCCAAGCATCCTGATATGATCATTACACATTGTGAATATGTATCAAAATATCACACTCTACTCTATAAGTGTGTATAGTTACTGTATGTTAATTAAAACTTTCTAAAAAATTACAAAAAATATGGTGCTCAGAAATGACCACAATGCTCCTGGAGCTTCCTGACCAGCAGAGCAGATATGGAGCAATGACTGCCCTGAGCTGGGCATGCTGTGACCCCGCTCTAGTTGGAACAGGCATCACTCCTTTGGCAGCCCTGGCACACTGCTGGCTCACTTGAAGCTTGAACTTGCAAGTGAAAATTTTCAGATATTTTTCACAGGAGCTGGTGCCAAGTTATTATCCTGTATTTGTGCAAGTGATTTTAAAAACCTAATTGCACAATTTTACTTCTACCCTGTTAACATTTCCTTTTGTTTCTAGCCTACACGACAGCCTGTTAGGTTGTGCTGTCTCCTGCACATTAGCTTACAGCTTTGCAGTATCTGCACATTTGAGAAACTTCTTACTCCAACTCTGCTAAACTGTTGATGAAAACATTGGACAACACATTGGGATCTCTCTATGGGAATGCACTAGGGGCCACCCCTGGCTGACACAGAGACATTTATCAGTAGTTGTTTGAACAGCTGGGAATCTAATTATTCACATGTCTTCTTTATACTCCAATGAAAAGTGTTTCCTGATTGTAGAGAGTAACCTTCCACATGGGATCCACAGTGGACCAAACAACATAAAATACCCTTGCTATGAGGTGCTTTTTGGTTAAACAAATGTCATCTGACCTTCAGCTTCATAGGCTTCCTTTAGCCTCCATGGCTGAACTGAGTGTTGAGTAATGCTACAAAGATGCTTCCCAAAGGGTCTAAGAGGCATGTGGGACAGAGCAGTCATCCATGTTAGAAGTCCCTCATGAATCAGGAAGCCCAGCAGTCTGTGGCGTTCTACCAATTTATTCCATGGTTAGTGGATACAGGTAAGAAGGGAACACAAAAAATGGGTGTGTTCACCTAGCATCCAGATCTTGAACTCTAACACTATCTCCAAAAAAGGAACCAGCACTCATTGGACAAGGGGCTGATTCTAGGACTGGAGCAAGAAATACATAAAGATGAGCCTGAAGCATTTTTCAGTATAAAAAAATAAGGAAGTACTTTGAAAAACCCTACAATTTGGGGGTATGTCAAGAAGACACAGGGGCCTAATGAATGAGCTTCCAATGGTTAAAGTTGGAAAAATTTGAACAACAAAATAATGTTGGACCATAACCAATAGTGTAAAAGTATCCATGAATTCATGGTGATATAAATAAATTGAATAAATGCATAAATGGGGGACAACAAAAATATCTCCAGTGCAGAAGAATTCCAACTATTCATGGAGATACTCTGCCCTCCAGGGGGTGGACATAATTCCTTGCTGCTTGAGTGTGGGTTGTGTGTGGCGACTTCCATCCAAGAGTACAGTGTGTAAAGGAAGAAGAGAGTGACTTTAGAAGACAGAAACCTGACCAGTGCTACCTCTGCCTGGTGCCCAAGATTCACGTCAAGAGTGATAAATCAAGCTCCTTGATCCATTTTGAGTTAACTTTTGTGCATGGCGAGAGGAGGGGATTCAGTTTCATTTTGTTGCATATGGATTTCCAGTTTTCCCAGCACCATTTGTTAAAGATGCTATCCTTCCTCCATTGCATGCTTTTAGCCCCTTTATCAAATATAAGATAGTTGTAACTTTGTGGATTAGTCTCTGTGTCCTCTATTCTGTACCATTCATTGGTCCACCCGCCTGTTTTGGTACCAGTACCATGCTGTTTTTGTTACTATTGCTCTGTAATATAGTTTGAAATCTGGTATCGCTATACCGCCTGATTCACACTTCCTGCTTAGAGTTGCTTTTGCTATTCTGGGTCTTTTATTTTTCCATATGAATTTCATGATTGCTTTCTCTATTTCTACAAGAAATGCCGTTGGGATTTTGATTGGCATTGCATTAAACCTATAGAGAACTTTTGGTAATATCGCCATTTTGATGATGTTAGTTCTGCCTATCCATGAACAGGGTATATTTTTCCATCTTCTAAGATCTTCTTCTATTTCTCTCTTTAGGGTTCTGTAGTTTTCATTGTATAAATCTTTCACCTCTTTTGTTAGGTTGATTCCCAAGTATTTTATTTTTTTTTGAGGATATTGTGAATGGGGTGTTTTTCCTCATTTCCGTTTCAGAAGTTTTGTCGCTGATATACAGAAATGCCTCTGCGTCTGATAGAAGAAAAAGTTGGCTCCGATCTACATATTGTGGGGTCGGGCTCCAAATTCCTTAATAGGACACCCATAGCACAAGAGTTAATAACAAGAATCAACAAATGGGACTTACTTAACTAAAAAGTTTTTTCTCAGCAAGAGAAACAAAAAGAGAGGTAAATAGGGAGCCTACATCATGGGAACAAATTTTTACTCCTCACACTTCAGATAGAGCCCTAATATCCAGAGTATACAAAGAACTCAAAAAATTAAACAATAAGATAACAAATAACCCAATCAACAAATGGGCCAAGGACCTGAACAGACACTTCTCAGAGGAGGACATACAATCAATCAACAAGTACATGAAAAAATGCTCAACATCTCTAGCAGTCAGAGAAATGCAAATCAAAACCACCCTAAGATACCATCTCACTCCAGTAAGATTGGCAGCCATTATGAAGTCAAACAACAACAAGTGCTAGCGAGGATGTGGGGAAAAGGATACTCTTGTACATTGCTGGTGGGACTGCAAATTGGTGCGGCCAATTTGGAAAGCCGTATGGAGATTCCTGGGAAAGCTGGGAATGGAACCACCATTTGACCCAGCTATTGCCCTTCTCGGACTATTCCCTGAAGACCTTAAAAGAGCGTACTACAGGGATACTGCCACATCGATGTTCATAGCAGCACAATTCACAATTGCTAGACTGTGGAACCAACCCAGATGCCCTTCAATAGATGAATGGATAAAAAAATGTGGCATTTATACACAATGGAGTATTACGCAGAACTAAAAAGTGACAAAATCATGGAATTTGCAGGGAAATGGATGGCACTAGAGCAGATTATGCTAAGTGAAGCTAGCAATCCCTAAAAAACAAATGCCAAATGTCTTCTTTGATATAATGAGAGCAACTAAGAACAGAGCAGGGAGGAAGACCAGGAGGAAAAGATTAACATTAAATAGAGACAGGAGGTGGGAGGGAAAGGGAGAGAAAAGGGAAATTGCATGGAAATGGAAGGAGATCCTCATTGTTATACAAAATTACATATAAGAGGTTGTGAGGGGAATGGGAAAAAAAACAAACAGAGAAATGAATTACAGTAGATGGGGTAGAGAGAGAAGATGGGAGGGGAGGGGAGGGGGGATAGTAGAGGATAGGAAAGATAGCAGAATACAACAGTTACTAATATGGCATTATGTAAAAATGTGGATGTGTAACCGATGTGATTCTGCAATCTGTATTTGGGGTAAAAATGGGAGTTCATAACCCACTTGAATCTAATGTATGTAATATGATATGTCAAGAGCTTTGTAATGTTTTGAACAACCAATAAAAAAAAATAAAGAAGCCAAAAAAAAGAGTGATAAACCATGTTAATAACATGTACCCTTAATATGATGTGATGAGAAGGGGAACACTTTACCTCCTAGCTCTTCTCAAAACCCATAGCTCCAGTCTAACAAGGAAAACATTGGATTAATTTTAACTAAGGGACATTCTACAAAACACCTCTCAAAACTGTCAAGGTCATCACTAACAAGGAAAGTCTGTGAAACTGTCACAGCCAGGACTAGCCTACAGAGACACAATGACTCACTATAGTGATATTAAGTAAAAACTTAAAAAAGATATTAAGTAAAAACTGAGAAAATCTGAATAAATAATGAAGTTCAGTTAATGATAATATATTGATCCTGGTTCATTAATTGTGGCAATTAGTGTAAGATGTTAACAGCGGGGAAAACTGGTGTGGGGTACATTGTCTCTGTACTATCATCAGAATCTCACAAATCTATTCTAAAATAAAAAAAATTTTCATTTTTGAAAAGGAGAATGGTAGGTTTGTGTGGGTTGGTGGGGGAGTGTTGCAGAAGAGGAAGAAGAGAAAGGAAAACACATTCTATATGTAAGAACTCCCTTCAAAAATGTACGTTAGACTTGACCTTTGAATAATAAATTGAACAGTGCAGCTGAAATTGGAGGTGAGCTATGCATACGAATTATGATTACTCTAGCTTCTTAAATTAGTATTTTGATCCAATTAAACTCTGATCCCTATATTGTGAATTTGTCTTTTTCAAAAATTTCTTACTATTGTTTTATCCTCTCTCATCTCTATTAATGTGAAAAATGGATTCATTAAGCCAACAAACAAGGCAAAACAAAAAAAAATTATGATTTGACATTTTTTCATTAATAGATATTATAATAATCTTTAAAAATTCTATGCCCCTTGTTTTATTGACTATAAACCATAGTTAAGTAGTGTTAGCTGTATATTCTGTGGTGACCATTGGCTCCCAGTGGCCTATCTAGCCTGGGCTCTTTAGAAGCACTCATGCTGGTCTGAACATAAAGAAGAAATCCTGCTTTACCACACATAAAGAAACTTACAAGTCCTCAGAAATGACAGCTCCATTTTAAAAATGGAATTGTGTCTCTAGCATGGTAAACAAAACAAAACAAAACAAAACAAAAAACCCAACCAACCAACATAACAACAGCAGCAGCAGCAGCAACAACAACAAAAGGAACTGTGGATTCTGAAGGCATCTGTTTATTTATAAGTAATTTCTGGTTAACAGCCTATTTCTTGGGTCCTCCCTATGATCCTGAGAGGGAAGGTTCGTATCTGGGCTTTGTTGTGCAGGAAGTCTGACTTCCCCAGTCACAGACAGGCCTAAGGAAAATGGAAGTGGGTAAGCTTAACTCAGAGATCCTCATACTCTTTTTCTGAGTCTTTTCATTCCTTAGTAAATAAATACCAACTCTGTGTCTATATAAGGTTATTCATGTCTAAAAACAATAGCACACTTAGAAAATTTTCTTTACACATTTGGAAGGCACATTTCAGTCAATACAATTCTCACTTTTGAATGCACTAGGAAGTTTTAAAGTGTCTTGCCTGGTCACAGTGGCTGCTTTGAGAGGTCTGGTGGTCACAGTCACATGACTGACATCCCCTGCCAGGGACAAGATTCCAGTGTCCATCAGCACAACGGTCACAAGCCAGGCCTGTGACATTTGGTAGACAAGGGCATGCACCAGTGATGGGGTCACAAAGGCAAGCTTCCTCACCAGGGGGACACACAGTGGGACTGACTCCAGATGGGTGGCAGGAGCATCCTGAGATAAGACAGCTGTTGTTAGAAGTAAATTCAATAACACTGGCATTTAACAAACCATGGGAATAGCTTTTTAGACCTGGGTATATCGTTTTTTTCCAAATGAATCAAAGAAAACCCTCATAATAGCATGGGATTTATTAGAGAATCTAAGCTGAACCCATTCAATTATTTTTGATCCCCCCCAAGTGCCAGTTTCACACATGTCAACCCACTGTGCTCTGGGAGCTCACAGTAAGGATGACTATAAGCCTTACTTTCCCCTTATGTCATTCGCCAAAGCCCTTTTTATTTAAATGATTTGGGGGAAAAAAAGGATTACTAAATCAGTTTAGGTTAGTGGAAATAGTTAAAATATCCACTGATATTTTAGTGCACATTTTTTCTTTCTTTTTTCACAGAATAAATCTTGGTCTTCCACAGTGATTCTCACATTTATACATTAAAGCCACTTGATTAGCTTCTTAAAATACAGATTCCTGGGCCTCACAGAGATTCTGATTCTGGGGTCTGGCCTATAACCTAGGAATCTGCATTTGAGTCTCCCTACCTCACCCTAGCTCCAGGTGATTCTGGACCCTGTGGACCACACTTTGAGAGATATGCTTTGAATCTACTAGGACAGGTGTTAAAGACAAGAGTCACAAAAGGCAAATGAACAACAGCAGTGAGAACATTGAGACTGCATTTGAGAGAGCCTGCGGTGACACTGCACTCATTTCTGTGGGTGTCAACTCAGAGAAACAGTCCTATCACCCAACTGGTGTTGGGTGCTGCTTTCACTTGCAGGGACCGGCCTAAATGAAGCAAGCATGGGAAAGCTGACAACACATTAATGAGTTGCCACTCAGCCACCGCATTCCTCCCAGACAGCTTTGCAGACTTACTTCTGCAGGTCTGATTGAGGGCTGATCCAAAGTGACCTGGTTTGCAGAGCTGGCAATTTGTGCCCTGAGTGTTGTGCAGACATCGAAGGCACTCCCCTGTTATTCGGTTGCAGGACTCTGGATCAGTTACATCTATGTTGTTGTTGCAGGCACATGGCTGGCAAGGTGCTCCCGAAACACTTGGATTACCGTAGAAACCAGCAGCGCATTCCCCACACTGAACACCTGAAGGCAGGTGGTAAGAAAAGGGAACAGGATGAGGCATAAGTGTTGGGTAATGGAGGGGGATTGATGTAAATAGAGAATTCTTGGACTCCTTTAGGTATAATGAGAAGTCACACCTTTATTTCATTTAGTATTCTAAATGAAATAAAATATTCACTTGATGTATTATTCATTCAGAAAATTAAAAGATCATACAGAACTAAGAAGTCTTTGGTGAAGAGTAGATTCTATTCTTATCAAAAACTAAGAAGTTGTGGGCACAGTACTTCTAAGTCCTTATGTCACCAACGTTACTCTTATGTGCCCCAGGACTGAAAGTTCAGTGCAACAGCCCCTCTCCTCCTGATGGCACACCAACTTTCACCCAATATGATAGGGGAGCTGTGGTTAAAATGAGGCAGCTCTGAAGGGAAAATGCACCCCCCCCCCCCCAAAAAAAAAGTGACTGATTGGGAGGTGTGTTTAAGGTGAAGAAAGGTAAGAGCAGTTTTTGATATATGAGCCCTTGAGGGTGTTTCTCCCAAGCACCAAATGAAGAAGCCATCTTTCTCTCCAACACTCTTTCCCTTCCAACCTCCAGGGAATTGCAGTGTTTAGGTGCCCAAATGGTGGATCCACTCTTCATATTTTGGTTTATCCCCTTGGAAATGCTCTTAGCCTAAAGATGGCCTCAGTCCTTAAAAACTGTCGAATCAAGCCAAACTGTGCTTGGAGAAGAAAGAAGAGGCAAGAATTAACCAAGGCCATGTATAACCTCAGGTGTAACAAACAAGAGGAAAATCAGTCCTGTGATTTGTTATTTATAATGGTAATTATCCTTGAAGAAAATAATATTGCCATATTTTTAAGTATAATTAAATCAAATAGACTTTTAAAGTTTTTCCTTGCTTGCATTATATACTCACATTCATGATTAAACTCTTTAAAATAAGAATTTTGGGGGTTGTGGTTGTGTCTCAGTGGTAGAGCGCTCCCTCACATGTGCCAGATCCTGGGTTCGATCCTCAGCACCACATAAAAATATATAAGTGAAATAAAGGTATTGTGTCCAGCTACAACTAAAAAATAAATATTAAAAAAATCCTGTTTTTAAAAAAAAGAATTTTGGTGGAGCAACAGATACAAATTTAGAATTAGAACTTATGCAGTATCTGCACAATGCCCAAATCAGTGCTCAAAGATATTGAAAAAAATTAGTTATATCTGTTAAATAACAGTCAAATTGCTTACTTGTAATTATACAAAGAAAACATTTGACTGATTAAATTTTATTATTTTATTATTTATTTGCTTATGCAACATGTTTTATACATATATATTGATGTTTTACATACATACAAAACATACATATGCTACTTAATCATATGTATTTTACTAAGCATGTGATGATTATAATTTAAATAATTTAACTTGATCTCATTTGGTCAGTTAATTTTCTAAAACATTATTTAAAAGCAATTATAGCTCAGTGGAATGAGTTTTTTACTTGTCATTGGTTTTTGAATCCTTCAAATTCATTGTTCAGTAAAGGAACAGCAACTCAGCAAATTGTGCCTTCTTACCATTAACTGATCTTCTGCACCACTCATGTGTCCAAGGCAGACAAATTATGAACATGTGATCATTTTCAGATTGCAGCATGGGATGGAAGGAAAAATGATGAACTAGACTTCATACCTGCGTAACCTTGAAGACAATTGCAGATTACATCTGACATCCAAGGACTCTGATAACAGGAATGGGCAAAATACTGATTGCTTGAGGGAGCATCTGGACACAGGCAAGGACGACAAGACTGTCCTAAAGAAGGATTTCCATAGTAACCATCGATGCACCTGTCAAAGCAATTTCCTTTTACCAAATGCTCCTGGGAAAAGGTCATGTGTTAGCAACTGTGGATTTGCTATGCTTTAGGACAATGCAACTCTCAAAACTCAATATTTTAAAAGATGTTGTGTAAAAGATTTTTTTGTTTGTTTGATTTATATTGAAAGTCCCACAGTACAGTCCTTAAACCCTTCATGACTTACATGTTGGAGTGGACAAACATAAAAAGCAACGTGCCAGGCTAATGGGTTACAGATTTAATCAGACATTTTCTGGGTTCATAAGATGACTCTGAAGCATGATGGAACCATTATCTCCACCACCCCTGGCATTTGTTCTACACTTAAATACTGTGGAGTATTTTCTTGAAGGTCCTCCTTTGTGAAATCGGAACAAAAATTTCAAAATCTAAAAATTAAAGTGCATGTGAATTCCATACCTTTCACAGTTTCTTCCGGTTGTGAAACCTCCACAATCGAAGCACGACCCTGTCTCTGAATCACAAAGTTCAGCAAACCCATTGCAATGGCAAGGACGGCAGTTGGGAAACCCAAAGTAGCCTGCCAGGCACTGATCACAACGGCGGCCAGTCACCTCTTTGTGGCAGGTGCACTGACCGGTTATTTGGTCACAGACTGTGTTCTTCGAACCTTGAGGATGGCAGTGACATGCTGGATAAAACAAAGAGAATTGTGTTGGGTGGTAGCAAGCATGATGGTGATGAAACAGTTAAAGTTACGATTTTTTTTGCATTCACTGTCTCAACCCAGGTGAATAAAATGAGTCTGTAAAGTGCTTAGAACAAAGCCTTGGCACATAATGAGCACCAGACAAATGTTTTTTAAATAACTGATTCATTCAATAAACAGTAGGTTTTGAACGGCTGGACCTTATGAACCCTTGTTTATACAGAATAACCAAATAGGCAATATGTTTTCAATGACTTACACTTCCAAATATTATTAGAGGTCAAAGTATAACTTTGATACTGTAAAAAATGTCAGAACCCTTCTTGGGATAGTCAGAGTTTTCTTTTTCTTAGACTAGGTAGTAGAGGCCCAATGCTTTTCTGATAAATTACTGAATCTCTTGAGCCAATCTTCCTTGTACAAAAATGTAAGGGCTGTTGGTTTGATAGCGTGTTACACAGAAGAAGTATTTGCTCCCTGTGTAAATCTCTTTGCATATCTTAAGCACTTCATAACATTTTTTTAAAAGAAAGAAAAAGTAATAATGGACCTAGGTAGGTACTGTTCACTAGGTAGGCAGCCACACCCAAGAAATGCCAAGGAAGAGGACCCCATCTTTGAATCATGTCTGAAAAGATATGTTCCCCTAAAATTGAAGGCATTCCCTCTAAAATCTGGAACAAGACAGGGATGCCCTCTATCTCCACTTCTGTTCAACATAGTTCTCGAAACACTGGCCAGAGCAATTAGACAGACGAAAGAAATTAAAGGCATAAAAATAGGAAAAGAAGAACTTAAATTATCACTATTTGCAGATGACATGATTCTATACCTAGCAGACCCAAAAGGGTCTACAAAGAAACTATTAGAGCTAATAAATGAATTCAGCAAAGTGGCAGGATATAAAATCAACACGCATAAATCAAAGGCATTCCTGTATATCAGCGACAAATCCTCTGAAATGGAAATGAGGACAACCACTCCATTCACAATATCTTCAAAAAAAAAATAAAATACTTGGGAATCAACCTAACAAAAGAGGTGAAAGACTTATACAATGAAAACTACAGAACCCTAAAGAGAGAAATAGAAGAAGATCTTAGAAGATGGAAAAATATACCCTGTTCATGGATAGGCAGAACTAACATCATCAAAATGGCGATATTACCAAAAGTTCTCTATAGGTTTAATGCAATGCCAATCAAAATCCCAACGGCATTTCTTGTAGAAATAGAGAAAGCAATCATGAAATTCATATGGAAAAATAAAAGACCCAGAATAGCAAAAACAATGCTAAGCAGGAAGTGTGAATCAGGCGGTATAGCGATACCAGACTTCAAACTATACTACAGAGCAATAGTAACAAAAACAGCATGGTACTGGTACCAAAACTGGTGGGTGGACCAATGGTACAGAATAGAGGACACAGAAACCAATCCACAAAACTACAACTATCTTATATTTGATAAAGGGGCTAAAAGCATGCAATGGAGGAAGGATAGCATCTTCAACAAATGGTGCTGGGAAAACTGGAAATCCATATGCAATAAAATGAAACTGAATCCCTTTCTCTCGCCATGCACAAAAGTTAATTCAAAATGGATCAAGGAGCTTGATATCAAATCAGAGACACGCCGTCTGATAGAAGAAAAAGTTGGCTACGATCTACATTCGGTGGGGTCGGGCTCCAAATTCCTCAATAGGACACCCATAGCACAAAAGTTAATAACTAGAATCAACAAATGGGACTTACTCAAACTAAAAAGTTTTTTCTCAGCAAAAGAAACAATAAGAGAGGTAAATAGGGAGCCTACATCCTGGGAACAAATCTTTACTCCTCACACTTCAGATAGAGCCCTAATATCCAGAGTATACAAAGAACTCAAAAAATTAGACAATAAGATAACAAACAACCCAATCAACAAATGGGCCAAGGACCTGAACAGACACTTCTCAGAGGAGGACATACAGTCAATCAACAAGTACATGAAAAAATGCTCAACATCTCTAGCAGTCAGAGAAATGCAAATCAAAACCACCCTAAGATACCATCTCACTCCAGTAAGATTGGCAGCCATTATGAAGTCAAACAACAAGTGCTGGCGAGGATGTGGGGAAAAGGGTACACTTGTACATTGCTGGTGGGACTGCAAATTGGTGCAGCCAATTTGGAAAGCAGTATGGAGATTTCTGGGAAAGCTGGGAATGGAATCACCATTTGACCCAGCTATTCCCCTTCTCGGTCTATTCCCTAAAGGCCTAAAAAGAGCATGCTACAGGGACACTGCTACATCGATGTTCATAGCAGCTCAATTCACAATAGCAAGACTGTGGAACCAACCTAGATGCCCTTCAATAGACGAATGGATAAAAAAAATGTGGCATTTATACACAATGGAGTATTACTCTGCATTAAAAAATGACAAAATCATAGAATTTGCAGGGAAATGGATGGCATTAGAGCAGATTATGCTAAGTGAAGCTAGCCAATCCCTAAAAAACAAATGCCAAATGTCTTCTTTGATATAAGGAGAGTAACTAAGAACAGAGTAGGGACGAAGAGCAGGAAAAGAAGATTAACATTAAACAGGGATGAGAGGTGGGAGGGAAAGGGAGAGAGAAGGGAAATTGCATGGAAATGGAAGGAGACCCTCAGGGTTATACAAAAGTACATATAAGAGGAAGTGAGGGGAAAGGGAAAAATAATACAAGGGGGAGAAATGAATGACAGTAGAGGGGGTAGAGAGAGAAGAGGGGAGGGGAGGGGAGGGGGGATAGTAGAGGATAGGAAAGGCAGCAGAACACAATAGACACTAGTATGGCAATATGTAAATCAATGGATGTGTAACTGATGTGATTCTGCAATCTGTATATGGGGTAAAAATGGGAGTTCATAACCCACTTGAATCAAAGTGTGAAATATGATATATCAAGAAACATGTAATATTTTGAACAACCAACAATAAAAAATAATTAAAAAAAGATATGTTCTCCTATTGGAAAGGAGAATGAACCTATCTACCTGTAGGTTTCATGGCTCCTAAGGTAGGTTTCAGTGGGGAACAATATTTTAATGGCTTAAATAGTGAACAGATAATTAAAAATCCTACATATGAAGCCAGAAAGCTGAATTATAACTGGCTGAAAGAACTGGGTGGCTCCCTTCATGTTTTTTTTTAATAGCTTTAACTTATTTATCTTTTATCTAGTGCTGAGTATCGAACCCAGTGCCTCACACGTGGTAGGCGAGCCACAACCCCAGCCCCATGGTGGCTCTTTCTTGACTTCCTGGTCTCATGGGGGTTCTAACCTCTCCAGCCACTGGGCTTAAAGGGTATATCTTTAAAACGCTGGGTTTGCCTAGCCAACTCCCTTCATGGTGTTCCCACTTTTACCGATTACTTCCCATTTAACACAGGATACAAAATTCCAGACACGCAAACCACATTTTATTCCTAACCGAACTCTACACTCAGTTGGTGCTGGTTGATCAGTGGATGAATGAAGTTTGGTAGGAAAAATTTCAGCACATTTTATCTACATAAAGCCTGAATAACGCAGTCAAGTTCCCAATTTCCCTTCCTTTAAAACCCCCACATGCCTCTGCCTGCCTTTGAAATGCCGAGATTGTAACTAAGCATGTTTCCCCTTGTATATTTTTCTACGTACAGTGACAGCCATGATGTCCCAAACCGTAGCTTCCAGTTGAGCACCTGTCGCAGCAGCGCCCAACCACATGAGGTTTACACTGGCACTGGCCTCCAAGTGGGCTGCAGCTGGATCCGACTGCACCCTGGGGGTGACACTTACAAGCTGAAAAGAACAGAGGAACTTGGATAGAGCTGAAGGAGGTGGCAGAGAAGGACCTTGCCCCTTGTGGATCTAGTTTACTTTGTTTGGCACTTCTCTAGCCCTTGTCTGCCTCAACTGTTAAATGGGGACAATATAGGATCTACCTTATGGGACTGTGGTACAGATCAAAGGCAATAATACCTGTGTAGCACTTAAAATCACATTTGGCATGTAGTAAATACTCAACAATAATAATGTTATTATTATTATTTATTTTTGATACCAGGGATTGAACCCAGGGGTGCTTAATCACTGAGCCACATCTCCAGCCCTTTTTAATTTTTATTTTGAGACAGGGTCTCGCCAAATTGCTTAGGGCCTTGCTAAGCTGCTGAGGTTGGCTTTGAACTCAGAATCCTCCTACCTTGGCATCCTGAGCTGCTGGGATTACAGGCATGCACCATCATGCCCACTTTAAGCCTTTCATTAACTTGTTAAATAACATTTATTGAAGCCAGGGATGGTGGTGGCCTGTAATTCCAGCAGCTCCAGAGGCTGAGGCAGGAGAATTGCAAGAATTGCCTTAGAAGTTTAGGAAGACAAGACTATGAGCAACTTGCCGAGACTCTGTCTCAAAATAAAAAATAAAAAAGGCTAGGGATATGGCTCCGTGGTTAAGTGCTCCTGGGTTCAATCCCTGGTACCAAAAAAAAAAAAAAAAAAGGCTTAAAAATTATTCTGTTATAATTGGTATTATTACTTCAATTTCCAATGCTCTATGTTGGTGCTGGAGTATACCTATGAATTTTCCCCCCATTTCATATATTTCACAAGATGGTGGGCACACACACTGAACCCACAGCCCTACACTATAAAAACAAACAAACAAACCATTTGCTTAGAGCTCAGGAAGCCCGAGCTCTTACTCTATAGCACTATTTCTCAACCAGGGGATTATTTTGCCCCATAGGAGACATTTTTGGATTTCATGACTCAGGGAGGGTGATACTGGTATCAGGTGGGTAGGGATGTGGCTAAGCATCCTATTATGCACACACCCAATAAAGAATTATGCTGCTCAGAAGTTATATAGTGTGGAAGCTGAGAAACCCTCTACTATACCTAAGTGAATGGGCAAGCTGCATAAGATTTTTGAACCCTAATATCCTAATTTATTGAAGGTTTCAGGATGAAAGAACTTGGTTGGAGTTCCTTCCAGTCCTCAAATTCTGAGATTCCAAATGGGTCCTATAGGACCATTGCTCAAGCTGGCCAGCACTCCAATGCTGCTACAGGGTAACTGTTTTATATACTTACTATACTGGGAATTATGATTCTAACATATTGGCAGAATGCTCTGTACATCTGATGATTGAGTGATGGGTATTTTGGCTGTGGTTTGGAGTGGATACTAGAATACATGAATTCACTTATGTTCCAAAAGGCATTTGTACAGTTCTTAGTGCTTCAGTAGAGCCCATTAGACAGATACTCACCCACTGCCCCATTGTGTAGCTTGGCAGACATGCTGGCCACGAGCCTTTCACAAGCACCAGAGAGCACTTGAGGTCCCACTTCCGAGGCAATTTCAACACAGTTGTGCAGCTGATACTCATCCATGTCTTTCTTGCTGCAGAAATCCTCCCATGAATTGATTTGAGGAATGAGGCCAAGCTTTGGAAATAATGAGATTTTTTTTCAAACCCTCTGCTGTCCAAGATTCTCATGATATAAAATAATAGATCTCTGAGAATAATGGTTTAAAAGACTTAATAATCCAACTTGTCTAGGACTGAAGACTTTGTGATTTTTGATTATCTAAGAAATCTTTAATTAGGTATTTTCATTTATTGATATATGGCAAAGAAATTAGATTGCCTTTATCTTTTTATTATCATCATCATGATGTTTTTTTACTTGCTAATAAATTTGTCTTAGATATCAAAGACTTATCTACGCTACTTGTGAATTAATTATGGCTGAGACAGTGCTTTTCATGTGGTAGAGTGTACTATAATTCCATAAAATTCTCCTCTAGGCTTTTTTTCAGTTACATGTTAACAGTGGTGTTCTACCCACAACTTCTTGGAGATTCACAGTATAGAATAACAGAGTTACTAGAAGTCCTACAGGAAAGATACTTTTAAGATTCAGTGTTTACTATTATTTAATCAGTTGGTCCTATATCCAAATAAGACCTCTTATTAAAACCAGTGTTTCATAGATAAGATTTTGGGAATTGCTGGCATAGGCCATTTAGCTGTCATGGGGACAAATGTATCAAAATAAGTTTATTTTCAAAGAGGACTCATCTGTAGTTTAATATCTATGTGAAGAAAGGCTATTATGTCACATGTTCTGAGAAAAGTTTGTTATGACCTAATACTGTTTATCTTTTTAAATTCTTTGTTTTACCTAATACTATTTAAAATGTGTATTAATGGCTTTGGATGATAAAGTAGAGAGTATGTTGACCACATCAAGGTGGTCATTTTGAACACCTGGTGTTAAAAACAGTATTGAAAATAGGTTTTCATTCAGTGGGTCAAATTAGCCAGGACTGGGTGGCATAGATAGATCTCCCCTGGTTTCCTCTTTGCTTTGTTCTTACTGAAACCAGTTTTCACCGCCCTTTACTTCAACCTTCTCCAGCCTTTCCCCAGTTGCTGTTGGCCACACCTGTGGGTGGGCTCTCAACCCTGGATGTGTATCAGGGTGTCCCTGCTCCTTGACTCGCTAGCCTGGTTCTTCTGCACTCTTGGCGGATGTTGTCCCCTCTTATTCTTCTTATTTTACAGAGAAAATAGACCCTGAATTCTCCTTCCTACCTCCCAGACTCCAGCTTGGAATATCACCAACTTCCATGTCTCCAATTGCTGACAAAGGGAGAGGCGTTTTCTACGAGGAGATGTCCCATTGCCATCTCTGCCACCATTGGGAAACTCTGCCTCACACTTTCTTGCTTCCGTCTCTTCCTTTCAGCTGAAATTAAATGTGTCCACATCTCTCCCACCTGTACAACCACCTCCTTGATCTCAGTTATTCCTCCTACCACTGCCCCTGTCTCTGGCCCTTGATTCTTGGACAGACTTCCTGAACAATGTTCTTGCCACCCCTCTGCTTTCTTTACCAGCTAATACAATACCTCTCCTCACCCCTTAATGTTGGGGATCCTCAGAGTTCTCTCATTAGCCCGTTCTCACTCCATTCCGGCTTCCTCGGTGCCACCTCTAGGCTGTTGGCATTGGAATGTATGACTCCTGCACCTGCCTCAATGAGACTCCACATGTGCAGATCTGCACTGATCCAATTGCCTATTGGTTGCCCCACAGCACCACAAACCAGACACTGAAACCTGTTCTCCTTTCTGAGTCTGCTGTTGCTAAGTTATGCCACCCACCGCATCTGCCAAGCTCTCAGTGGAGGGAACAAGGTCATTTTGACATCTGTTCCCTTTCTGTCAACAAACCCCACCACCACCTGTGTCCCACCCACATCACCTAAATCAAAAGCCTGCTCAGTTCTACCTCTTAAATGTATCTCGGATGCATTTACTGTTCTCCTTTCCCTCCCACTTCCCTAGCTGACGAGAGTGGCAGCCCAAGAGATGTCCCAGTTTCCATTCCTGCCACCTCCCAACAACTTTCTGCATTCTAGTTGTTTTAGTAAGCTTCTCATCACTGTGACCAAAAGACCTGACAAGAACAACTGAGAAGAGGAAAAGTTTATTTTTGCTCACAGTTCCAGAGGTCTAGTCCAAGGCCAGCAGACTCTAGCTGTGGGTGAGGCAGAACATCATGGCAGAAGGGTGTGGCAGAGGACAGCAGAACAGGATAGGGCCACCAGGAAGCAGAGAGGGAGCTTCACTCACTAGGCATAAAATATAAACCCCAAAGGGACACCCGCAGTGACCTACTCCTTCCCCACACCCTGCTTGTCTATAGTGACCTCCCAGTTAATCCAGTCAAGTGAATGAATCTACCAATCAAGGCACAGCTCTCATGTAATCCAATCACTTCTCCTCTGAACATTCTTACATTGTCTCACACATGACTTTTGGGAGAACTGCACATATCCAAACCATAACCATAGTCATAATGATCCTGGTTAAATGTGCTTTGTTCAGATAATCCCCTCCTTATAAACTCTTCAGTGGCTTCCACTGCCTCTGGAAAAAAAAAATCTAAACTTATTTTCCTCATTCTGCTACCCCACTGCCCAGCCTGGCAGCCCAGTGATTCTCACTATGGGAGGCACCTCCCACTGGGGACATCTGGAAATTCAGAGTGGTTTTCATCATCACAGTGGTTGAGTAAGGTGTGTTAAGGGCATTTAGTGCATGGGGGTCATAAATACTAGACATTCTCATAAAATGGAAAATGATCTGATGTTATCTACAAATTTCAAATGTTCCATTGAATACCCATGCATGCTCTCCACCAGGATCTGCTGCTTTGCCACAGGCCCCAAAGCAACAGAGCCAACCAACCAAAACTATGAGCCCTAATAAACCTTTTTTCTTTGTAAGTTGCTTATCTCAGGTACTTGGTTATAATAATAGAAAGCTGTTCAAAACATCAGTAGGTTGGATTAAAGAAGGTTGAGAGCCATTTGATGAGTCATACTGAGATTTTCAGGCCAGTAACCCACTATGACTCCAAGGACCTCTTATATATTCTGTTGTTGTCTGCTTGTCTACATGTCCCTTTTATAGAGTGAGCCTTGGGTGGCAGGGATGGTATATGTCTTGTCCGCACCTGTGCGTAACATCATGTCTAATTTATAGTAAGTGCTTCATAAAACTATGTTCCATAAACAAGTATATTTATATTTCCACTATTTTATATTTAAGTTGATACAAAGGTAACTAAACATTTAAAAACAAAAACAGGTAGGAAGAGAGTCAGGAGACAGGTAGATGGTACAAGACTGGGGATAAGGGTAACCGTCCAGAGACTATTAATAGCTATCAGTCTGGAACAGTTTAGAGTTGGCTGTTCCTGAAACCAGGCTGATGGACAAGATGACAAGAGTCTCTGTCAGCTATAGGATTTTGTAATGCCATGACTCACTTCTTTTCCTAGAAACTTCAAAAGATTTTATGTTTACCAGTGTAGTCTGCTCCAGGATTTAAAAAGAATGGCAGTTTTATATTCTAGAATGCCTAATATACTTTTGACTCCAAACACAGTTTTATGGAAGCACATATCATGTAATCTGAGCAACTGAAAACAAATCTCAACTGTCTTACTATGTCTGCCAGACAAAAGGCATTTGTGCCGAAGAGTACCCAGGGTAGAACAGAGGTTGCCTTTGGTCTTCTTGGTATGTACTCTGGTCTTAGATGCCAATGATAATCTAAGGGGAAGAATGAACTTTGATATGACTCAGTCCCAACTGGTTGTGTATTTTCCAGAGTAGCAAAATTAGTAATGTAGCATTAAGATGTTAATTTGTAATAATGAAATGTACAATGTCTTTCTTCAGCTGGCCGTCCTGTCAGGGCCTATAGTGCACACTGAGGTGCCCAATCTAGATCCTTTTGGGCTAGTGTATCAATCCTTCAGCTGCTATGGCATTGTCTCCTAAAGACCACAATGGTCTTCTTCAGAAAATAGGACTCAGCCATCTTGTCCTGGAATTTATGTACTCATTGGAGGGCAGGTGGTGGTGACACTGGTGAGCCTACAGCCAATGACTTGGGCACATTTAGGAACACCACATTGCCTCCAGGTGGATTTAATTCTTTGGTGCAATTCCTCTTTTCCTGGGAACATGCCCTCAATAAATTACATATATTCGAGACTCTGTCTCAGGGCATCTGAGACCCTGCTGTTAGGGAATAGTGTCTAAAACAGGAATCCAGGGCCTCTTCTGAGATTTTTTATGGTTATCCAAGATGATATTGCTGTCCTAATTTTTATTTATGTTTCAGGGTTTTTCATATATATAAGAGAATGATTGCTTGAAAATGATCAAATGGATAAGTTTTTAAATTAATTTCAAATTATCCACTTATACTTATCAAACATTACTGCAATAATTTTAATTACATGTTTGTTTTCTATATCAAATTGAGATTTCTTTGAAGGCAAAACCCATATTTTACACCTTAGGCCTAGCACAGTGCCTAAGGTGTATACGTTGTATACAGTGTATACGTTTAGCGAAGAGATAATTTGGATGGATATATTTAATATAGCATCAAGTAATAACCTTTGGAATTTATAAAATTTAGAAATATTTAGAATATGGGTTTAAAATGAGGACTATCTTGGCTATTATAAGCTCAAGTTTTGTGATCATCATCATCATCTCCTTAGTGATCTAGGGATCCCTGGATACTTTGTCTTTATTTGCTCTGTCTGGGTTCCCAACTTTTAGCATTTTTTTGTCCCTGAATCAAACTTGTTGGATATGATTTTCTTCCTTTTGTAATTCATAGGTTGGTTCATAAGCACAGTTCCATTAAAGCTCCTCAGCAGAGAAGATAAATTGTATAGGTAGGGAAAGCATGATAGTTTGAGTTTCCCATTCAAAACTTTGTTTCTACTTTCTACTTCATTTCTATTGTAATGTGGTAGAACCTCACCTCAACTATTACATAGCCCTCCAGATGTGGGGTTAGGCCACCTTGGTTAAGGTTGCCAGTATTACCCAGTTTAAATTGAATTTCAGAGAAATAACTGGTTTTGTCAGTTTTTTTTTTCCCTGCCGTGACCAAAAGACCTGACAAGACAAGGAGGAAAAGTTTATTTGGGGCTCACAGTTTTAGAGGTCTCTGGTCATATATGACCAACTCTATTCCTCAGGACCCAAGATAAGGCAGGATATCATGGTGGAAGAGTATGATGGAGGAAAACAGCTCAGGACATGACCACCAAGAAGAAGGGTGGGAGTGGGAGAGAGAGAGAGACAGAGATGGGTGGGGGGCTCCCTTCACCACAGACAAAATATAAACCCAAGAACACACCCCCAGTGGCCCACTCCTCCAACCACATCCTAACTGCCTATCGTTGCCACCCAGTGAATCCTTATAATGGGATTAATGAAACGATTAGGTTAAGACTCTCATAACTCAATTATTTCACTTCTAAACTTTCTTGCATTGTCTCTCACATGAGTTTTTTGGGGACACCTCATATCTTAACCATAACAACAATGAATAATTTTTCATAAATGTCTTATGCAACATTTGAGGACAATATTTATATGAAAACATATAAATATGAGGGACATATTTATATGAAAACTTAATTGTTCTTCTGAAATTCAAATTTAACTGAATATACTCTCCCTTCCATCCTTCCTTTCTGCCTTTCTTGGCTAAACCTTGCAATCCTATATTTGGCTAAATAAGCCAAAAACTATGCCTGTTTGATGTTAATGATAGGTAAAACTTGTTTAATAAAATCCAAGATAAACATGCCCGTACTGAATTCTATATAAGCAGATATGATAAAGTTCCAGGATTTAAACTTTAAATGTTTGATGGTTAAATATTTGAACTTTGAAGGCTTAATTTACATGACATAAATATATTTTACACTAAATGAGGGGCCTAGAAACTACCTGTAAAGGGGTAATAGTGAACATATTTGGCTTTGTGAGCCAGAAGGTTTCTGTGCAACTCCTCAACTCCTATTTGAAGTTTTAGTTTGAATCAACTACAGATAATACACAAACAAATGGGCATGAGTGTGTTCCAATAAAACTCAGTAGGGACATAGTTTCCAAGTAAAATGTGAAACTGAAAATTAATTGGAACATTCCTTCCAGAAAAGAATTTGGTAAATTATTTCAAGAACCATGAAAAGATAAAGTAGAAATCTATTTTAAAATTATATATCATATATACACAGTCATGAAAAATCCACTTATGTGACCACAAGTAGAGTAATGGGTAAATTAAATAAATTTACTCAATGCCCAAACTCTGGCTAGTGGCCAGTCTGTATTGGAAGGACGGTGCAGATAAGAAGTTTGGAAGGAACACCTATGGTTCAGCTCTATGGGAAAGATGCTGAGAGAGGTCACTCAGAGCATTATGCACGGTTCCTAAAACAGATAAGATAAAGCTCCCGTTCCTAACTCCTTACATATCAGCTCTGTAGACACTGTGCCTCAGTTCTCCCATCTGTGAAATAATGACAGCACCCACCTCACAAGGGTGCTGTGAAGATTAAATAGCATAATTTGCAACACCTCCAAACCATTACTGGGACATGCTGTTATAAACGGCTCACAATGGCTATTAGGTGACTCTTGTAATTAAACAGAAACACTTATATTTTTTTCAAGAGACGTATCATTGGTCGAAAGGTAGAATTATATTGGCCCTCAGCTGAGAAGAAAGCATCCATAAAGCTCTGAGATACTTACAGAATCAACCAGAATGTGAGAATGAGTGTGGGACTCCAAAGGTTGAAAAAAATAGACGTCGATGGAATACTGTACTTCTGGTTCTAAACAGATGGGTGTGGGAAGCAGCTTGATTCTGGATTAAGAGAAACACAGCAAACTTCAGTGACAGAAATACCATTATATCACTTATGTGGCCACAGTATTTGGTAGCATTGCACTTGAGCTGGAAGAGTGCTCCACACTGTGGGCTAAAACAAGATCTAGGTCTATACTAGCACCGGTGGGCTGGCTGGACGGTATATGCACACTTAGATGCTCCATGGCCTCAAAATTAGTAGCTTTGCTAGGTACAGTGGTGCATGCCTGTAATCCCAGGCACTTGGGAGGCTGAGGCAAGAGGATAGCATGTTTGAAGCCAGGCTCAGCAACTTAGTGAGGCTTTAAGCAACTCAGTGAGACCCTGTCTCAAAATAAAAATTAGGAAAAAAGGGCTAGAGATGTGACTCAAGGATTAAATGCCCCTAGGTTCAATCCCTGGTACCAAAAAAAAAAAAAAAAATTAGTAGCTTTAACTTTGTAGATGCTCAGCTATGGAGAGTACTCAACTGAATATTCTACTCTTATTCTGACAGCATTTCACTTTCTCACATTTCAAAGCCATCTGGAGAGTGGAAAAGGAACATTCAAGTTTAGGGCCAGGATATATATATGGGCTGGGATCCTGGTTTTGCTACACTAGAGATAAAAGTTGAAAAAGTCCTTTAAGTAATCTCAATTTCTCTTCATCAAATGAGGACATAATTTACCTCATTCAGTTGTGGCTCAGGAGTAGAGCACTTTCCTAACATGGGTGAGGCCCTGGGTTTGATTCTCAGCACCACATAAAAATAAATAAATGAATAAAATAAAGATATTGTGTCTAACTACAGCTGAAAAATTAAATATTAAAATATTTATATTTTAATATAAGTACATAATAAGTTCTATGGTCTTTTCAATGCCCCTCTTCCCCCTTTTAGTATCTGGATACATATTATTGACATATGAATCAAATTCTAAGACAGGTCCCAAGCATACCTGGCAGCTGCTGATAAGATGAAAGACTGAGGCTCCTGTGGTAGAATCTTGTGTGTGCAGTACTTGCTCTCCCCAGAAGGGTTAAACACGACCTGGATGGCCCAGTCATCTGCAGACTATACAGGCATGACATCAAAGCATGTCACAGTGAGGAGTTAGGAAATTATTTTGTGCACACACTGGTATACCTAATGGATAGTTCATAGAATTGAATTTGCAATCCATAGCTCACTTGGAAAACAGAATTTTGGAGTCAAAAGGATTTGAGTACCTCACTTCCAGGCCCAGCTCTCTGGTGTCTATATTATGATCCAGGCTGCAAGAACATTGTTTTTGGCCATAATTACTGCCCCCAAGCCTAGAAAAACCCTAACCTTTCTGACAGGTCTAATGTTCATGCTCTGTCTCAGAAGGATTTGGTTCATTCCTCATGTCCCTGGATCTCAGAACAAAGAATACCAATCTGGAGTCCTTCATAAAAGGACATATATCTATCCTATCTAACTATGTGTCAAGAGAGAATAATTAGTTTCATTTGGGAAGTCTTAAAATTTGGAGAAAATGAGTTGTATTATGAATAGATGAATATGTTCTATGAATAAAAACATCTTTTTAGTGGCTCATACTCACTGGGTCAAAGTTCATTCAAGTCCATGGCTTTCATTTATAAGTAGGAAGTAAAGAATTATGTTCTATCAACAGTTTTAAAGTGGGTCAGTGATGTGATCATGTGATGCACAGTGAGCAGCTCCACAGTGTGGTCCCCAGAGGGACAATTCCTCTTTCTAGTCACATAAAATATTTTTTTTGGAGAGATGGTTGGTAAGCTTCATATTACCAAAGAAAAGGTTAGGGACTATGGTTCCAGAGCAAGCATTTTTCTAATTTTGTTTTTATTGCATTTCAGATATTTATCAAGAGATGTGGAGAGCAGGCAGTATGGCAGCAGGTGGGGTGTGGGGCTATCTATCTGGTTTTAGTCTTTCTCTTGTAGCAGGGTAAGACCTAAATGCAAATAAATGCTTCTGCTTCATCCCTTCTCAGTCTAAATCTCAGCACATATATTGACTTTAAAAAATTTAAAAAATCCCAGGAGGGCAGAATTGGTGTTATTTTAGTTGTTTATTGTTCTTGTACAAACATTCAGCCACTACTTCCTTAAACCTGGTCCCCAAACATACAGCTCCAATGTTAGCTTCTCTCTATGGATGAAGCATGTGAGCACATGGTTTTATGCTTCAATATTTTTAGGAAACCCTTTTGTCTCTAATACTTTCCAGATGTTTTACTTGTGCCAAATTGTTTTAGGATGAACCTATCCTAGCAAGGCTGCAATGGAAACAGTTCAAGAATGTGTTGCTCTCATTTTTTTTTTTTTTTTTTTGCCATCATGAAGTTGGAGTGCAAAGTTACCTGAGTTTCATAGCGAACAGCAATGGTATAGTCCATGGGAAAAGGAATGTTGTTGACAGCAAATCTCAAGCCAGCTCCAGGGAGAACTCTGGCAAATCCAGGTCCAGTCCATGTAACAGGGTTCCCAGGAACAAGCTCTCCGAAAACAATGTGAACTGCAGGCACCTGGCCAAAAGTCACCAAGAGGAATGTAACTATCTTTCCCTATAGTCACAGTCTGAAAGAATTCAGCAAAAAATAAAAAAGTATTTCCTTGGTGTGTATATGATCCATCTGAGTCATGAATAAATTATTCCCACCAGGATACAGTCCAGAATCCAGCGAGAATAATGTGCTGACACTGCAGCTTTGGAACATATGTTACTATATAGAATGATTAATCTGAAGGCAATGTCGAGAGAAACCATTTAAATTTACAGTACCTTATGTGCTAGTGACCTAAGCAAATTCCACATTGATAACCTTGACTTTTCTTAGATGTAATTGTGGAACTCTGGCCAAAATAAGGAGGGAAAAAGAATATTTTCATGTCTACTTTGGGGATTCTTCCTTAAACGTGCATGACAATGAGAAAACCCACATAGGTTTCCTTTCTAGATATTTCTTCCACCCAAACATGAGAAATGCTCTTCTTCTGTCTGCCTGAGGGCATGTAAGTACAAAACTCCTAACACATTTGATTGCTTAAAATCCCTGATGGTCTCTATAAACCGGATGTCAGTGTAAGAACATCTGGACCTTGTAGATAATATTCTTTCATTACTTTTGCATCTGCCTCTCCACGTTCAGAGCCTCCACTCAAATTCTGCCTCTGGTTGCTTTTGCCTGAATTGTAGCAATAGCTCTCGGCTCTTCTCTCTTCCTGGTCCAAAACTTGTTACACATTGCTGCCAACGAAGCATTTTGAACTCTTCTTAATTGCCAACAGAATAATGTTCAAAACATTCAGCCTGGAGTTCAAGTTTCTCTGTGGTCTTCCCCAAACTTCCCTTGATTTGAGAAATGTTTGTTTAATAACATTCAGTGCCAGCCTCTGAATGAGGAATGCAAAGATGAATAGGACAGAGCCGCTGCCCCCAAGTTGTTCAGAGGCTTGAACTGAAGACAGAAACATAAATAAGAAACCTACGGTAGATTAGGTTCTAACAGACAGAGGCATATGTAAAGTCACCTCTGTGCAATGTTTTTCAAACATTGAAAAAAATACCCTAGCAATTGCAGTGCCCTCCACCCCCATCTCCTTTACCTGGTTAGTAAACCCATCTCCCAGTTGCGGCTAAGAGCTCACAGCTGACCCTCACTGGAGAATTGCTTTTCTATATCCCCCTCTAACTTCAAACTCTCCTAGCAGAGCTCACTGCCAATGATTGACAGATTGAGGGTATACAAGGCTGGCTCTTAGGCCTCAAGGGGCAGGACACTTTGGCCTGCAGTTTATATACCTGAGCTTCTCTGAGGATCTACTCAAGGTCTGTTGTGTCTAAGACCACATATTACTCTGCACTTTCCTCTTTTTCTCTTTCACACCCTTCAAGAATTTTCCTGAAGAAAGCTTCCTGGCAGGATCTCTTCTTAGGCTCTGTTTCTAGGGCACTTGGCCTGAGACGCTAGTAGCAGACAGTTGACCTAAAAGTAGACCCTAAGATGTAATATTGGAGGTGGTTAATTTACTACTCAGCTGGCAGTGAGGACCCCAGTATGGAACTGTACTGATGGTCCCCAGCAAGAAGTAGTGGTACAATTGCTAAAACTGTCACTAGTGAGGATTTAGGATGAGGGAAGGGGAAGCAGTGTCTTGAATGGTATTTTGGGCATTGGAAGATATGGAAGACACAGTAATTATAAGGACTTTAGATGGGGTGGATGCCTTTGATGAGAGAAAACGACAGGCCCAGGACAATCAATTGTCAATTTAAAGCAAAGTGTAAGAATCAGTCACAGGGTCTTTTGGGGGACATGTTAAAGAGACTATGATCTCCTCTAGCTAGAGGGCAAAAGAGCTGAAGACTGGGCACAAGATATAATCACTGAACTTGAGGTAAGTTGCCTATGCCAAGGACAGGCTCACCGAAAAGCAGCAGAATGCCTGGAGATGGGATGGTGCACATGAGAACCCTGAACCCTCAGGTTCTCCTCAGCACTCTGAGACTATTGAAGGGCAGCCTAAGAAAAACTGAAAAATGTTGTCCCAATCCTTCACCCCCACATGTTCAGACAATGTAGAATTCTCAAATACATGTGTCTTTCAAGAAAATGTATGCTTTCCCCAGGATCTGTTAGTGTTTCCTCTTCTGACCATTTTCCAAATAATTAGGGTCAAGTCTAAGCATGACGGAAGAGGGAAAGTGCTGGATCTTTGAGAGGGATTATAACCAAAGAAGCTGGAGGACCTGGCAGACATGGACCATGAACCCTGGGAGAGAATCACTGAATGTGCATCCTGAAAAGTGGAATATGAAACTGGATAAGGGAGAGTTTGTTGATTTGAATCCACATGGAATCTAGGATTTAACAGCCTGGCAAGGGCCCTGGGAGACAAGATAGGATACTTGAGTAGCTACTGGAAACTTTGCATAGACCATGGCCCAGAATAAGTGAAGTTGAGATGTAAGAAGGGCTGTGGCAGGATATGGAGAGAGAGAGATAAAACTCAAAGAATTAGTCATGCTAGGATGGATTTAAGATATAAGACTGGAAAACCCACCAACTAAGTTTGTGTGGAAAAGCTGTTTTACCAAAACGGTGAGGAATGAGAAGGGGAAGGGAGGACCAGCATTGCTGAGAAGCCAGTATTGACTCTTCTGTAGACTGGAAAGACACACTACTACAAAATTGAACTCCTTGTTAGCAGTGTGCCTGGCAGAATTCCAGACTATCAAAGGCTGGATGGCAGCACTTAATCTCAGAAACAAGATGGATAATCATTATTATAATGGGCAGTGAGGTTGGAATGGAAGACAAGGGGGCTGAACCACAGGAATCTTTCATGGAGATGATTACTAGAACATTGTTTTCCTAGAAGCAAGACAGATGGACAGTCAAAAGACAGATGGACACTATTTAATGTATATAATCAAAAGTGAGCAATCTGAGTTAGCTAAAGGCTGAGGTCAGCTGCTCTAGAGGAAAGATACATTTTTTTCCCAAGTTTCTAAATCGGACCCACTTCTCAGTACTAGAAACAAGCGACAGGTGCTCATGAGGAAGGAATCTTCAGTTCCATATCAAATGTGATTCTCTTACTTAGTCCTCCAAGAGAAGTATGGCTATTTACTTTAGTCACTTTTTGCTGAGTAAGGGGATATTCCCACAGCTTTAAATGTTAGTGGATTTAGGATCTGAGTTGAGGCTGGTAACCAGAAACTCAAAGTGCCATTATGTTCCCCTGGTTAGAACAGAAGGAGGTAAGTGTGCTAGGTCTACAACCAGGTAAGCGGTGCAGCTGTCAGCTCTAAGAAGCCACACTTCCTGTCTGAACCAGAACTTGATTGAATGCAGAAAGAAGGCAAGGCATCCTGAGGAACATGACAACCAGAAAAGTCCATTATATCTTTTCCTATTTGTGTATTCTCCTCTACTAACCAACTATTCCCACTGGAAATGGTGACCAGAGGAAAGAGAAATTGGGAAACCCATAGTTTCTTTTCCTTCATCTTTCCTCCTTTACTAGTGTGGAAAGACACCACCAGGACATGCACCAAGAGGCCAATTAAAGACAGCTGAGTTCCTTTTGCTGGCATTTCCACAGGCCAGAATGAAATACTTCCGAATACATGACTACAAATTGACAATGTAGATCTGAATAAAAAGTTTGTCATTTCAGTGATTCCACATGACTGGAATGCTCTGTTTGCAGCTGAAATTGCTGTTGCATCATGTACAAATATGTAACAATGAATTCCACTATTATGTATGATTATAACGTACTGATAAAAATATGGAAAAAATGATGTTGCCTGATACAAAGATGAATGGCAAAATTTATGCTAATAATTTAAATTTTTGTATATCTTTACTTAGAATGACATTGAATAGAAAATTAAAAAAAAAAAACACTCTTGACAAACTGAGAGAAAGACCATGAAAGAAAGTAAAAAGCTTTATATTTTAGTACTTTCAATAGGTCTCTTCTCTGTTTTTTGGGCAAGGGACCTTACGCAGGGTCTGAGCATGCAGGAAGTGGGCTTTAGCAGATGCTAGGCCAGCACAGCCTTCGGCCAGCTCCTCATTGTTAGCTGCAGTGGCTCACACCTGCCCCCTTCTCTTGAGAATTGCTGTTGGTTGGTAAGAGGCAGCTCACCTGGAAGATTTCCCACCTACAACCAATGCCTGATAATAGGGAAGTACAGCGGATCTGCCCTTGTGTCTCAGTGGAGGACAACTCTGCTGTGTATTTATTTTTTACTGCTTCTCTGGGGATTAGGTCATAGCTAGGCTTTATCTCAGCCCCTTCCTTGGCTCACTTTGTCCTCTTCTGTAGCTTCTTTCCCTAAGCCCCTTAAGGTTTTTTTTTTTTTTTTCTTTATGAAGGGTCACTCAACAAAACACATGAAACTAAATCCATACTGTGATCTTCACTTTCAGGTAATCCAGCCTAAGACACTGCCTATGCACATGAGTGTACACACATGTGGGTGTACACACACACACACACACACACATACACACACACACACTTATACAAAACTGGAACAAAATTGGAAAAATATGACATTGTTATGCATTCTTCAGCTGTACTAAACTAACAAAGTTGACTCCTTGGCCTATTTACTAATAGGCATGATCTGCAGTTTGAAATGACTGATCTATTGGACCCCAGAGAAGGAAACAACTAACTATGTCCAGATGTCAGGGTAGGGATTGTTAGGGAAAGATTAATCTGAATTGGATCTTAAGCCATGAGGGGAAGATTTTCAGGTCGATAACACAGAGGTGGCCATTTCAGGCAATAAGTGGGAGAGTGTGTCCCGGATGCTTTGAGCTTAGTTTCTCAATGTGCTGTCTTGGATCAGCTGTCTCAGAATCACTGTGGGATGCCTAAAAAACATTCAGCCTTTGAGCCAGTCTCGAGTCCCCAAAGTAACATTTCTGAAGTCATTTTTTTAAATATTTATTTTTAAATTATAGGTGGACACAATATCTTTGTTTTTTTATTTTTATGTGGTGCTGAGGATTGAACCTGGTGCCTCACGCATGGTAGGCAAGTGCTCTACCTCTGAGCCACAACCCCAGCCCCTCTGGAGTCATTTTAAGCAAACTCTCCAGGGAGTAAAATTTGAGGGTCATTGATCTGCACCCCAGAGTGGGGAGGAGAGAACTGACTCATTGCCCACTCTTCTCTTTCAAGTGGATTTCAGATTGAGGACAGCTACTTCCAGCCTAGAATTAGGTTTCATGAGGACATAGGATAGGAACAGAAACAAGGAGAAGAAAGCACAATCATATTAATTGGTGCACTTGAACATGGTAGAAGCAAGAATCTCCATGAGGCCTTCTCTGGCCCTATCAGGTGGGAGTACTCCTCCTTAATCTGAAACCCATATCACACTACTCACAGCTTCTCTGGGGTCCTTAACCTACCCTGCCACATGTCAGTTGTTGGTGTACATGGTTCATTTCCCCTACAATAAGATTAAGGGTAGGTGCCATGTCCAAGCATTTCTGTTCCCTTTGTTCAACCACCTCATTCACATGACAAGGTCTCTTATGTGTAAGGAACTGTTTTGGGTGCTGGGTTTGTGAATAAAGCAGCCAACATTTGTTTCTATTTGCTTCTCCAACGTACCTATTTGTGCATATGTGCATAGGAATGCACAATAAACATCTCCATGTAACAAATGAATAGATGAATGGATAAAACAGGCCAACAGTGGCCTCATGTTTAGGTGAACAATGGTTGGATGGCTGCAAGGTGTTTGGGTTTTTTGGGCCATTGGAGGGAGGGCCCTGAGAGGGTGGCATCATTTTGGCACTTGGACCAGCACTGACCATCTACAGCCACCTCCAGTAGATGGCATGGCCATAGCACCATTCCAGGGCAGGACAGCCACTCCTCAGCACTTAACCTCTTCTTACTAAAATGTCAAGGATTTTGAGAATTAATAGTGTCTAAAGTCTCCAACTCTCCAGAACCCAGCTGTCTGGAATTTTATATTTGGAGGAGAAATGAAGCTCTTGAAGTTTCCCCAAGAGGTTCTAACTACTTAGAGCCTGGCTCTTCCTTCCCTCATTTCTGTTCATGAGGACAATAAGCACTTATGCTGCCAGAGCACTCATACAGGCCAGGAGTGGCTCTGAGGGCTTGACTGCACTTCCACCTGCAGCAAGCAACAGTGGCCCCTAAGAATGCTTACCTCATTCTGTTCCCCAGCATGTATGTTTTGCTTCTGACTTTTCTTCAGTATTATGTTTCCTTTGTCAATTCTGAAATCATCTCCTTGTTGCTGGAAATACACATCACATTTTGGCAAAGCTGTTGCTAATATCTTAAAAAGAACAGAGGTGACAGTTCAGCTAATCATCAAAGGCGTCAATCATACCATCATTCAAGAGCTTCAGATTCTGCCATAACTTAAAAGGTAATCATGATTCTCACTTAATAGCTCCAGGAAGAAGTAATGCTGGCAGTTTAAAGTTTGTTGTTGTTGTTTTTCTGTGCAAATGGGAAATTTTGGTCTTAAGGCCACATGTTGGGTTCTCTTTTAAAAGATTCTTTACTAGTGAAAGCTGAAACTGAGAAAAATTTCAATTCTGATCTAGGGGGTTTATGGCATTTAAAAAGAATATCAATGCTATATATCAATGCTATATTTTAAAGCAAAATCTCAAAGAAAATTGGAGAAAATTAACAATAGACATGATATAGAGATTCACAGAACTATTATTATAACTTTTTTTTCATTTTAAAAATTTTAATTTGTTACATATGACAGCAGAATGCATTACAATTCATATTACACATATAGAGCACAATTTTTCATATCTCTGATTGTACACAAAGTAGAGTCACACCATTTGTATCTTCATATATGTACTTAGAGTAATGATGTTCATCTCATTCCACTATCTTTCCTACCTCCCATGCCCCCTCTCTTTTCCTCCCCCCCTTTTCCCTTTTGCCCTATTTAGAGTTCATCTAATCCTCCCATTCTGCCCCCCCATTATGAATAAGCCCCCTTAAATCAGAGAAAACATTTGGCATTTGGTTTTTTGGGATTGGCTAACTTCACTTAGCATTATATTCTTCAACTCCATCCATTTACCTGCAAATGCCATGATTTCATTCTCTTCTATTGCTGAGTAATACTCCATTGTGTATATATGCCACAGTTTCTTTATTCATTCATCTACTGACAGGCATCTAGGTTGGTTCCACAGTTTAGCTGTTTGTGAATTGTGCTGCTATAAACATTGATGTGCCTGTGTCCCTGTAGTATGTTTGTTTTTAAGTCCTTCAGGTATAGACCAAGGAGTGGGATAGCTGGGTCAAATGGTGGCTCTATTCCCAGTTTTCCAAGGATTCTCCATACTGCTTTCCATATTGACTGCACCAATTTGCAGTCCTATCAGCAATGTTTGAATGTGCCTTTTTCCCCACATCCTCGTCAACACTTATTGTTGTTTGTATTCTTAATAGCTGCCATTCTGACTGGAGTGAGATGAAACCTTAGAGTAGTTTTGATTTGCATTTCTCTAATTGCTAGAGATGTTGAACATTTTTTCATATATTTGTTTATTGATTGTATATCACCTTCTGAGAAGTGTCTGTTCAGTTCCTTGGTCCATTTATTGATTGGGTTATTTGTTATTTGGTGTTTAGCTTTTTGAATTCTTTATATACCCTACTCTTTATATACCTTTATATCCTTCTTGCTAAGGATTGCTTTAGCTATTCTGAGTCTTTTATTTTTCCGATGAATTTCATGACTGCTTTTTCTATGAGGAATGTCATTGGGATTTTGATTGGAATCACATTAAATCTGTATAATGATTTTGGTAATATGGTCACTTTGACAATATTAATTCTGCCTGTCCAAGAACAAGAGAATTCTTTCCATTTTCTAAGGTCTTCTTTAATTCCTTTCTTTAGCATTCTTTAGTTTTTGTTGTAGAGGTCTTTCACCTCTTTTGTTGATTCCCAAGTTTTTTTTTTATTTGAGGCTATTGTAAGTGGGGTAGTTTTCCTTGTTTCCCTTTCAGAGGTTTTGCCACTGATAATCACAGAAATGCCTTTGATTTATGGTTATTGATTTTGTATCCTGTTACTTTGCTGAATTTACTTATTAGTTCTAGAAGTTTTCTGGTGGAATTTTTTGGGTCTTCTAGGTATATATTCATATCATTGGCAAATAGTGCTAATTTGAGTTCTTCTTTATCTATTCGTACCCCATTAATTTCTTTCATCTGTCTAATTGCTCTGGCCAGTGTTTCAAGAATTATGTTAAATGGAAGTGGTGAAAGAGGGCATCCCTGTCTTGTTCCAGTTTTTGGAGGGAATGCCTTCAATTTTTCTCCATTTAGAATGATGTTGGCCTGGGGCTTAGCATAGATAGCTTTTACAATGTTGAGATATGTTCCTGTTATCCCTAGTTTTTCTAGTGTTTTGAACATAAAGGGGTGCTTTATTTTGTCAAATGCTTTTTCTGCATCTACTGAGATGATCATATGGTTCTTTAAGTTATTGATGTGATGAATTACATTTATTGATTTCTGTATGTTGAACCAACCTTGCATCCCTGGGATGAACCCAACTTGATTGTGGTTTACTATCTTTTTGATATGTTTTTGCATTTGATTTGCCAGAATTTTATTGAGAATTTTTGCATCTATGTTCATTAGAGATATTGGTCTGAAGTTTTCTTTCTTTGATATGTCTTTGCCTGCTTTTGGAATCAGGGTGATATTAGTCTCATAGAATGAGTTTGGAAGTGCTCCCTTTTTTTATATTCTGAAATAAATTGAAGAGTATTGGTATTAGTTCTTCTTTAAAGGTCTTGTAGAACTTGGCTGTGTATCCATCTGGTGCCGGGCTTTTCTTGGTTGGTAGGCTTCTGATGGCATCTTCTATTTCATCACTTAAAATCAATCTGTTTATATTGTATATATCGTCCTGATTCAATTTGGGCAAATCATATGACTCTAGAAACCTGTTGATGCCTTCAATATTTTCTATTTTTCTGGAGTATAAGTTTTCAGAATAATTTCTAATTATCTTCTGTATTTCTGAGGTGTCTGTTGTGATAGTTTATTTTTCATCAGGTATATTAGTAATTTGAGTTTTCTCTCTCCTCTTCATTAGCATGGCTAAGGGTCTGTCAATTTTATTTATTTTTTCAAAGAACCAACTTTTTGTTTTGTCAATTTTTTCAATTGTTTCTATTTCATTGATTCCAGCTCTGAGTTTAATTATTTTCTGCCTTCTAGTGTTTTTAGTGTTGATTTGTTCTTCTTTTTCTAGGGCTTTGAGATGTAATATTAAGTCATTTATTTGTTGACTTTTTCTTCTTTTAAGAAATGAACTCCATGCAATGAACTTTCCTCTTAGTACTGCCTTCATAGTGTCCCAGAGATTTTGATATGTTGTATCTGTGTTCTCATTCACCTCTAAGAAGAATCTTTTAATCTCCTTCTTGATGTCTTTTGCAACCATTTTTAATTCGGTAGCATATTATTTGTCTCCAGGTGTTGGAATAGCTTTTGTTTTTTATTTTATCATTGATTTCTAATTTCATTCCTTTATCTGATAGAATGCATGGTAGTAACTCTACTTTTTTATATTTATTAAGAGTTTCTTTGTGGCATAATATATGGTTTATTTTAGAGAAGGATCCATGTGCCTGCTTAGAAGAAAGTTTATTCGCTCTTTGAAGGATGAAATATTCTATATATGTCAGTTAAGTCTAAGTTATTGATTATATTATCAAGTTTTATAGTTTCTTTGTTCAGCTTTTGTTTGGAAGATCTATACAGTGGTGAGGAAGTGTGTTAAAGTCACCCAGAATTATTGTGTTGTGGTCTGTTTGACTCTTGAACTTGAGAAGAGTTTGTTTGAAATAAATGTAGAACGTAGGTGTTCTATTTTGGGGGCATATGTATATTTATTATTGTTATGTCTTGTTGATGAATGGTTCCCTTAAGCAGTATGAAATATCCCTCTTTATCCCTTTTGATTAACTTTGGCTTAAAGTCTACTTTATTTGATAAGAGGATGGAAACCCCTGCTTGCTTCTGCAGTCCATGGGGATGGTATGATTTTTCACCTTCTATCTGTGGATGTCTTTTCCTATGAGATAAGTCTCTTGGAGGCAGCATATTGTTAGGTCTTTTTTAAAAATCCAAACTGCCAGTCTATGTCTATTGATTGGTGAGTTTAGGCCATTACCATTCCAGGTTATTATTGAGACATGATTTGTATTCCCAGCCACTTTTGTTTACTTTTGGTATATAACTTGACTTGGTTTCTCCTTTGATTAGTTTTTCCTTTAGTATAAAAGCTCCCTTTGCTGATTTTCATCATTGTTTTTCATTTCCTCTTCATGGAATATTTTGCTGAGTATGTTTTGAAGTGCAAGCTTTCTAGTTGTAAATTATTTTAACTTTTGTTTATCATGGAAGGTTTTTAGTTTATAATAAAATCTAAAGCTTAATTTTGCTTGTTGGCATCCATTTTCTTTCAGAGCGTGGTATATGCTGTTCCAGGATCTCCTGGCTTTGAGGGTCTGAGTTGAAAAATCTGCTGAGATAAGAATTGGTCTCCCCTTATATGTTATCTGATTTTCTCTCTTGTGGCCTTTAAGATTATATCCTTATTCTGTGTGCTAGACATTTTCATTATAATGTGCCTTGGTGTAGATCTGTTGTAATTTTGTATATTTGATGTCCTGTAAGCCTGTTGTATTTGATTTTCCAATTCATTCTTCATGTTTGGCAAATTTTCTGATATTATCTCACTGAAGAGATTGTGCATTCCTTTGGTTTAGAACACTGTGCCTTCCTCTATCCCAATAACTCTTGGACTTGGTCTTTTGATGCTATCCTATAATTCTTGGATGTTCTGCTCATGGTTCATTACCATCTTCACTGTGTGGTCAACTTTATTTTACAAATTGTATACTTTGTCTTCATTATCTGATGTTCTGTCTTCCAAGTGATCTAGTCTGAGGGTGATGCTTTCTATTAAGTTTTTTATTTGGTTTGGTTTATTGTTTGCTTCATTTCAAGGATTTCTGATTTTTTTCAGAGTCTCTCTTTCCTGAAATAATCTTTTGCTACATGTATTTGCTCCCTTATCTCTTTGTTGGTGTGATCAATGGTTGCCTGTATTTGCTCTCTTATCTCTTTGTTGGAGTGATCAATTTTTGCTGGTATTTGCTCATTTAGGTCACTCTTTAATTCACAGATCATTTTAGTTATAAATGTTCTGAACTCCTTCTCTGACATCTCATCACATGTGCTGTCCATGGGTTCTGTTATTGTAGTATCCTGGTCTGTTTGGGGCACTTTCCTCCCTTGTTTTTTCATGTTGTCTATGTGATTTCCTTTCTTGCAGTGTGGATCTGAGGTATTACAGTTCCTACCCTATAATCTTGTAGTATCTGTGCAGATTATCTGTACCTCACCTTGGTGTTGGGCTTTCAAACCCTGCTGGTGTCCCAGGATGGATGCTACTGCAACTATAGGAGGAGGTGGTGGCTATAGCTTGAGATAGCAGTGGAGGTGCCCCAAGATGGATGCAATGTCTTTCAGAGATGGGGCTGAAAGGGTGGGCCTTACACTGGCTTTGGGATGCCTGCTCCAAGATGCAGCTGCTTCTAGGACCTGTCTGTTGTCCCAAGTTAGAGACTACTGCATGGGGAAGGCTATGGGGATGGCTTCAGTGTCTCAAGATGGAAGTGGGTTAGTCCTGGGCTCTCAGGTGGTGCGTGTGTGGGAACAGACCAAGTTTACCCTGGGTCCTGGCTCCTGCACAGGTTATAGAGGCAGGTCTGGGCTAAGCCTGACTCCGGCTGGTGGAGGCAATCCTCAGGTATTGTAACTTTTGACACTCTCCAGACCAACTGCTCTTAGCTTTTACTATTTGTAAGCTTTGGTTTTGTAAGTTCCCATGAGAGGTTATACAAGGATAGGCAAATTCCATCAGGAAACCAAAGGAGAGGAATAATGTTCATGCAACTCCAGTTTTCTTAAAATCCTGGATTTTATGGTCTTCTCTTTTATATCATCTCCACAGTTTTCCAGCTACTGACCTAGTCTGTGTCCCATTGTCCTGTGTTTCCCAATTCTCACTGCACCCTTCATACTGTTGTTTGCCTGGCTGATGTCTTAATGTTGTTTTTACAAGCAAGAATTTTCATTTCACAAGTGCTCTCGTAGTTCATCATGAACTTGCAGTCCTGAGATAAGCTATGGCTTGCTTCAGAGACCCCATTTATTCAAGAATCTGCTTTTTGTGCTCTCTGAGTCATGCCCTTCTGCTCACTCTGTGATGATGACCCTTTGGATAGGCCACACTGGCATTATGTCACTTAACAATTTTTTTTTCCTTAACCAATTGTGTTCATTTTCTAACACAACATTTTAAACTACTTTGTATCATACAAAAACATATATTATGGAATTAACATTAACCCTATATTAGACAGAATTAAATTCTATATTATATTAAGTTCAATCGATATTAACTTGTTGTGACTTTAAACCACGTTTTCTCTACATGGAGAGTAGTGACTCATTCCCCTCTCCTCTCTTTCACATTGTTTCTGAAAGAAAATTTAAATCAATGTTTTGCAAACTGCATAAGAATCACTCAGGGATCTTGTTAAAATGCATATCTGCCTCAGTACCAGGGATGGGCTGAGCTGTTAGTGATCTCCCAGGTGACGCTGATATTGTTGGTCTGTACATCTACATTTTGAATATCAAGGACACATACAATCTTTAAAAAGTCACCAAGAAAGTTATTTGTAATTCTTTTTAGTTCTTCAATGAGAACAGTAAAGAACTTATCTATAGATGTCATTATTTTAAGGTGTAGTCTTGGGGTAAGTCCATTTATATCTCCACCTTTCCTTTCTCTCTGCTGCCTCTTATCTTCCACCCTTGTTTATTCTGTCTCAGTTATTGCACACTCCTCTCCAACCCAGGCTTCCCTTCTGCAAGAACACTGAGGACAGTCTTTATCATAGTATCTCCTTGCTCAGAAAGCTTTAATGAGCTCTCACTGCCCAAAGAATAAAATGTAGCATCCTTGATAGGAGGTGGTACTTCCTCCTACCAAGTATTTTTGGTACTGCGTTGGTTTTTTGTTTTTTACAAGACAGCATCTTGCTATGTGCCCCGGCTAGCCTCTAACTCCTGGGCTCAATTGATTCTTGTGCCTCAGTTCCTGAGTGCCTGGGACTATGGGTGCTGGGCACTGAACCTGATCCCTTTCCATGTTAACTCCCTTCCCTGCTTGTGAATATACCCACGTTGCTTCTATGCTGAGATGTTATTTATAACTTTCTCTGGCTGGAATGTCTTTTCATTTATTCCACACTAAAAATCCCTTTGTTTTTCAGTATTATGTCAAATTATTGACTCTCCTGTCTTAGGCTCTGCCCTCACTCTGCCCTCTCCCTGCCCCACCTTCAGCTAGCTATATAAAGGTATGGGTTAGATTCAGACTCCTGAGGCCAGAGTCCCTAACTAATCCCTTTTATACTGCCCTCAGCCTGGAGTGCTCAGCATTACTGCATGTAGGTGAGCAATGGCTTAATAAAGGGCAAGAGTTTGGAAACCACATGTAGCTGGGTTTCAATCCAGGCCCTGCTGTCCACCACCTGCATGACTTTGGGAACAGCACTTAACCTCTTAGGATGTTTTCCTTCATTTTGAAATTAGGGATGATAATACTTAAGTTGAGATAATGTATATAAAGTATGCAGCATTAATTATGAAATAAAGAAAAATAAATGGAAGTTGTATTCATACAAATAACAACAAGCTGTGGCAATAGCATTGTGAGCACACTATAAAAATGTGTTAAATGAATGTGCAAATAATTAAAGGGTGCCCAATTTACATCTTTTCTACTACTATTGAAGGTCATGTCCTCAGGAGAGGAGGAAAATTATTCACACTGTTGTCCTTTAACACGAAATATCAATCCCATCTTGAATTTTCTTCCTTTTGCTATAGGCATTACTTTTAATCTTTTAAGAAAAATTTGCTTATCTTTTAAACCTATTCTATCCCCTCAGGTTTTGTTTGTTTGTTTGTTGTTGTTAAACCATGGAAGGAGTAATAAGGATCTGTGCATGAGTGACAGGGCCCCCTAATGAAGGAAATCAACATTCTTCTGGACACTCTACTCCAACCCCTGGTTCTGAGCTGTGTTAGCATACTCAATATTATCCTATTTATTTGCAAGTCAACACCTACATGGCACATACTTAATTAATGTTAAGTCACAGTCTATTTATTTCAGCTCATGCTTGATATATATATATATATATATATATATATATATATATGATGGGAACATTTGTATTTATACACATGGCCTAAATATAAATATCAATGCTCCTTTCCAAAAATGTTTTGATTATTTTAGTCACCACTATGCAAATGCAAAGAGAGAGAGAGAGTGTGTGTGTGTGTGTGAGAGAGAGAGAGAGAGAGAGACATAGTGATGCTGGGGATCAAACTCAGGATCTCATGCATGCCAGGGGAAAGCCCTACCACTGAGTCACACCCCAGCCCTGGACGCAATACTAAAGTCCATGAAGAATATGGACATAGGATTACTTCATTTTGATTCTCCCATCACAAGCTCTATGTCTAAGCAGGGACAGTGGGAGTCTTTGCTTGTTTCAATTCTAGTCACTAAGAAAGCAAATTCCAAAGCTCTCAAGAGCATCGTTCTTTCTCTCCACCAACAAAATCCAGTTAAGGAAGAGATCCCAGGAGATGACTCAAACTCTGGAACCTGGAACGAGTTCCCCTGCTTTCTTCATCCAAATATCATCTTCAGAATTGACTTTCACAGGCTTAGAGACTTTCACTTTGAATTGCCTTTCCTTCACCATATTCCTATCTATGGCTGGAGTCCCACTCTGAGAATCTTATGACCTTTATTTTCTCATTGTCAGGTATCCACAAAGTCCCCACTCTGTGTCAGGCACTGTGCAAGACACTAGTTCAACAAAGGTCAATGCAACACACACATACCCTATAGGCATTACTTCTCACTGTTTATGTGCCATCATGGAGACTTAAGTAGATGCTCAATAAACACATTTTATTTGATGGGTGCCCTGAAAGAGGTAAAGTCTGTTTCATTACAATGTGATCCAGTTCACCTTTATGCTCCAGACTCTGCTAGAATGGAGCTACAAAGATAAATAACACTGACTCTGCCCTTGAAATTCATATAATCTGCAATTGCATGATATAACACTGCTTCAATCTACATCTGTGGGCAAAAGCATTCTCTCCTAGGTCCCTTAACTGTGATCTCAAGAGTGTGTTGTATGTATTTACTGACATGCCATTGAGTGAAGTCTGTGGGGAGAGTCAAGGAGATACTCACCAAAGGCGCGAGTCCTTGGAGTGGTGTGGCTTCCTCTGCCTCATAGAGATAGAAATTCAAAGGGGCAAAGAAGTAGCCTGGGGCAGGTTCATTGCAGCTGCGGCCAGTGATGTGTGGGCGGCATTCACACTGTCCATCCTTGGGTGAGCACCTGAAGGGAAAAACCCATGTGGAGGACTGCGGAGGGGCTGAGGGTGAAGTGCAGATGGGGGGGTGCTGAACCAAGGGCCCCCTGAGTCTGAGGGAGCTTGTTGAGAGGTTGTGGGTTCCACCTGCCTCATCTGGAAAAGAGAATTCGGATCCAGGGAACCCAGACAGCTGCTTCTTTCCTCGGTGGCTCCCTAGTTCTGCTCCAAAAACTGGGCAAAGGTGAGCATTAGGACCCCTCTTTACATACAGGTGGCACAGAGTTGGTGTTTCCAGCAGGTGAGTCACACATTTCCCCTGACCCACCCCATCCTCTGGGGCACAGCCAGGCAGAAGATTGTTTCTCTCACCCTTGTTTATCGCTATACCTGGGCTTCGGGAATGTTTCGAGTTCCTTGCTTTTCAACACCCTTTCCTTGTCATGAAATAAAACCCTTTGCCTATGACCGTGAGCTTATCAGAATAGAATGTGCTTTCACGTGGAGGCAGGGAATGTTGCTGCAAAACTTCATTTTACTGACTTACATGTTGGAATAAGCACCTCCAATATCACAGTCACAGGGAGAACATCCAGGGCGTTGATCCCCTAGTCCCCAGTAGCCAACCTACACAGAGAAAGGGCTCAGTTGATTTCAGCTGTGAAGATATTTGCTGCTCTGAAGCGCGACACTGAAATCACTACAACGCAACAGTCACAAGTCCAACAGCCACACAGACTGACTCACTGCACAGGAGCCTTCCTTGCCTGGACAAGGATCTCCACGGACACATCTCTCCCATCTGTAGCACTCAACTAAAGGGGACAGAAGAGTTATTTACGTATGGCTTCAAGTGGAAACACAACAGGAGCCAACAATTCCTCTAACAGCACCAAGTTTTGCTCAGGCAGGGTCATTTAAGGTCTAAGACAGTCTTCTGCCATCTTATTTGCAACTCTTTAACTAAAGCCAGTAGGTTCCCTTACCTTACGACAATCCATGGGGGTTTTACTTATAGTGCACTGAAATATTTTGGGATAGAAAAATCAATCAAACAGATTTTAAGATATTCTATGAAGATCTTAGTTCAGTAGAGACAACCATTTATAAGTCAGTCATCTTGGCATACCGTGAACCCATGTGAGAGTCAACTCTGATGCAAGGCTTTCTCAACATTGCAACATCTTGCCCTTTATGCAATATAAACAGCTGATGAGATATAAACAGCTTTTATTTTTTCTTAAAACCTGATAACATTTAGTACGAAATTCTCAGAAAAATACTTGTCCCTCCAATTTCAATTTAGCATGCTCAAATAAAATTTAGATTTTAGTAGCTATGAAACTCTTGTTTGGAATGGTCTTAAGTATTTCTATTATTTTTCTTGTTATCTCAGTAAAAATCGTACACCCAGTTATACTTAAAATTTTGATTTCAAACACCAAACATGGACACAATGTGTATAAAATGCAGCAAAGGACTTTTAATATTTCGGTTTGGTTTTGGAACCAAAGAAAGAAGAAGTGAAATGAGCTGTTCCATTCAGGATGTGGTTGTGAAAGACTTCTTCCAGCCAGGTGTGCTGTCCCAGTGGCCTTTCAGGTGGTCCAGCCTGAGCCTGAGCTTGCATGATTCATTGCCATGACATCAGACTGAGCGCAAGTTTGGTCTGGGACAACCTGATTTTGTATCTTCAGCAATCCTGTTGCACACCTGTGCACATTGCTTGGTGTTGCTCATACCCAATAGAAATGGCAAGGCTGACCTTTCTCTTCGTGTAAAACTTCTATATTACCTGCCCTGTCTTATGTATGGTTTCTTCTTCTTCTTCTTTTTTTAAATATTTACTTATTTATTTTTTAGGTGAGATGGACACAACACAATGCCTTTTATTTTTATGTGGTGCTGAGGATCAAACCCAGGTCCCACCCATGCTAGGCGAGTGCTCTACGGCTGAGCCACAATCCCAGCCCCACGTACAGTTTCTTCTTCATATTTTCTTCCTTGCTTCTTTCCCCACTTCCTCTGCCCCAGCCTACTATATTTTCAGTAAAATGACTTAAAATATTAGCACAAAACTCTTTCCTCATGGGCATCTGTTTCTTATTTATCAGTGACATTTCTTTAGACACATGAAGGTCACTGTTCTTTTATTAGGTTAAGTTTTTGTTTTACTCTTTCTAAAATGTCAGGGTGGGCTGCCAAGATTAGAGAACAAGGAAAAGAATGGGGTTGGAACTCCTCAGTTGCATGACACATTTCTTATGGAGTGAAACCAATCTTATCTTACTAACTTTAGAACATACATGTTCATATATTTAGTGCTGTCTGTGAAATACCCAAGGGTTTATTTCCCATAGCAATCTAAAATATATTTAAGCTCAAGATTGTTTTTTGTTTTTCTTTTAAGAGCTCATCTGAAATCTTTTTAGGCAGACAGTGGTAAGGGTGGTATGGGGATTATATGTATAAACTAAAAGAAAGGCCATATGGTCTGGTTGGCCAAAAGGCGTAGTGTTCTACTCTACTGCTGGGCACTCTCAGGAAAACAATGGATATATTATTGGCCTCTCCATCTGGATCCATCAGTCCAATCCAGTGGTATGCTGGTAAATGTTTAAAAGCTTTCTATAAGGTCTGGCGGTAAGGGAGGCTGATGTATAGTGTCTACCAATTTCTGTAGTGTAAATACTCATACCCCGGGAGTATTAAACTAGAGTAGAACAAAGAAAGCAATTAATAAGACCAAGTTTCTTCTAGGCAATTACAGTATAAATCTGCATAACTATGTAAACGAAAATTATAGGTAAATACATACAGTGCACTGTTCGCAGTGTGGTCCGGTGACATAGGCCTGGCATAAGCATTGACCTGTATCTACATCACAAGTCTCAAATGGCAGACTCCCAAGGGGGTTGCAGTTGCAGGCTGAAAGCACAACATATATAATCATTCTCATTCTTAAATGTCTTTAATAGTCACAATGAGTAAGATGCATGGTCACAAAAACACAATGCAGCCTGCCCTGTCAGATTCATTGTCTGCCTGGCTGCATGATTATTGTACTGCATACAACCCCACACAGGAAATCCTGTTCTAGACACTTCCAGAGTTTTTAAGTAGTCCTATCGGATGGTAATCAGGAGGAGACAAGGCAGTGGAGGAGGAGGTGTAAGCTGGAGTCCCGGCACAGTTTTCCTGAGTGATGCTGGCCAGGCTGGCAACACAGGGCAGGAATTTCCAAGTGTTGTGGTTCTCATTGACAGCTCCTTCTCTGCAGATGCACCTCTCATTTCCCTCTCTCTTTCTTTTTTACTGCTTTGTAATGTTTTTATAATCCTCCTTCTCTGTCTCCTTCATCCACAGAAATTTCTGAGTCCTGCTTATGTTGTTTTGTTGTTTTGTTTTTTGATAATGAGGATTGAACTCGGGGCACTCTCCCACTACCTACATCCCCAGCTTTATTTATCTCTCTAAGTTGCTGAGGCTGGCCTTGAACTTGCAATCCTCTTGTCTCAGCCTCCTGAGTCACTGGGATTACAAGTGTGTGCCATCACACCCAGCTTCATGCTTATGTTGTAAAGGCTAAGAAGTTATGCTACCAACAAAAGGTATACTCTTCCCCTACAGGAAAAACCAGTGTTTGAGGAAGCAACTCAGAAGTCCACCAACTGATGAATGGCTAAATCAAATGTGGTCCATCCATACAACAGAATATTATTCAGCAAAAAAAAAAAAAAGAAAACTGATACATACCACAACATGGATGAATCTTGAAAACATTATGCTAAGTGAAAAAAGCCAGTTATAAAAGACCTATATGACTCCTTTTATATGAAATAACCACAACCAGCAAATCTATAGTGAGAGAATATAGATAAGTGCTTCCCTTGTGCTGGGGTCATGGATGGTAGAGTGAAGTAGGAATTTATGGCTTTTTTTTTGGTAAAATTCATATAACAAAATATACCATCTTAACATTTTTCAGTTTTGTCAAGTCTATTCATATTGTTGTGAAACCAATCTCTTTTGATCTTGTAAAGTGGAATTCTATACCCATTAAGCAATGACTTCCCATTCCTCTTCCTCCACACCCCTGGCAATCATCATTCTACTTCCTGTCTCTATGAATTCAAATACTCCAGGTGCCTCATATGTGTTATTATACTATTTTTGTCTTTTTGCAACTGGTGCATTTCACTTAGCACAATATCCTTAAGATTCATGGTGTTGCAGCTTGTGTCAGAATTTCCTTCCTTTAGGCTGAATAATATTCCTTTGTGTGTACATGTTACATTTTGCTTACCCACCCATCCATTAATGGACATTTAGGTTACTTTCATCTTCTGCCTATTGTGAATGGTGCTGCTATGGACATGGGTGAACAAATATCTCTTCAAGTTCTGTTTTCCAGTCTTTTGGGTATACACCCAGAAAAGGAATGTCTTCTTGTGGTGATGAAAGTGCCCTAAAATCTATGTGCTGATGTCTTTGAATGTACTAAAAACCAGTGAATTGTGCTCTTTAAAGAAAAAAAATATTATATATGCGAATTATGTTTCCAAAGCTGTTTTACACACACACACACACACACACAAACCAACATACCATAAGTTCTCAGAGGACATCATATTAATCACTAAAGCAGGGAGAGACCCGGGATGCTGAAAGGTATGATGGAAAATTGGCTTGACTGTAGAATTCATTATCATGACATTTAATTTTGCCATGAAGCCTGAGAAGAGCATTTTATGACAGAAAGATTCAGCCTGCTGTTCTCTAAACATGCAAATAATCCACAGTTCCTTACATGGGCGAAATACGGAGCAGGATGCTGTGACCAAATGGAAATTATTTACTCAGACTTCCCAGAGGAATCAACAGCTCTACGAGACCCTAAGCAGCTCTCAACTTCTGTGCTCCTAGAGTCAAGAGCCTTAGCATTTGGCCCCAGACAACTGCTGAGGTTCTTTATATTTCTCCTCAACCCCTTCCTTGCTTCTTTAATTTCCCCGCTCGTTGTCAGAGAATTTATAAGTCAATATATGGAGGGGAGTGAGAAGAAAAGAAAAAAGGAATTTAAAAAATAAAAAGAAACCACCGCTTGAAAATTCCCTAAGAAGTCACGAATAAATTTATATAGATAGTCCTAGTGGAGGCCATTTTTCTTGGGGTTTTGCAGTTTGGCATTAAATTTCTTGGCGTTTCCCATTTGTTCCAGGAAAATACGAGCGCCCCCTGCTGGTACTTAATAAAAAACTCAGTAAACCACAGAGAAATATCCACTAACTTCCTAATATTTGTGGGAGGTATTGTATCATTTTTAAAGACTCAGAAGCCAACAGGACTGTTAGGTATTTGCAGTAAATGAATTTTGGGCTGACAGTGACAACATCAAGATTAAAATGCACCCAGGCTGGTGGCCCAGCCCAGACTTACGCTGACAGCCCAGGGGGTCAGAGGCACTTAGTCCATAGTGATTGGGTTTGCACAGGTCGCAGTTGACTCCTTCCACATTCTCCTTACACAGGCACTGGCCGGCCACAGTCCCCATGGCAGCATCAAGGTGGCTCACACAAATGCCACCAGATATGGTTCCATCAGGATCACATTCACAAGCTGGGGACATAGAAATCCATTGTCTTAATTAGTTAATTGCAAATTGTAGGAAACCTGAAATATAAGCAAGCATAGCATTTTACCCATGCTGGAACTATTTTATTTTGTTTAAATGACTATGTTTACCTAATTAAACAAACGGGCAGATTGGCTGTTCAGAAATATCTCCCAGATTTTTGTCCATAAAACATATCAAGTAATTTCATGCATATATTTTTAAAAGATTTTAAATGATTCTAAAGTTGGAGAACAAGAGGATGAGTGCTATTTTGAAAACTGGATGTTAAGAGTGGAGTAATTCTTCCTGGGTTGATGAAAATGTTTTGGAACTAGGTAGATTGGTGGTTGTACATTATGTTAGTGAGTTTTTATTTTAAAATGGTTAATTTTATGTTATGTGAATTTTCAACTCAATAAACAGATTAAAGAAAGACTAAAAATGAAAATAAGGTCAAGACACAAGTTTAAAGTAGGATGCTGTGATGCTATATATCTCATTCCAAGGACATGAGAAAAAAGAGGAGATCACATAAAATGTCTGCCAAATCTCTGAAACGGTTAAGTTTGTTCTTCTCCATCATAAAAAAACTATGTTGCAAGGAAAGTGCTGTCATTCTTTGTAGTTTTTCTTGAAACACCTACAGGAAAGAAAGGGAGGGAACAGGGGGAATAGTAAGCTGTAGTCATGTCCCTGATTTCATTTTGGAAATCTGTTGATGAAGCCAATCTTGGATGAGGAGATTCTGGAAAACGGGGCAAACAGACGCTATACAACACAAGCAGCATTTTTAAAATTTGATTTTTATTTTTGGCACTTGTTGATTGGTTCTGGGGACACTAAATTACATCCCCAGTCCCCTGCCCTGGCTGTTTTTGTTTGTTTGTTTTTAAGACAGAGTTTTGCTAAGTTGCTGAGGTTGGCCTGGAACTTGCCATCCTCGTGCTTTAGCCTCCCAAGTTGCTGGGATCACAGGCGTGCACCACTATGCCTGGCACCACCATTACTAACACTACTTCTTCTTCTTCTTCTTCTTCTTCTTCTTCTTCTTATTATTATTATTATTATTATTATTATTATTATTTTAAACAGAAATTTGAATAATTCAAGGAAGGAGTGTCATGAAAAGGGATGCTGATAGTATGAATAATTCCAGGGGACAGAATAAGGACTAGAGTGGAGAGGTTACAAAATGTAGACTTTGAAGATAAGGAAGAGCTCTCTAATAGTTAGGGCTACCTAATCTACCCCAGAGAGCAGTGATGTCTCATTATTGGAGGTGTCCAGATATGTGCTGAAGTAGCACCAGTGGCCTTGGTTTAGAGGATGAATGTATTGGTAGGTAATCGTTCATACTGTTGTCTCTTGTTGCTTTGTGTCTGCATGTTTCCAAGGAATTCTACTTTTAAAGAATGCAATAAATGTAAAAAATGAACATCTTATTTTAAAGAAAAACCTCACTCACTTTTATATATGTTTGCTTTGGACTGACAAAAAGAAAGCCCTCAGGTGTAAAGACTGAGTTCAATGGGAAAAAATCCAGTCAAACCAGTTGTTTTCTGTCATTGAAGCAAACTCGGAGATGTCTGACAGATTCTTTCAAGTTTTGATTGTTTGTTATAGGATTGTGACTGGTGATAAAATCTTTCTGTGGAAAAACAAAATTGGGATCTGTTTAATTTGGAGACAAAAGAGTCACAATTTTCTTTTAATTAAAGCCAGTTGCTTCCAAAAAGGAAGGACTAGAAGGACCGTTTTAGAAGTGGTCAAAAGGACAAAAACTCAACTTCTTTTGGGAAATACTCGGAAGAGTCAGCACTGAGTTCTAGAGTGTAATTTAATTATGCACGAAAGTACCTTTAGGGGCAGGGTGAGTGGACAGTGACTTAACTTTGAAATAATCCATGTCCCAGCCTTCAGAAGTCCAATAAAACCTAGTCATGTCAGAATTTGATTCTCGCAAACTTTTATTACCTTACCTTTCATTACCAAGTCTCTGATTTTTCTTTGTTTCCTCAGAGTAACAGGTTTAAGTTTATTGAAGAGATAGACATGGAAAAGGGACACTCTAAAGGGAGAAAATGGGTCCTCTCAGAGAGGAGAGAGACAGTGTGCCTTTCCTGCACTTTACTTTATTGGGGATCCCAGAGAAGTTTCCACAGAGTCCCACCCACTTTACCACTTGACTTTGAATTGACATCAGACTGGATGACATCAGACTGTCAGGTCCCCACTACCATGGTAACTCTAGGTCACCTTGGCCTGGATGACTGGTTCTTAATGGATTCTTTTTTAAAAAATTTATTAAATTATTTATTTATTCTAATTTGTCATACATGATGGCAGAATGCAATTCATTTCATATTACACAATAGAGCACAATTCTATATTGCATTTAACTGTCTTAGTACTAGAAGATTTAAAATTAATCAACTCTTATGCCTGGAATCTACTTATGTAAATATTTAGGTTCAAGCAAGGACAATTTAGAGAAAATCTGTAAGAGAGTGCTAATCAATCTTCTCAGTCCACATCATCTGTGTACATACAATAAGCACATGTTTGGGTGAACTGGGAGAAACTGGGGACAAACATGAAGGAAGTTTGTTACAAGCTCCTCATCTGCCTTCTCTGGAAAAACTCCTTGTTTACAAAGAATGACTTAATTCATATTGGGGTACTAGTTTTTGTTACTTGCCCCCTCCTTACACAAAGGAACCACCAAGTTAATACTAAGTAGTTCTTAAGGAATAAGACTTTTATTAATGTGTTTAAAATATTTGGTTTACTATTTCCAAATATCTTTCTAGATTACTATAATATCTGTTTTGAAACACTGTTATTTTCCTGATTCTACCCAGAAGAGCAATTCCATCTTTCTTTTTTTTTTTTTTTGTACAAAGGATTGAACCCAGAGGTGCTTTATCACTGATCTACATCCCCCAGTTCTTTTTATTTTTTATTTTGAGGCAGAGTCTGGCTAAGTTGCTGAAGCTGGCTTTGAATTTGCGATTTTTCTGCCTCAGCCTTCTGAGCTGCTGGGATTACAAGTGTGCACCATCAGATCCAGCTTCTTCTTTTCTAAATATATAATTTCTAAAACCTTAATAAAAGTTGTGAATGGTGTGTGGGGGTATGTGCATGTGTGTGTGTGAGTGGTGTGTGTGTGTGTGTGTATGTGTGTGTGTATGTGTGTGTGTGTATATAGCAGGGGAGAGAGATATATCAAAGATTCTGGACATTTACGAACATGCTCTAAAAACATTTTCTTGGAATTTTGAACATGTCATGTAAGTTTTGAACTTACATGTCATGTCAATTTTGAACAGGTCATGTAAGTTAAATTTTGTATTAGTGCCTACTGAGTAATCTAAACAAAACCCCTTTATTGATACTTTTTTATATTGTGATATATTTGGTCATTTCTAGTTTGAAATCTAGGACATTGAATGTAGTTAGGTGGCTACCGAATTACTTTTATTTAAGAATTCATTTTATTATGATTATTTTAAGTTTGAAGCAACCTTCCTTGCTTTTACTTTACATTGATGATACAGTCTAAGAAGCATGTTTTCTGGGTTCAAGGAAAGGCAGTTCTCCATGGGTCTTGGACATCCTGAAGGTTTCTGCTGATACGCTAACAATGCAAGGCCCTGCTTCCTCTTTACCCAGGAATTTCTTAGGGTTGTGTTTGCAGCAAGGAATTTGAAAGATAAGGTAACATCTGCCTCTGGTCAAAGAGCAAGCTTGCTTTCACTTGTTATAAAGGCAACAAATCCTCCAAGTTCAATATTCCTTGTCTGTGGCATAAGCTCACTAAGTGTGTGCAGTATCCATTTGGTATCCTTGGGACTTGGGTCTTGGGTACATGGGAACCCAAGCCAACACAATGATTTTTTTTTTTTGGTAGTAGTAGTTGGACAGAATGCCTTTATTTTATTTGTTACATTTTTATGTGGTGCTAAAGATCAAACCCAGTGCCTCACACATGTGAGGCAAGTGCTCAGCCACTGAGCTTATTGCTTGCTTGGCATGAATAATAAAGTTTTTTTTTTCCTTTGGCCCAAGACTGTCATGTCTTCCACCAGCAAACATGGAGCGGGGGAGGTGGGAAGCAGACTAACTTCTTAGTTTATAAATAACATCTCAGACCCAGTTACTCACACAGGGTACGGTTAAGTCAGTTTGGAGTATTTATCTGGGCTATAACATACAGTAATGATGGGACTACAGTGAGGCAAGCAAAGTGCCTAGGGTATAAAATTTAAGAAGACAAGTATGCACTTACATGACCCTGACAGTGAATGCTACATACATTTTGGGAAATAGTGCTTTGCTTACCTCATTTTAATTTCAGTCCTGCAGAGAAATACAAATTAAAACCACGTTGATTTAACACTTCATTTACTAAATAAAAGTGTGACAAAACCAAGATTAACAAAATTTGAGTGCTGGCAAGGATATAGAGCCACAGGAGGTTTTTACACTATTGGTGTGAGTGGCAATTGGCACAGGACGATTCTGTATTATCTAATCAATTTGAAGAGGTGCATACCCCATGGGCCAGAAATCCCACTCTCAGTTGTGTTGCTTAGGGATAGTCCTTGCATGTGTATACTAAGTCACAAATACAGAAATGCTTATTGTAGAATCAGAAGGAAAATGGGACAAATACACTTTGTCATAGGATGTAATTCAATACAGAAATTAAAATGAAAGAAGGGCTACTTGATATGGACATATCTTAAAAGTATAATGTTGAATGAAATATTCAAGTTTCTGAAGGTTATTTATGGCATAATATTATTATCTAAAATCATTGTTATCAAAAATTTGAAAATGTGCCAACCTACGTTGTTTGTGGATAAAAACACACATGAAAGCATAAAACAAGAATGATAATGATAAATACTTAGTATATGAGACAGCTTACTCCTAGGAAGGAGGGTGAAGGAATGGGGTGCACCTGGGACCTGGATGGTGCCTGTTATGTTTTATTAAAGAAAGTCCTGGTGGCAATAAGATGAGTTTAGGTTTTAATAAAGTTGGTGGTGGGTATATTATTGTCTATTAGTTTGTATGTGCTTGAATTATTTCTCATAAAATAGTTGAGATGAAAGATAAGAGATTTTAAAAGTTTCCCTCCTGTTCTTCTTTTTTTAAATTATTTTATGAAGCAAGGCAATACCTTACCTTATTCATCTAAACAGCAAAATTGAATTGTCTCAAGCCAGTCAAATGTTTTAGGCAAGTCACCTCTTTAGCTACTTCCCTAAGTGAAGCTAATTCCATGATTCTCAAGACACCTGAAGGGATCTTGGGAAGCCATCTGCCCCTCCTGGTTGAATTCAGAATTGTTTCCTGATTCCCTGATAGAATCAGGTCCTGCTTCAAGACCTTCAAGACCCACCTGGATTAGTTGGCTCAACTTGTTTGGAGAAAGAAAAGCTCTTAAAGCGGAAGCGCTTATGCATGCCTCGCCCCCGCCTTCCCAAATAGGGTTGTTTGGAGACCCATTAAGCAGAGTGGGGACTGGCAGCCCCAGTGAAGCCAAATCAGAACTTCCTTGGATGAGTGGAAAGGGTGGGGCAGGGTTGGGGTTGGGGACTCACGCAGGCATGCATCAGGATCTGAGATGGCCTTGAGGGGGTCCTTGTAGAACAGGGGTCTGCAGCGGTCGCAGTGCTGGCCCTCCGTGTGGTGCTGGCAGTCCTCGCACACGCCTCCGCTGAGGCCGCCACTCGCCAGGTACGTGGCCAGATCGAAATGACAGCGGTCAGAGTGGCCATTACAGCTACATGCTGAGAAAGGAGGAGATTGCCTTAGTGCCTGAGAGATTCGCCAACATCTCAGGAAGAACCAAGCCCTGTTCCACACTCCGGTCCTGCACCTCTCTTCCTGGCCACAGCCACTGGCACCTCTTTCTAGACGCAGCAAAGGTACAAAGGGCCCAAACCGCTGCTTTCCAAGGATCCCTCACCCCTCTGTTTCTGCTCCGGTACTTTCTATAAAATGTGTTCCTTCAATGTTTAATATGTAGTTTTTTAAAAATGATGCAAACAAAATAAATCATTTAAGTGACCTAGAAGCCACAGAGTGCAATATGTGTAGTTTCATAGAGAGCGCTTTTACCTACTTATGCTCTGTAAATTTGAATTTTTCACCTGAAGCGTTCTATATATACTCGGATTCTCAAATAAGATGGAGCTGAGCCCTGTTCAGATTATGCCCCTCTGTAGGGACAGAAAAGCTGCAGGAAAGGTTGCAGGTCATATGAAATCTCATCTGGGGCTCAGCCAGAGAATTAGAGGGCCAGCCAGTCTGTTTAGAGGAATTTGTCTTCATGGTAATATCTCTTGGGTTTTTCTCTATAAACAGCCTAAATTTGGCCCATGTTTGGTTGTGTACTGTGACTGTGGCGGAAAGGGCTTCTTTACTAGAGGTCTTCTAAGGGACTTCCTTTCTCTTCCTCAAGTCCTATTTTTCTAAATCTGGGAAAAGAAAATAAATAACAAGATTGTTTAGAAGTTCATCAAAATTCAGAAGCAGCAAACATGTTGCCAGCATCAAAAACAACATCTTATCAACCTGAATATTTTATTGGCGGGTTTCTGTTCATGACTAAAAGGCTCAGGGGTCACTCCAGTTGAACTGGGCTAATCGGGGAGCGGCAAAATAACCACACAAGAGACACAAATACCTTTTTCTTTGGGGTCGCTGGGACAGCTCTTCTGACCTTAAGGGTCTGCAGGAAGAGAGAGGGAGAGAGAGAGAGAGAGAGAGAGAGAGAGAGAGAGAGAGAGAGAGAGAGAGAGAGCGCAGGAGCGAGCACAGGCTGACCCCTTTTATTGAGGAGAAGCTATTCAAATGAGGCAAGGGGTCAGGTTTCAGGGGGCTGAGTCTATCTTCATGATGTCCACTGTCGGCAGGTTGAGTGACTTCTAGGTAGGCCACACCCAAGAGCACAGTAAGAGAAGGATACACACACAAGGCACTTCCATGGAACATTCTATCTTAAACAGGGCAAGGGGTTACATTACAAAGGAACAGGTGAGCATAGCTCCACCCATGGGGCTGTAGGAAGACATGCCCGGGCATGAAGACAGTCACTCGAACCCTAGAAGAGGGGGCAGTCTAGCAGCATGGGTGCCTGACACCACATCACCCAGCAGGGGAGTTAACTCAGTCATGTGCGAGGTTGGTCTCCCACATTTTATTAATAATAATTTATTATTATTATTATTGTCAATTTCAATTCTGGATCTCCTTTCTCCCATCATCCTATATGTGGCTTAAGGTCCTGTTTAGGGACCGCATGATCATTCAGGAAGATGGTCGAGCTCTCTGTGCATTGCCTTTAGTTATTTTAGCATCACAAGACTCTGCCTAGCCTCTGAAAATGTGCCACACAAAACACATATAATTTTATCAAAAAAATTATTGTAGTAACAGTTGCAGAATTTGGTGGTTCTTCTATGTGACATAACTGGAGGGATTAGGATGTCACACAATTAGAGCTGGGAGCCACAGCCTCATCACCTTTGCAACCTGCAGCCCCAGTGAATGAACTATGTATTCTCCAAAACTGGGAATACAGAATACATTCAATCCATATGAGGATTTTTTTCACCTACATCTGCATGCATTGTCCTGAGAGCCTATGGCTGGTCTCCATGGAGCATCCTGGAAGAAGTCCTTGCACCTCTCACAGTTTGGGCCATCTGTGTTGTGCTGACAGACGCACCGACCATGAACCTGCATGTGCAATAAACAGTGTTAAAATATGCCTTTTCTCTGAAAAGCCCTGGGGTTCTTTAAGTGAAAAATGAAAGATCTGGTCATGGGCCCTCTCTGACTCTTCTTTTTCCACGTGTTAGTGACAATAACAACCTCAACTATCTTCAATTGCCTGCTTAACTAGCTTTTAAACTTTAAAAATTTTCAAAAGTTCAGTGAACATTTAAATACATTTTTCCCCTGAATTCTATTTCAGTGCCAAACATTACAACCTCAGTAAAATGAGAGACATAATGGACATGGGAGTGTTGAGGGAGGGGTGTTTATTGGGTGTTTAGAACCATAAGGGGAAATAGGGAGTTAAAAAGGGAAACTGTAAGACATGTGATTCTCTTGGTTTTTCTCTAAATGACCAGCGTTCAGAGTGTTGCTCTATTTTGGTGAAACATAGAAGTTGTTGGGTGGGAAGATACAATGGCCTAGACAGTAAGCCTGAGATTTATGCCTAGTAAATGGTCTAAATTTATTTAATAGGCACACCCCTGGGACTTTGCACAGAAACACAGTTAGTGGGCTGGGGATATGGCTCAGTGGTAGCATGCTTGCCTGGCACATGCAAGGTACTGGGTTCATTCTTCAGCATCACAACAAAATGAAACAAAAACAGTTCTATTGGGGTTGGGGTTGTGGCTCAGTGGTAGAGCGCTCACCTAGCATGCGTGAGGCACTGGGTTTGATCCTCAGCACCACATATAAATAAATAAAATAAAGATATAAAAATAAACAAACAAACAACAACAAAAAAAAACAGTTCTATTACACCAACCTTTAAGACTAGTTCTAAGAATGAGGGCAATCTTCAGTATTAAGATATTGTTATTCAGAGTAAAAGAATATTACTAGGATTGAACATTTTTATAACATCAGATATTTTCTGAAACAGTTTAGCTTTGAGTACAGTATCTCACATCAACAGACCTTCAATAATTTTTTGCAAGAGAATGAATGTGAAATTCTGGTTTAGCCCTATTAAATCTCCATTTCCTGAAAAATAACAAAAGGAGGTCAAGATTGGCCATCTTGAAATCATAAATTATAAAATCTGCTCATTAGTAAAATGAAATTCATAGGTGGCATAATTCACAAGAAACTCTGGCTAGAAGAAAGGCCCCCAGATGGCCTGTTGGACAAGGTTGAATGACAGTTTCCTGCTCCAACAGAAAACTGGCAGTAGGATTTGTTGATCTCCATGTAGAGGTCTGGAGTGCATTCAGCATCAGGACAGCAAGGGACAGGAAGAAGAGCCAACTTTTCTTTGGATTAATGACTCACCATTCCTGGGGAGCTGAAAGTGTCGCCCCGCTCTTTCTGTGAAGGACCACATTCACTGGCATGGCCATTGCAAAAACAGCTTCCCCGAAGAACCATTTCATACAGAGCATAGTAGTATTTATCAAGGGAATCATTTTGCTTCCTTCCCAGAAAAGTATCCCCAAGTGTATGGAGTTTGGTAAAGTTTATCCTCAGGTTTGTTAATGTTACAAGATCTAGAGAGTGAAAATGAAGCAATATATAAATATGCATTTAAGTTGCATTAGTTCAAGGCGCCCGCCTTGACTAACATTCCCTTAGCATGCTATGGAGATGCTGTTACAAGGAATAGTCCTGGCACAAAATTTAAAGAGAAGCAGGAAACATACAAAACAATTCATACCCTGGATGTAGGGGCTGTAAGGGTTTTCTATTTCAAAGCTGGGATCCAAAACTTTTAAAACAACCTGTAAAAACAAATGTAGATAAATGTATAGCATGTAACCCCAAAACCTAATTGTCTAATTTTCTTCGAAAGAGTTTTTGATCTCGCAAGTGGACTTAGCTGATGTAGGATATAAATTATCACTTGGGTTAGAATATAAATAAAAGTACCAAGAACAAATATGAATGCCAGGGGTGAACCAGTCCTTCCTGGCTCTTCATCACAGGTATCCCTACAGACAGAAGGAATGATGCTATTGGTGAAGAGGGGTCCAAGCTGGGTTGGGGTGGAGTGGTAGACAATTCAGCAAGCCACCATCAATTTGGGCTGGCAAAGAGTTCTGAAACTATCACCTGCCACCAATTCTTTCTTACCTCCCTGATGAAATAGTACCTCCAACCCCACTCCCACCCTGACCCCCTGCCAGTCACCAGCTTTGCTTAGAGGGATGTTCCTGGAGGTTCCACTGGGTGGTGGTTTGAAGAGCATGGGAATGGGATGGTGAACCCAGAGATGCTGCTGGCCTGTGACTCCTTTGCAAGGGTTAGAAACAGGTGACCAGGGCCATAGGGCCCAGTTTAGATTTTAGCCCTGTTTACCCTTTAGCTGGGCATTCTTATGAAGGATTATTCTAATGTATTTATAATTTCTTATTCAGGAATCATTTCAATATAGACACTTTCATGTTTAAAAAACAAACAGCTCAAGTTATATTTCAGTAAGTAATATAAATTTCTTCTAAAATTTGAGTCAATCACATTTTTGAAAGTTTTGAAAAGGAAGGAAATTTTACCTCGCCACCAGTTGAGGGTTCAATATCTGAATATTTGGAGTCACAAACAAGGTCTCCCACTCCCTGGGCCTGGCCAGATGTGACATCAGGAAAGGAGGCAGCACAGTCTTTTGCAAAATATCTGAGCACTTTCCAGGAGTGTCCGTAGTCTGTGGATCGTTCCACTAACATTGCAGCAGGCCGAAAAGTCTATGAAAATAAGTAAAAGTTGTAATTGTCACAGAGGCAGATTTTATTACCTACTTCACATTGAACATTCTTTTTTTTTGGGGGGGGGGGTACCAGGGATTGAACTCAGGAGCACATCCCCGGCCCTTTTTTTTGTATTTTATTTAGAGACAGGGTCTCACTGAATTGCTTAGTGCCTCCCTGTTGCTGAAGGCTGGCAATCCTCCTGCCTCCGCCTCCCAAGCCACTGGGATTGCAGGTGTGTGCCACTGCTCCCAGCCATTCTTATTTTGTAATTCCATTTTTTCCAACTTTATATGTATCTTTTAAATCTACTATATAGTAAACCCACCTAGATCTCATTCCAGTAAGTAGGGAAGAATTTGTGAATAAATACTTTGTCCTCAGAATCTAATTGTATTTTGAAAATATTTATGACTATGTGAACTAGTAATTGAAGGAAGATGGCATATAAGTTGAAAAGCTAATGCCATTAATATTTAACAGCAATTCACTTTGATTCCCTTAATCTAGAATATTTTTCCTCAGGCAAACTCTTTTACATCCTTCAAAACTCATCTGTGAAGTTGATTCTGATTCCCCAGAGCAGATTTAGCCTCTTCAGCTAAGTCTCCTTGCATTCTAATCATGCCTCTATTTCTGTACTTTGTATTACAACTTCCTATTTATATGCTTGTATTCATCAATAGATGGTAAGTTCTCTGGGGGCAAAGACCAATAATCATTTTTGTTTGTTTTTTATTTTACACTCATTCTTTATTATCAAAACTAGTACCAGGCCTGAAATCAAAGTTAAAATTTTGATGAGTGATTATGAAAGACTCTAGCACAATGATTTGCTCTGGCATCTGACCAACCTTAGTAAAGAGTCTAATTTTTCTTCTTCTGTTGATCACAATCTTTCCATCTTTCCCCAAATAATCCTCAGTTCCTGTCCTTTTCTCCTATGAATTATCTTTCTAATTCTTATGGTTCTTATCACCTATTACCTGAAGTTTGCCTCTTTCTTGTCTTCTAAGATTTTAGAAAAAAAATTTAACCATTTACTCATTAATTAATAAACAATTTTTAAAATTTTACTGAAGAACAAAACCCAAGTGACAAAAGTTGAGGCTAGACCTATTCTGCTTTTGTTCTCTGTAAAAAAGTGAAAGTTCAGATTATGGGACAGGTAAAAGGGACAGGTAAAGGGGACAGCCAGCCTGTCCCTCTGTACCTTAAAGGTCAGTATAAGGTGGCTGAACTGAAATATCGCCTCTAGGTCCAATCTGATGCTGACGTGATCAAGGCCTAAAGAAAAATCCAGAAAGAAAAAAAAAATCAATGCTTTTGAGAAATCCCGGCTTATCATGTTAACCCCTTATTTTGGCTTGCTTATAGTAAGATACCTTTGACATCACAGGCAGGTAGTCAACGCTCTTTGCCAGTCTGGACATGCTGCTGGGCCACTCCAGGCCCAGGAAATCTATGTGAGAATAGCATAGATATATCCTGGTCTCTGCAGGCATGCAGGCATGTTTTGGTGGCAACATAAGCAGCCACTGTGTGGCAGCATCACATGCCCCCGAGGGAGTTTCAGGCCCTTTCCCATGGGGTGAGAAGAGAGAGTTCATTTCCTTAGGCTTAGATCTAGACTACACATAAACAGGAGCTAGCAAGCTGGAGCATGATGAAAATCAACACACCCGTTTCTTCCAACAGTTGCTAACTCATTTGAACTAGAATTTACTCATTTATCATAAAACATAGCTTGGAACATTCCCCTTGAAGTGGGGAACCTGTGGGCTCCTCTGTGACTGAGGAGATGACAAAAGTCCTAGCCAGGATTTTGCATGGATCTAGTTAGCTGTGATCCATCTCTAACATGCAAATGGAGCATCCACCTTGACCTGGACCTGATGGAAGCCCAGAGCTCTTGAGAGCAGCACTGTCCAACAGAAGCAGAACATGAGTCTTATTCAAAATGACTCATGAGGAGGACATGAATAATTTTTTTTCTAGTAACTACTTTGAAAACAGAAAGTGAACCAGTTAAATTTATTTTTAATAACATACTTAAACCAATATAGCCACAATATTATCATTTCAGCCTATAATCAATATTTTAAAATTGAAATGCTTTGTTAGACATTTTCTAAATGATGTTTTAGAAATCTGAGGTGTTTTTTCATTTGTAGCACAACTCAGCTTGGATTGGCCATGTTTTAAGTGCTCAGCAGCCTCCTGTAGCTAGGGGCTAGCAGACTGCATGGTGCAGCTCTAGACAACAGTGGTCTGACACAGTGAGCCGGTGTCCAGCTTAGACCTTAGGCTGAACAGGGGGGAAGAGTTTGCTGCTGAGAGTTCAGCCGTATTCTGGGTTTTGTGTCAAAGGCTCCAATGCTTTCTAGGAAGAGATCTACTTTCCTCTCTTTGAAAACGCTTGGTTGAGAACCCTCATTGTGTATTCGGCTCTGACAGAGTGACATTCTCTTTGTGAGGACAAGTGGAACAAATGCTGGACGTGTGGGTCAGAACAGCTGTTAAGCAAAAATGGCAACCATTCATCAGTGAAGACGGGACTGCAGTAAAAACAACATCCTATTCATTCAGGAGAGTCCAATGCTCAACGATAACTGGGATCCAAAATGAAATGGCATTTAGTAGACACCAGTCATGCCTTTGTCAAGCAGATGGCATAGAAAAACTGCCTCATGTTATGCTTGCCCCAAACTATCTTATATAATATGATGATTCCCATGCTGTTCTCTAATGGTCTAGGATCCTCTAAAAGAAATATATTTAGAAATATGAAGAGAATAGAAATATTAGAACCCAAAGTGCAACCTAGAGATGTGGTAAGTGGAATGATTTTGTTGCTAAGGGAAACTGAGAGGGCTCCACACCCATGTTGAAGAGGGGCTGCTGCGAGTGAGGAGGCTGCCCCTTGGGGAGGTCTTCATGCACGGAATGGAGTTAGGTCATGAAGATAAGGCCCAGGGATGGGTGGGACAAGAGGGATCCCTCATCAGGTTCACACTTAGAGTGGGCCTGTCAGACCTTCAGACCAACAGATGGTCATGGCCAGTGTGGGGCTCCATAGCACCATTGTCACAAGCAGAGGAGGACGTCACTTCAGGGAGGAAAGAACTTAAAGTTAGTAGCCAATTATCTTTTCAATTTTAAATTAAAAGCTTTAGCTCATTGTAAGGAGCAAAATGTTCTTTATCTCTCCATGGATTAAAAAAGGAAAAAGTACCTGGTGTTAATTCCCAAACATCCCCTGGCATTATTCATTCGGTTCACATCAGTGTGTTTTAGATTAGGGTTAATTCACCAACACTTCATAAACTTTTTAATTTTTTATAAAGAACAAAAGGATACAAAGATAGTTTCCTCCCCCATATGGGAAGAGTGAAATATTCTGAGGTAGGTGCTGAAAATACATTTCGGTTTCTCTGAAGGAAAATATTCTTTCTTAAAAGGAAAATAAGTTTGGCTCACATTGTTGGTGGATCACATCTTGCAGTGCTATTGTTAAAAAGCAGGCAAAGAGGAAGGTGCCTTATTAAAATATGAAGAAATGAAAAACTGAAAAGAAATTTGATCATACCATTCTCAGATTGCCACCATTTCTTTCCTCTGTCTGGTTCAAAACTTGTGATTACATTCTCAATGGTGTGACTGTTAGGCTGGGAATACGGGTCATAGGGAAATCGGGAGTCACACACGAAACATTTTTGTTCCCCCTGGAAAACACCATTATTAAATTTAAAAATAAGGAATTTTAACTACTTATTGTTGATCTGAATCTAAAAACAAGCTGTACACACTATATTTATCTTTCAATCGGGCTAAAAATAAAAAGCAGAGGAAATAACAAGACATCACTTTTTCCATCAATAGGTGCTTAAATACAATAACAAACTGAACTCAAATATGACCTAGAAATTATATAAGTTTATGCATTTGGGGGCAAAAATACAAATGTGTTACTAATTTTTCTCCTGTAAGAGGCAGATGTTCTGCAAGTTATTTTAAATATAGAGAAATACTCATGGTGTATTTTTTGAATTTTCAGGAGAGTCTAACTCAAAATAATTTTTTGAATTATTTCCTTTAGCCAAAAAAGGAAATAATATTTGGAAAGAAGAAATTCATGAAACACTGGGGTACTAGGTTATCTGCAACTGTCATTTGATTCCTTTTCTATCAGCTTAGATAGTTTGGGGTAGGGAAGCTTTCATGACAAAAAACCTTTATGTCACATTTTTGGACAGAGGAAAAGGATTTCCATTAAATTCACAACAAAGAGGCCCATCCTCCTGTCTTGCAGACTAGAAGATCTCATTTACTGTTCTATATATATATATATATATATATATATATATCCCCCCCTGGAATAGTGTCTAGCACAAAGTTGATGCTCAATAAAATTGGAACTAGTTCTGCTTAGGAAGGATTTTCAAAAGTGACAAGAGAAAAGCCTGGCTTTTGAGCTTCCTTAATTTAAGGTGTAGCTTAAATTGTAGCTCTGCTTAAAACTCCTTGAGGGCTCTATGTACATTTTTAAAGGACTTTCAGTGGCCTGCACAGTTATTCCTGGCTCACACTTGAGGGACTCTGAGGGAGAGTTTTTGTAAAACTTCCAAGAAGTAGAGACTGCTCATTATAATTTTCTGTGCCACCAATTACCTGTGACATCCTATGTCCTCAGCAGGCAGGTCCCTGGTGACTGTTGATTGTCTGATCAGGGCCATGGCTTTAACTTTATTTCTACCTGTCTTCCTTTGTCACCTGGCTCTAGCTACACGTGCTTCTTGCTATTCTTCAAGCTCACCAAAAACCCTTCTTCTTTGGGGTCTTGGCAGAAGTCATTCTCCCACCCCAATAGTCTTCTCTCTTGATCCTTCCCTTCTTTCAGGTCCCTGTGTAAATGCCAACCTCTCAAAGAGCTTTTCCTCAACTACCTTATCTAAAATGCCACCACCTCCCTTCACCACGGCTTGCTATCACTGTTGACCTTTTCTCTAACTTACGTGTTTTATAAATCCTTACGCTACTTGAGACTATATTATGTATCTCCATCTAGAATTTAAGCTGAATGAAGGCAAGGACTTGGTTTACTGTTTCTCTCTATATATCCCTTCCCTGGAATAGTGTCTAGCATAAAGTTGATGCTCAATAAAATTTGTTGACTGAACGCACATGATTTTAATGATTATTTCAGCTGGAATCTGTCCAAGTAAACCAGCCCTCCAAAAAATCCACATAATCAGTGTGCTTCAGAATCACTGGATGCCTTAAGCTTGTTGTTGAAGAAAAATCAAGATGTTCTTTGAAGATTAAGACACAACAGACGGGCCTTGGGATGTGGCTCAGTAAGAGAGTGCTTGCCTAGCATGCATGAGACCCTGGGTTTGATCCCCAGCACCACAAATAAACAAAAACACAACAGATGCTAGATCAATTCTTCCTATGAGTCGGTTTGTCCCAGACCTGTCCTAGAAGATCAGCAGAAGACTTGTGATGCCACCAAAAGATGCTAAGTCCTTGAAGTATTTCAAATACTACTATGAAAATAATTAGGGAAAATGTTTAACTTTGGGTCTTTTAGGCTATTTTTTTTTTTCTGTAAACATTTTAGAAGCAATGTCTTTCACTGGGTTGGCTATAGAGGATTCTTAGCTGTGGCCACCAGATGTGGGCATTCCAACTTGGGAAATGCAGTGCATCAGCATTGACTTGAAGCTTCTAAAGAAAATGTTTTGCTTGTCACTTCTCTTAGACAATGGGTGCAGGACAATCATTCTCTTTGCTGCACAAATGTTGACATAGACTCAGATCTGTAGCCCCACCTGTGATACTTGTCAGCCTGAAATATTTCGAATCACCCCCAGGTCTAAGCTTTCTGTCATTCTCCAAACAAAAGAAAGCCTTTACTTTGATTTTCTGAATAACTTTTATTTCTAGTGGTATAACTTTGAGATATAGAATCACCAATTTCTGGTGATTGACAGAGTACACTGGCTCCTGACCACCGTAAACAAATGCCAGACGTTGAAGAATAAGATGGACGGTGCTAGTGCTGGAGAGTTGAGAACCACTTTTGTCTAGAGGAGCTGGACTTAGTAAAATCTCTTGAAGGGCTATCTATCCCAGCTGGCCTAGGGTTGAGCAAAACTTCCTCCATGTAATTTCCTTACAACATGTAGAGGATTTGCTTTCTTACATAAGTACTTCCCAAACAGAACAGTGCTAAGCACACAAGTATTGTCTCCACCTATTTATAATCATCTTCTTTTACTCAGAATCAATTAGAATACAAAGCATTTTCCAGAGACCTAAACAAGATGCCTTAAATAAACAATACATGGAAAATCCTGGGCCACCAACATTAGGCTTATGTCCAACTTCCTTCCTGTACATCCTCTCATTTAAGGGTGAACATGATTGTCTCAGGGTTCTCAGCAGGTACGATACTCAGATGACCTTGGATGCTTGTTCTGCCGCCAGGATACAGGGAGGAAGAACCCTGAAAAGCCACTGGTCTTCTTATAAAAACTGGTTGTTAAGGGGAAAAGACATAAAAATATGTTCACATTGGAATCTATGGTTTTGAAACAATGCAACTTCCAAGTGGTATCATGAGGGTGATGTGCAGTCCATTCAAAGTCCTCTGTCTACCTAAGGCTGAGCAATGGGGACTCATTTTCAGAGCAATGGTTTTGAGGCCCTGAGGCACCTTTGATGTTCACTGAATGAGTCAATTATGTTTGCTCTATGGGAGTGATAAGTAAAACGGTAGATTTTATTGTAATTCCCGTCAAGGATTGAACCATAAAGACTTTCCTGTCTAATTCTGAATGTACAGGAAATAGAAATTTGGCAGACTTTCTGTATTTTCTGATTAGTCAAGGTTTCCTAGACTTTTAATTATATTTCCCGGGTCACTTCAGGAAGGAGCATTGTCCCATCCTTCAGTGTTGTCTGAGTGAGCCCAGGTGTACAGGAAAAATCTACATCATTGATTAAATAATGACCCAGTAAGTAAACAAGGGACTGACCCACCTCCAGGTAGCTGAGGATACAGTATTTCTGGGCTCCATTCAGCCCACAGGTAGAAGATGCAGTAAGTTGCGTGCTGCGGCCCAACAGGAGATTGCCAGGGGTAGGACGGCAGGCACCCTGGTCACATTTGTCTTGAGCTTTCGAGCAAATGAGCCACCCTTGAACACAACAAAAACAGCTACACAGAAGGTGGCCCAAAGGAGCCCAAGGCCTGAAGAAGCAATTGGTTAAGCTGGAAAGTTAACGGTTCATCTATTTTTAATACCAGTTTCGTGGATATTCAAGTTTGTGGATGCTGTTGGTGCCCTCAGCCTGATGGGAATCTCCTAGCATGGGAGAGTTCACCATCTGCATCCCTGGGCCCCACCTGGGACAGCCAATGTCTGATGAACACAGGGTTCAAAAGGGTGATACCATTGGATCCACTCCACCCTGGGGTTCATGCTCAGCATCTTCTCTTGGCACATGGCTGGCCTGTGTTCACTGCCTTCAATCCTTTACTCCTGATGGCACTCTCTCAATGAATCACTTCACACCAATTCTTGTGTCAGCTCTGCTTTGAGGAAACCTCTTCAGAGACTGTTTCTGTTTACTGGGAATTCTTTATGTGTCATTTTAGGGCAAATAGTGAAGCCTAATGAATAGACACTAGGAAGGAGAATCCTAATCCTGACTGTTAAATCTGTTGTTTCAATGGCAAAAATGAAATTGGAGACTTTAAGACATACATGGGAAATATCTTTCCCTTAAAATAAGTAGATCCAGTAGAACCCCTTTATAACCTGATTGTTGGGTTCAGATAACCCATGGAACAAATCATCCCCCTTTAGGATAAAGTAAGAGTTTCAGTCTGTATGACAAACAATTCATTTTGATGCCTAATGTCCTATAGATGTGCAATGAGGGAATTTGGTCATGAGTGAGATAAGATCACTGCAGGGGTAATGCTATCTTAATCGCTACCTCAGTTCTCTATTATTCATGTGTAGCTTCTGAGAGAATATTCCTAAGTCTAAGTTTGTGTGAGTGTGTGTGTGTGTGTGTACATTTTTCTTTATCCATTAATCTATTGACAGGCACCTTGGCTGATTCCATAGCTTGGCTATTGTGAATTGCACTGCTATAAACATTGATGTAGCTGCATCCCTATAGGATGATGATTTTAGATCTTTTGGATATATACTGAGGAGTGGCATAGCTGGGTCACATGGTGGTCTCATTTCTAGGTTTTTGAGGAATCTATACTGCCTTCTGCAGTGGTTGTGCTAGTTTTTAGGTCCACCAATGATGTATAAGTGTATCGTTTTCCTCACATTCTTGCCAATACATATAGTGAGATGAAATCTAAATATGGTCTTGATTCGCATTTAACTAATTGCTAGAGATATTGAGCATTTTTTCATGTATTTCTTGTCCATTTATATTTCTTTTCTTTCTTTCATTTTTTGAGAATTGCCTGTTTAGTTCTTTTGCCCATTTATTAACTGGGTTATTATTTTTCTTTTGGTGTTAAGTTTTTTGAGTTCTTTGTATATTTTATATATTAATTCCCTATCTGAGAAGCAAGTGGTAAAGATCTTCTCTCATTCCATAGGCTCTCTTTTTTCATGTTCTTGTTTCCTTTGCTGTGCAGAAGATTCTTAATTTGATGGCATCCCACCTATTGATTTTTTTAGTTTTATTTCTTGCACGTTAGGGGTCTTGTTAAGGAAATTGGTTCCTGTGCCCATATGCTGGAGTGTTGGACCTACATTTTCTTCTAGTAGTTGCAGAGTTTTGGGTCTAATTCCTAGGACTTTGATCCACTTTGAGTTGGGTTTTGTGTAGGGTGAAAGATAGGAATCTAGTTTCATTCTTCTACATATGGATTTCCAGTTTTCCCAGAACCATTTGTAAAAAGATTATCTTTTCTCCAAGGAGTGTTTTTTGGCATCTTTCTCTAGTAACAAATAACTGTATTTATATGGGGTTGTCTCTGTGTATTCTATTCTATTCCATTGTCTTCATGTCTATTTTGGTGCCAATACCATGAAAAGCATTTTTTTAATCCACCTTAGATTAACACTCCATGCAACACTAGGAGAACACTTCGGGAAATGCTAAATTCCATCTTATTTAAGTGTCTTCTGTTCTAAAAATGCTTCAATTCTGTAAGTGGGGTATTATAACATCTGACTTGAAGACTGATTTAAAGTTAAATTTCAGGAATTGATTTAAGATTTTAGTCATATATAATTAAATTTTCTCTGGAACATTTCATAAATTGCTTATATTGCAACATACATGACTTTGTATACACAATTCTAAATATAATATTTGAGAGCCACTGAGTTAGATAAAGAAAGGAAACTAGGAGCAAATGAATGGGTAATTTGAATCATTGTAAGTTAATTGTTAAATCCCTATATGTATAAATGAATTTTATTTCTTGCTTGCAGAGTATGCTTCATTATCTTATGTTTTTCACTCTTGTAATAATAACATGAATGTATTTTCTAATTGTTGTGAAGTTTGAATAAAATGAAATAGAATCTTATTGGAGTTAAGGTCTACAGCTAGCATGCAGATAAATTCGAATACATAGAATGAGTGCATTCGTGTACTGTTTTGTGAGGCAAGCACTCTATCAACTGAGCTATATCCATAGCCCTTCTGTATTATTTTGTGGGTTGCTATTTGTAGAAATAGTTGTTTCCTCTTTTAAAAAGTATATTTGAAATGGCGTGGGAAACCTTGTTATCCTTATGTAGAAGAATGAAACTAGATCCTTATCTCTCTCCCTTCACAAAAGTCAACTCAAAATGGACCAAAGACCTAGAAATTAGATCAGAAACTATTTCTTTGAAGAAAATATAGAGTCAACACTCCAGCATATAGGCAATGACTTTCTCAATAAAACTCCTAAAGCTCAGGAAATAATGCCAAGAATTAATAAATGAGATGACATCAAATTAGAAAGCTTTCATACAGTAAAGAAAATAATTAGACTGTAAAGAGAGAAACTATAGAATGGGAGAAAATCTTTGCTAGCTACTCTTCTGAATTAATGTCCAGAATACATAAAGAACTCAAAAAACTTAACATCACAAAAATAAATAACTCAATTAAATGGGCAAATGAATTAAACACACTTTCAAAAGAAGAAATGCAAATGACCAACAAATACATTAAAAAGAGTTAAATATCTTTAGCAATAAGAGAAATACAAATCAAAACTATATTGAGAGTTTATCTCATTCCCTTTAGAATGGCAGCCACCAAGAAAACAAATAATAAATGCTGGAGAGGATATGGAAGAAAAGGAACAGTTTTGCACTGTTAGTGGGACTGTAAATTAGCACAACCACTATGTAAATCAGCAGGAGGTTTCTCAAAGGACTAGAAATGGAACCACCATATGATCCAGTTATACCACTCCTTGGTATTTATCCTAAAGAATTAAAGTCAACATACTCTGGCGATACATGCATACCTCTGTTTGTAGCGGCACAATTCACAATACCTGAACTATGCAACCAGCTTAGGTGTCTGTCATTAGATGGATGGATAAAGAAAATGTGGAATATATGCACATCAGAGTTTTATTCATCCATAATTATGTCATTTTCAGGAAAATGGATAGAACTTGGGACCATTATGTCAAGTGAAATAACCCAAACTGAGGGTAATATATTTTATCTCATGTGTGGGAGCTAGAGAGGAAAAAGGATAAAAAGTGTGTGTGTGTGTGTGTGTGTGTGTGTTCTCATGAAAATTAAAGGAAGATCTGTAGAGTAGAAGAAAGGAACATTGAGGGGAAATCGGGAGGGAAAGGAGAAATACTGGAAATTATATTTTCCAAATTCTATTGTTATATTATGTGCATTATTAATATGTAACAATTAATATCACCATTATGTGAAATTATAATGCACCAATAAAATATGGAAGAAAGTATATTTGAATAGGATAGTACAGTATCACAGGTTTTCATGTGGGCCTAAGTTGTTATTTCTCTGCAATAGATGCTCAAGAGTGCAATTGGTTATATGGTAAACATAGTTTTGTAAAAAGCTATCAGATTTTTCCCCAGAGTGTTTGTAACACTGTATATTCCCACCAGCAATGTAGGAGGGATACACTTTTTCCACATCCTCTGTAATGTCTGAGGTTGCCACTATTTTTTATCTTAACCATTATGATAGGTGTATAATATCTTTTGTGGTTTTGAATGGTGTTTCCCTAATGAGTAGTAATGTTTAACCTCTTTTCATGAGCTTATTTGCCATCCTTATATCTTCTTTACTGAAATGTCTGCTTCTGTTGCTTACCTTTTTCCAATTGGACTGATTTGGTCCATGACCTAATTGAGTGAATATTTATATAAGGCATGAGGTCATGTTTGCATAAGATAAAACTGCACAGAATTAAATATATATACATATAGGTATACACATAAAACTGAATGAGGTCAGTGAATTATATCAATGTCAATTTCTTGGTTGTGATATTGCACTATCATTATACAAAATATCATCATTGAGTAAAATCGAATGGAAGATACACAAGATCTGTCTGTATTATTTCTTACAGCTGCATGTGATCTCAAAAGATAAAGTATCCACAGCCCCCTTGCAAAAAACAAAACAAAACAAAAAAACTCCCCATCAGTCTCTGGAGAGTGAACCAAGGAAAGCTCACACTCTACAATACCACACACATGACATTTTTCAGCTGCTGTTATATACTTTTTTTTCCTGTGAAATATGAAAATTTATGCCAAACCTTTCCAGTAGATAGGAGTGAGAATAAGGGGTCTATAATGAAAAATAATAACCTCACTGTGAAATATATTTTGCTTCTCCTCAGATTTCCCCCATTATAAAATATAAAGAAATAATTTCTTCTCATAGACTTGTTTGACAGTTAGTGGATTTCTTTCATCTTGACCTCCACAAATGTAGGCTTTTGAAAAAATCATTTCTTATATGGACACATTCTCCACATAAACTATTCTACTATTCTGGTCATGTTGTATCATCAGGCATGAAACATACACAGATCATGAATTCTACATTTGAGGATATTATCCCTGATGTCTCCATTACTAAATGACGGTTGGAATAGGGACTTTCCTCTCCTCAACCTCCGTGTAAAGAATGCTATTTTAAATCAAAGGCACAACATTTCTTTCTCTTCCTTTGAGGTAATTATGTAAAGAAAGTCAGCTCCATCTTACACCCTTTTGGTGGTATAATACATGATCCTAGATTGGTAAATGTGGATTTTTCCTTTTATTTATTCAACAACTCAAATTCACATCTCCTCTTATTTCCTAGTATTAGGATTTAGGATAAAATCCTTTTTAGGAGTTTGGACTCTAATAATTAGAGATTTTTTTTTAAAGTTCAGGTATAAATTTTTGTTGATGCTACATGTGGATTAACTAAGATTTCCCTTCCAGGGATTTGTTCTTTTAGACAAGTTGCATCCTGAATTATTTTATTGGCATTGATGCCTTAGAACTTTAACATGTTTTATTAACCTGACTTGGCCAAACTTGTTTTGATTAGATGTGTACTTTTCAGAAAAAAAAATCCCAGGACTTGGGGGAAATTGAACTATTATTCTTATAATAGTATAAGTACAAATAGGAACTTTTAGTCTAAAACACTTGATTAAAAATGGCTGGAAACACAGAAATTAAAACTTCATGCTGAAGACTATTTAAAAAAAATTAAGTGAATTGCATCTGAATTTTCAACTGCCAAAGTATCACAAAGCAATAGGTAGAGTTGATTCAGAGAACAAAAACGTTTATATTTTTGGAAATTCGGTTCATTCCACACAAAATGTCATGAAACATGAAGAGAGAATGTTATTAAAAATGAATTTAGGAGATATGCTCATTCAAAGAAAATGTGCATCTGTTATCCATAAAGGATCATTTTGTGGAAATCACTATCATTGTATAATATTTCTGGTTAATAATTTTGCATATTGCTACAATGTTCTTAATCATGTGAGATGTTTTCACGTTTTAGAGTCCATTGCAGAGTTTTAGAGGATGCAAGCACATACCTTTATATTCCCACACACATTTAGTTATCATGGGTGATAAGGAATGTGTGTTACGTAAGGTTTGTACTTTGCATCCAATTTCCAACATCTGGAGGCCAATGCAATTTTTATGATTCTTCTTCTCTTCCTCAGTCAGAATGAAATGTGAAATGTTTAAATAGGGTCTAGTAATTGCATAAATACTTATAGTCAAACTCCCAACTAGAAAATGCCCACGCTGATGATGTGTGGGCAACCTGGTTGGGAGTTTGACCTTAGGCAATCCTAGAGATTTGGTTTTGAGTAGGGCAAGCTTAGGTTCAGGAATCCAGAATCCATTGCAGTGGGTCCTTTTTCTGGCAGAGCTAATTTAGTATTGAAGATATTCCCTCCAACCCTCAAGAAAGGGGAGGGATCCCTCAGTTACCTTGGAGTGGCTTAGATCCGTTGTAATGTGTGGTTAAGGGATCCCACACACAGGCCTGGGGAAGACAGATCCTCAGTGATCTATTCTAATACTGAATACTAGTTTAGTTCCAAAGAGGACATCTAAGGCAGCCACAGAAGACACAGCCAGCTGAGGCCAACTCTAAGCCCCATAGTCCTGGGCTGTGGATATCAACCAAGGGCCCCAGGTAGCCCAGGAGTCCCTGCTTCCACTGTCCTGTGGGTCCCCTTTCCAAGGCAGGGAATTCTCAGCAGGCAAATTGAAGGCTCATCATTCTGCAGCTGCTCCTCTAGCACCAGCAAATCTAACTGAGAAATTACCTCAGGATTTGATTCTGAAAGTTGAAGAGAAGATTCTAAGCGACTTAGTATTCAACAACTAAAGGCAGGGCTGTTATAGATATAGAAATGTCAGGGCAGAAGGGAGTAATTAATTTTTGGAAGCATCTTCTCTATGACTAATGCAAATTATTCTTTGTTTATTAAAGACAGCAAAAGCATGGAGAATTTGGCCTTTTTGAGTTTGGACATGCTGCTCATTTAGAAGAGGGAATTTTGCCTGTGAGTTCTTCACAATACCTTGTCACTGGGAAGAGTGCTATGTTCAAAGCAGACTATTTAAAAAAAAAATTAAGTGAATTGCATCTGCAAATTAAGAATCTTAAACTATTCAACATTCTTTAGTATCTATCCTACCTGCTGATGATGGCTTTCTGTTAAGGAGCAACAGGAACAGCTATGTGTGAATACTAAACATGTATGGGTGGAATTTTTCAGTTGTTTGAAACAATTATATAATAGAATGGCCATGCAAAAATAGCAGTATGAAAAAAATAAGAGAATATGTTTAAAACTGATTTCTACTAAATATTTTAGGATAACTCAATACAAGCAGAAAATGGATTTTGACAACTGCTACTCACCAAGGTGTAAAAACAGGGTCAGTCGAATTTGCATTCTTTTGCCAAGAAAGGACTGGATTCAACTATGCTAGGTTAAAAAAATGGTTAAAGTCAGTCACTGATAGATTCAATCATTGTTGTCATCACGAATTATTTAAAAGTCCTCAAATTTGACTGCTGGTTCTTACTGTTTAGAGACACAAAATATCTACAACACCCAGTTCCTTAAAAAAATAGGAGTATAAAAATTATAACGGATATTCATTTGCTATTAATTGGTGGGGATGGTTACTGGGGATTGAACTCAGGGTCAGTTAACCACTGAGCCATATCCCCATCCTTTTTTTAATTTTTATTTTGAGACAGGTTCTCCCTAAGTTGCTTAGGACCTCGTTAAGTTGCTGAAGCTGGATGGAACTTCCAATCTTCCTGCCTCAGCCTCCCAAATCACTGGAATCACAGGTATGTGCCACCATGCCCAGCTGCTATTAATGTTTACTATTTTTGGAAACCACAGAATTCAATAGTTTATGAGCAATAATATGAAATATAAATTTCCTTCACATATTTAAATTTATCCCATTTTTCCCATTTAGAATTTTTTTTTCTAAAAAATTGTAAAATTTTATAGACTTATTATAGAAAAAGTAGAACAGGCAAAATGAAGAAAATATTACCTATAGTACCAACACCTAGAGAAAACAATTGATATCTTGTTCTTCAGAATTTTGTCCTGGTATGTAAATAATTTTCAAAAATGGGATCATAGTGGTCACTTGCTTCAATCAATATATCGTGGACATCTTTCTGTACCACCAACTACATTTTAAAATTGGTGGTTTTAGTTTAGTGTGGGGCATCAGGATGTCAACCTGGCATCAGGATGACAAAGCAAACTAGCAACTCTTCTTTGAAGCTCTTTGTATTCCCTGGGAGAGAGGCCTCTCTCCACCCTAAGACACTGTTGTGTGAGCCCTGATTCAGAAGGGTATGTACAGACACCTCAGAAGATTGTGAAGAAAGAAGGTAAAACTGTTCTCTTACACTAGAATTTTAATTACTGCATAATAGCTCTCTGAATGCAGGAATCAGAAGTTATTTAATGATTCTCCCATTGGTTTATATGTACTTTTTTTCTAACATTTTCCTATTATGAATATTTCTGCTAAATCTTTAAAATTCACGTCTTTATCCTCTAAGATGGAATGGAAATAATTGGTCAAGATGTGTATGTGTTTTAAATAGACATACCTGTGTAATAGGTAATAGGTATGTGTGTATATATATATCTATATATCTATATAGATATATATGATATATAGATATATAAATGTAGACATATATATACACAGATATATGAGTACACAAACTATATGTATATGTGCATGTATATTTAGTGTGTGCACCTGTGTGTGCATATGTGTAAACAGATTTTGATGTTGCTGTCAAACTGCCAATATAGGAAGTTTGTCCCAATTTATACTCTCATAACAGCTTATGGGAACAACTGTTGGCTTAAACCCTTGTCAATACTGAATATTATGAATATTAGATCTTTGTCAGCTTAAAAAGCAAAAAAGTTATACCTCATCATTATTATTTTAATTTTTTATTTGAATGACAGTGAGTGAAAAAACATTTTCATGCATTTATAGATGAGACTCTCTTTGACATTCTGTCCTTTGAGGTGTTTCCTAATGAGGCCTGTGTTCATCCTCAGCAGTTCCACACTCTTTCTTTTTTTATTTGTTCTTTTTAGTTATACATGACAGTAGAATGTATTTTGACATATCATACATACATGGAGTATAACTTCCCATTTTTATGGTTGTACATGTTGTGGAGTTACAATGGTCGTCTATTCACATATGAACATAAGAAAGTTATGTCTGATTCATTCTACTGTCTTTCCCACACTCTGAATTCCACTCATCCACATTCTCTGGACTCCAGCTGGATAGCACCTCCTGCTTTCTGAACCCTCTTCTGGTGCTATTTCCATTGCCTTAAAGCCACCTTCCTAAACCCAAATGCCAGCCTCCAGTGAAGTCTTGAAATGGAGTGGGGGTGTTTTGAAATGCTTGATTTTAGGTAAATTTCCTATTCTGTGGTCCAAGCTCCTTACACAGCCTGGGGATCATTTCTGAAGTCCAATGGCATAAGAAAATGACCTAGTGACATAGTCCTTTTGCAGCATCTCCCTCTGCAAATGAGCTCTCTGTTAGAGAAGGCTGCAGGGCTACACTGATGACCTTATTTAAAATTGTATAACCTGTAGGAGATTCCAGGGCCATCATGAGGCAGACCACCACCTCAGATGAAAAGCCTAGGCCAAAACTTGGTTTTTGTTTGTTTTTGGCTGATTAACCATTTTAAGTATATAGTTCAATAGCATTAAGCGCATTTACATTATGCAACCAACCTCCTGAACTCTCTTTCATCTTGCAAAAATGAACAAGTTCTCATGAACCCCTCCTACTGGCAATTATCATTCCGGTTTCTATTTGGCTTTCTCTGCTCTCAATACCTCACATAAGCAGAATTATGCAGTATTTGTCCTTTTGTGACTGGCTTATTTCACTTGGCCTGGTGCCCTCATGGTTCATCCATGTTGTAGCATGTTTCAGAATTTCCTTCCTTTTTAAGGCTAAAAATATTCCAATGTATGTACCCAGGTGTGGGAGACCAACATTGCACTTGACTGAGTCACACTCCCCAGCTGGGTGCTGAGACACTCAGTCACAAAAATGTGGCAGAACTTTCCCCACCCTTCTTGGGTTCGAGGGTCCGTGTCTCGTGCATGGGTGTGTCTTGCTACAGCCCCATGGGTAAAGCTATGCTCAACCATTCCTTTGTAATATAACTCCTTGCCCTGTTTAGGATAGAATCTTCCATGGAAGTGCCTTGTGTGTGTCCCCTTCTCTTACTGTGCCCTTGGGTGTGGCCTACCCAGGTGTCAGTCAACCTGCTGACAGTGGACATCATGAAGATAGACTCAGCCCCCTGAAACCTGACTCCTTGCCTCATTTGAATAGCTTCTCCTCAATAAAAGGGGTCAGCACATGCTCTCAGCTCTCTCTCTTCCTGCAGACCCTTAAGGTCAGAGGAGCCATCACAGTGACCCCAAACAAAAACGTATTTGTGTCTCTTTGTGGTTATTTTGAGCAGCCCAGTCAGCCCAGTTCAACTGGAGTAAACCCTGAGCTTTTTAATCTCGAGAACAGAAACCCGGCACCCAGGAAGATTTTTAAGCCACCAATGTTCAGGCCCAGTCCAAACTAAAGAAATCAGAATCTCTTTGGGTGGAAACCACAGATTAAAGTGTTTAATGTGCTCCCCAGAGGATTCTCATATGTAGCCAGGGTTGATGAGAGCTATCCGGTGGCTTGCAAGCATCTAAAACTCATCAATTTGTCCAATATGCCTGTCCTCCTCCTGGATTCCACTCTAAGATGAGGGCATACCCCCCTGGTTTCCAAGCTTTGCTATGCATTTGGACCACCTGGGGAGCTTTTAAAACTCCTGCTACCTGGGGTCACATTCCATATCAAGTACATCAGAATACCTGGGGATAAGGTGCAGGTGTCAGTATTTTTTAAAGATCCCAGATGATTCCAATGGGTAGCAAAGTTTGAGAACCACTGCACCACCACCAATTAACTTGCTCAGGCCAAAAACTTGAGAGTCATCCTTGATTCCTCTGTCTCTAATAATTAAATCAAATTCTCATCAAATCCCTGTGATCTTATCTCCTGAAACAATGGCTCTCAAAGGGTGGACTGAATAAGGCAACAGATTCATCTGGGTTTGCTGGGACTTTCCTGGTTTTAGCACTGAAAGTCCCTAGGTTTCAGAAATATTCATCAGCCAGTCTGGGGCAAACCACTGGATCAGCAGCACCACCATCACCTGGGAAAAGCAAGCAAAGGATCAGACCCCAGCCCAGGACCCCCTGCTTCACAAACTCTTGGGAAGGGGCCCAGCTTTCTGAGCTTTCACAGATTTCCTGGTGAGTCTGATGAATGCTTCAGTTTGAAAATCACTTCCCTGAGGACCTCCAAGTCCACAGTGCAGTGATCAGAGATGCTGTTGCTTTTAGGGCCAGCAGCTAAAACCTAATGAGAATCCACTCTGCAGCAGAATCATTCTTCTTGTTTGTTTTTGTTTTTGCTACTAGAGATTGAACCCAGGGGTATTCTACCACTGAGCTACATCCCAGTCCTTTATTTTTTATTTTGAGACTGGGTATCACTAAGTTGCCTAGGTTGGCTTTGAGCGTGAGATCTTCCTACCTCAGTCTCCCAAGCCTCTGGGATTACAGGTGTGCATCACTGTGCCTAGCTAGAAGGTACATTCTTATGATCTGGACAGACTGAGTCCATCATAGATGCTGCAGGTCCACCCTCTGGTGTTGGGGTATGCAGAGACTGGCTGGCGATGTCTGCAGACATATTTGGCTATATAGGAAAGGGGGATGCTCTTGGCATGTACTGGCTAGAGGCCAGAGATTCTGCTCAATAAATACTCCACAATGCATAGGACAGTCCTTGTCCTCACAGCAAAGAATCATTCAACACAAAATATCAAGAGTACTGAGCTTGAGAAACACTGCAAGTGGCTTCACTGCCCCCAGTCATGATGTTTATCATTCCATCCTTAAAATTGGTCATTTTTAGTATTTATCCAGTTTTCTGTTTTCCATTTTAGGTGAGTTAAGCCTCCAAATAGATAAAGTTACAGTAAGTCAACTTCTACAAGTTCTTTTATCTGAAATCACCCACCCAAATTTCATAAAACCCATAGCTGCATGTGTAGCACAATTTCAGAAGTTGTGATGTCTGTCCCCTCCATACCTTTCTTTATCAAGTTTACATTTAATTGGTGCTGCTTTTCTTGTTGTTTTACCAAAGCTGACATTTGTGAAGCCTCACAAGGGTTATATGACTTTCTTTTTTTTTTTTTTTTTCCTGGCTCAATTTTTTGGTGGGTTTGAATAATACATGTAAAGTGATTGGCATTAAGAAACAAAGCTATGCTTTCTTTGGATGAAAAATGTGTAAATGTATTTCCAAAGGCACAGGATGCATTTGGGTAATTGTTTAATGAATGCTGCTAGGTGACACGAATCTGAAAACTTATTAAGTACTGCAAAAAACAAACAAAAAAACAACCCCCCCCAAAAAAAAACAAACCAACAGCAAAATATATTAAACTGACAATAATAAACTTTTTAACATTGCTAATTAGTTAACTTACTATCCACTAACATTGCCTTAATAGCCCTTGCTTGAAGACCATCCTGTCCACACCTTATCAAAGAGTTTCCTCTGCTTTTTGGAGATAGTTTGTATGAAACAGATGAAGCCAGGTAATGCCCAACTGCAGAGCCATAGGCCCACAGGTGGAAGCAGTGTTTGATAAAGCCTTCTCCATGGGAAAAGCACATCCCACACTGCTTCTACTACTGCTCAGTTCTTCTGCAAATGATGCAGTAATATGCAACAGAGGGCCTGATTATAATAAATTGATTAGTCTTTAAAACATTTTCTAACACAAATAAGCTAGAGTTGTCATAGAAATCTTGTGTTTAACCCTTTCCATTATTTGTGTGACATTTTTTTCATATTACTTATGGAATCATTAGCTATTTCAACGTTTTCCCCCTAAATTGCATCACAGGGAGGAATGCAGAATGCAGAGTTATGAATTTTACTTTTGTTTCAATCAGAGCAGATACTAAGTTTTCCTTAAAATTTAATATTTATTCATATCTAGGATATTAACAAAATATCCAGAAAGTATGGGTAGTTCTAAAGAATTTACACTTTTTCTAAATTTTGCAAGTTGTTTCTCCATGTTGACAATAAATAGTCACCAAATGCACAAGTAAAACTTGTGATTTCAACACTACGAACATCACTTGGAGCTTCCTTAAGATGTAGAAAGACTCCATCATTGGGGGCTCTTCACTATACACTAAGCATCAGTTTTCCCGTGGACACTGTTTTATACAGCAATAATCTTGTGTATCATCTGATTAGTCTGTAAATGTAATAATTATAATTAATGCTCTGCTATATTATATGCTAGTTTTTACTCAATGCTGCTTTCCCATATAACTAAAAATTCAGAACTTGCTGATAACTTCACTTATCCATAAAATGCCAACTTATCAGGGAAACCAGGTAAGACTTACCAGGATTTGAGTCTCTGTCGAGAGGTGTGCAGGCAGCAAACAGGGCGTGTAAAGACACACCTGAAAGTGAGAGTCAATTTAAGTAGAAAATGTTCTCCCCGAGGCACCTAAGGGTAGGAAAGAACATGAGAGGTATTCCAAAACCTGCCAAAAAGGTGATTTGTGAAGTTACTCACCTTAGATTTTGACTACACACCCTGTATGCAGAGGGAAATAGAACTGAATTTTTATGGCAAATGTTCTTGTTTTCTCTAAAACCACTTTTAATGCCAGGGGAAAATGCAGAGATATGTCATTCTGTTTTATTTATTTATTTATTTATTGGCTCATGTTTCAGCAGTAATTTTTAAACAGCTTGGTACTTTCTAGCTATGAATGTGCTGAATTAGAGGGGCTTGTTTCTTAGATATGAGGGACCTCAATCCCACCCCAATCCACTTCAATAGGGCCAGGTGAGGTACTATTATTAGGGTCCTCAAGGCTCGGTTCAGTTCTAACTGGCTTGGGATCACCTTAAAAGTCTCACACATTTTGTTTACCTTGTGATTCTCCAAATACAACCATTGTTGGAATTGCAGGTCTAGCTGGTTTGGAAACCCATGTAGTTTGGAATTCCATTCTCCTATAAACAAGGTTTATAGAATAGAAGTGAAGTTAAGAGTTTTAAATTATAATAGCATGTCAGGAAACTAAAGTATCAATGTAAAGAAAACCTGTGCAGTTTCAGTGGGTCATTTTATTGGTTCCTTGAAAAAGATGTATTTGGGATTCCTAGAAATTCATGGAGAACACCTCTTGGAAGAATAATGGTTGTGAGCTGAGCCAAAACGAGATACTAATTTTTATACAATATTTACACATCAGGGAATACATTTGACAAACTTTCCCCAAACACTAATGTTTTATACCTTGAAAGTTTTTCAGAGGTGTTGTCAATGGCTCTCCCTTGATAATTTGTGTTGTTTTATTTATTGCTATATTTTAAATTGATGTCACTGTATTGCTTTCCCTGCAGGTCAAGCCAATCTGCTTATGTCTGACATCCAAGAAAGCAAACTCCTGAGCCATGGCTTCTCCATTTCAAGACTAAGTAAGTACAAGGAAACTTTATAGTCAGTATTTGACAAACTAAAAATTCCACAAAGCACCAGGCATTAGGAGGTGAAAGGTCAATATTTGATTTTTAGGTAGAAACTTCAGCAGGATCTGAGTGAAATTGAGAAACTTTTCAGTTTGTTCAGTTGATGGGTTTGCATCTGTTGAGTAGTCCAATACCATGAATTTTCCTTCAGACTTTTAGAGTACAAAGCATAAAAATGTAGGCACTGAATATTTATATGTTTTAATCTTATTTCAAACATTGCAGTTCCACAAACTGTTTTTATTCATTTTAAAAATATATGATGTTGCTGCATTCTTGAGTGATTTTTTTTTCTTATCTTGAGGTTCCCTCTCCTGTAAGTGTATCTCCAGTTTTATAATGAAAATCCAGTGACAACATGGTTTAAATTTCAAAAGTTGCCTTCAAGTCATGATGAATCAGTGGTCCTGCAGGCTGTTTTCCTATAGACTGATGCCATATCTTGGGATACTTAACTCCATTTCAGAAAGGCTTAACTATTCGCCTATTGGGATTAGGGTTAGGGATGGAGAGTTGCCAGACAGGAGATAGTTCCAAAAAAAAGAATTTGGCCATGGAACAGAAAGGTCATTCTATCAGTGAAGGAAGAAGTGGTCTCTCAGCATAGGTCTTCTTAAAGTCTTGGCATCTTTCACTTGTCTTTGTCAAAATGAAAATGGCTTTACTGCATTTCCTGAACAATCATATGTGCTCATTTACCAAAACCAGACAGTGCAAAGACATATGAAACCAAAAACCAACTGAAAGCCTACAATCTTTTAGTATCTTTCGAGATCTCTCCTCTCTCACTCTCTTGTTCTTGCTTGCTCTCTCTCCTCTCAGAAGTAGAGGACAGGCTGAAGGGCAGGAGCAAGACTCAAATCCCAGCTCCTAGAACTTTCAAGACTGGGAACTTCTGTCAGGTACAATTTACCTATCAAATGTCATTGACTGTAAACAGGCAGTTCAGTGCCTTCACCTGAACTACAGTGACTTGTGAGAGAACGGTTCATCTCTTCCTTAGGACAAGGTATTTCCTTGGAAGGCAGCCTGGGAAGAAAGTCCTTGGTGCTGCCTCATCTCCACCAGAGCTGCTAATGACTCTGCTCCGACTGTGGCCTTGCCTGTCTTTCCTTCTTGGGGGCCACCTATCTGAGGTGGAGAAGCTGCCCCTAACAAGACTTGCCCAGACTCCAGAAGTCTGCACTGGACATGGTGAGCCTTGCAAGTCCTTACAGGATGTGTGGGGGATTACTCATTCTCCCAGAAGCCTCCAAACAGCTCGTCAGGCTTTAATAGGATTTGAGAGCCCAGTGAAGATCCCGGTGCTTAATGAGGCTGACACCAGCTGCCAACACTGAGAGGACAGATGGGTGTGGTTTGCCTGAGAAGTCCTCAGGCAGTGAGGAAGTGCCAAACCCTTTTTGATGGGCCTGGTATCACCGGTTTTCTACTATCTCAGAGTGACACATGAAACTGCAGAGAACCCCAGGTGGATTTGCCCTGTGTTTTCTCTTATAACCTTCCCTGTTTCTTCTTTAAGGAGGAAGATAGGAAGAACTATGCAGCCTGAAGTGGCTTGGCCCAAGGTTACCCTTGAAGGCTCACCTCAGAATCTCCCTTGGGGCACCCTAGTTAAAGAGACTGAGGCAGATGAAATTGGCAGGGCATTTAAGAGATAGCAGGATAGCAGGGGACTCAAGTCCACCAGATTATTTGGCAGGGGGGGGGTACTGGGGATTGAATTCAGGGTCGCTCAACCACTGAGCCACATTCCCAGCCCTATTTTGTATTTTATTTAGAGATAGGGTCTCACTGAGTTGCTTAGTGCCTCACTTTTGCTGAAGCTGGCTATGAACTTGCGACCCTCCTGCCTCAGCCTCCACTGTGTGCCACTGTGCCTGGCTCACCAATTGGTTTTTTATAATTTCTGTAAGAATTTAAAAATACATCTCAACATGTATTGAAAAATACTAAAATGTACTAAACTTTCAGATTATCGATATATGGGTAAAACCTGTTTCATTTCTATGCAAAAATTGGTAGTACAGGCATATAGAGTGTGACACCCCTTGAGGACTTGAGAGATAAGTAACCCTTTGTCTGCAAGATAAGGAAACCAAAATCTAGAGAGTTAAGTAACTCGATTAAAGATACACATCAGTCCATAGCCACCCTTCATCTTCCCTGCTTTAACAGCCCATGTGGATAGCTGTGTTTCTTTTATTTTGTTCTTTGGTGTGGTGGCTTTGTGGTACGGGATCATTCTGGAACACTTGAAGTTTTCAGAGAATCCAAGAAAATATTTTGTAGGAGAATGAGGCTTATTGAATAATTTACTCCCCACCTCAACCTTGTGAGTTAGGTGCTGAATTATTCTCATTTATAGATGAGAAACCTGAAGCACAAAGAAGTAACTCACCCTTTCCCAATATCCACATGGATATCAATGTTTGCTTTTTTTGTTTGGTTTTTTTTTGGGGGGTGGGGTGGGGGTAGTACTGGGGATTGAATTTAGGAGCACTTGGCCACTGAGCCACATCCCCAGCCCTATTTTGTATTTTATTTAGAGACAGGGTCTCACTGAGTTGCTCAGCACCTCGCCCTTGCTAAGGCTGGCTTTGAACTCGTGCTCCTCCTGCCTCAGCCTCCTGAGCTGCTAAGATTAGAGGTGCACACCACCATGCCTGGTTTCAATGTTTCTTTTTCAATGTTTCCCCTGAGATGAACTAACACAGCAAGGAAACAGGGGCGGAATAGGTAGAAAAAACCAAGTTGTTGGGGCCCATCATATGTAGTGAACTGACTCTTTCCTTTTGATCACAAGGAACTGTGGCAGAAAAATGTTAAAAATCTTTGAAATGGGCAGAAAGGTGCCTGGATATCCTATGTGGTATATCCATCCTGTTTACATATGTCTTTCATTGACTTTGAGCTATTTTACAACTCTAGAAGTCTTAAAATATTGATAGTAATGAAAATGATTCCTCATGGAAATGTAAATTAGATCCTGTAGGGATACTATTGATTATTGCCATGTTGCTATCAGCCAACTGATTTCAGCCTTTCTGATAGCCTGTATATATATGTTTTGAAAATACTCTCCTTTGAACTGGTTATAACATTTTTCTAGTTCTCTCCTTCATTAATGAATTAAAGTCATTGACATGTGTTTGTTTATAGTTACATGGAAATCATGATTTTATCTTTTAAATGACCAGTCTTCTTATATGCTTGTCATTCTTGCATGTGCCTGTGTGACTCTCCTAGGTGCTGTTTCTTCTGTGGGTTGTACTTTGCCTACTTCTTCATCTAGATCAGGGGTCAACAAATCTCAGGCCCTGTATGGCCAACTCTCTGCTTTGGAATGGCCTACAAGCTAAGAATGATTTTCACATTTTAAATGGTTAAGAAAAATCAAAATAATAATAATACTTTGTGGGAGCATTAAAATGAAATACAACTTTTAGTGTCCATATATAACATCTAATTGAAACAGTCATTTTGATGTGTTTAGATGTTGTTGGCAGCTGCACTGTGTATGCTACAAGGCACAGTTGAGTAGTTGCAAAAGAGACAACACACCTGCCAAGTCAAAAATATTTGTGACCTTGACCTTGAGAGAAAAAGTCGGTTTACTCACAATCTAATTAATGCCTCTGGAGTCTCAGCATCACCTCCGGGACCCTCCACTTTCTCTAACCTTCTGGCCCATACTGAGTTCCCCTTCTGGGTTCCCTGTACCTATGTCTCTGGTAGCAGCTGCCTCTTTATCCCTTCATTCCTGGTTTTTATGTCCCTCAGACCTGGGCTCCATCTTGCTCAACCTGCATTCCCAGTGCCCAAGATAACAGGCTCAATATTTGTTGAGTGAATGCTTCTTTCATCCTTTGCTGGATGAAACGAGTATTTGTACATCACATTATCCTGAATAAATATTTAACAATTGGCTATCTATCAATCCATTTTAAAAAGAAAATGATAGAAGTCAA